TGCCCTAGCATGCTCATGCTCGTGAGGAGATTGAAGCGTCTTCGACGAATGGCGAGGAGGCCCTCCCGCGGAGCACTGCACTCATGTTGGCACCGCTTGAATTGCTGCACATGTTCCTCCATGACGAAGCTCTCAGGCTCAAAAGCTAATCAATTAGACTGTGGTTCAACTCCTCGACCATGTATGATCAGACGCCAACTCGACTGGCCATGATGCTGCTCCCGACGATAGCAGCGGTGCACTTTCTGCACCAGAAGTCCCAAGGTGTGGAGATACTCCCCTGGGCCGTGCTCACAGAGCTGCTAGAGAGAGTGAAGGGGCTTGGGCTCATCACTAAGGATGAGATCCTGAACCTTGCCGTGGAGATACTCCCGGAAGGTGGGATTCGAAAGGTGCTCACACACCTCCACTCCATATCGGGAATCGATGAATGGGGACAAATCCGACACAGAAGACGAAGAGCCCTGGTCGAACAGGGGATGCAGTACCTCTCTTTGGTTCGCATCCATGCTGGAGACCTGATTTCCCCAACAAGCCTCGGTTACCACCGGTACGACTTGGAGACAATGGAACGAGAATCCCATATCACGGGATATATCGCCAAATATCTCCCTGCTGAGTACCAAGAGGCATATCAAGCTGATGTGCAGACGTTGAGGTCTCAGTTTTTTGCTGAAGACGGCAGACTCAACGTGGCCTCGGCGACGTGGGAGGTATCTTACAATCACCTCATGGCCGCCACTCCCTGAGCCAAGTGAGAAGAGGAGATGCTCCCTAAGCAAGAGCTCCTGTAACAAAGAGAGGAGTTTCTCCCTCGTTAGGCGTAGAGCTGGTGGAGCTACTCCCCAGGGGTTTTTGAACTAAAGAGTCACAGGTGGAGCTTCTCCCCTAGTTGGTGGAGCTTCTCCCCCAACGAGGGGTGTACAGCTGGCGGAGTCTCTCCCTAGGGGTTTTTAAAAGCTTTGAGTCGCTGCCTGCAATAATTCTGCCTGCACTGAGACACACTGAGCCAACAGCAATCCACCATCCGTGATGCAGGTCTCCTCGTGGTGGCCTGGAGCTCAGTGGCCTAGGCCCAGCTGCCTGCTTAGAAGCCAGCTTGAGCCAGCTTCAGCCAGCTTGAGCCAACAACCGCAGCTTTCTCTCAAGACTCAGCATCATGTCCAGACCTGAGTCAACACAGGATCCCTCGTTTCAAGCGGAGTACGAGGAATTCTGTCAGCGACGGATACGTGAACAACTTCCGCATGTCACGTATCGCAATTTCCTGCGCCAGTGGAGGCGCTCCGCTCGTGCTCACGGCGAAAACTATCCTGCATATAAAGGAGTCTCTAAAGGTACTGGTGGACAGGAAGAGCTGGGAAGCGGAAAGGGTGGAGTCACTCCCCCTCCTCCTCCTTCCAAGAAAAGAAGTACAGGGCAAAGCGAGGGTGGAGATACTCCCCCAGCAGCAAAGGCCAAGAGTGGAGATCCTCCCTCGGGGGACCCCATCACGGAAGCTGCGATCAAAGTTCTTCAGTCAGCTGGTTATACCCCCTTTCCCAGTCTGATGTCAGACTGTGATGGGAACATCACTGACCTGAACAATCACCGAATTATGGTGACAGTAACTCAGCAGCTGCGAGATGGCCTCAATCAGGTGGAACGACCCTCCCCGGAGGTAGCCAATGCTCTCCTGGAGACCTTCCTGGCCTCTCGCCGGGGACTTGCCAATGAGCCTCTGCATCCTAAGCTTGGATATCCCACAGCTGAAGAGAATGGGTGGTTTCGTTTTGAGTATTCTTCACCGAACATTCTTCCTGCAGGGGACAGCGAGGTTGCGTTCCACGGCACACACCTGGAATGTTTGCATGGGATACTGGCCACAGGCAGGCTACTACCTTCGACACCTGACCTCTCCGGCACGCGAAGCTTCGAGGCACGACCAGGCGTGTATCTTCACAGGATGTCAAACAGGCATCTTGCTGCCGGTTACAGTTGTCTGGTGAGGATAGGACCTCGGCACATATTCGTGCGGCCCATGTTTGAGGTGGAGGCTGCGCACTCTGGATCGCAAAAACGTGGTAAGAAAACAAACCAACTGATATACTCCTATGATGCAGTCAAAATCCGAGCGCTGCTACTGCAAATATCAACCAAGGAGACACTCACCTTAGGTGAGTACCTCCGAGAGTGGAGTGGCTTGTTGGAGATACCACTGAGACAAGCACGGGAATCCTTTTCGGCGTTGGGATACGAGCTGCCTGGCGAAGCCTCGTCAAGTGGAGTCAAGGAAGGAGGAGTTGCTCCCCTTCCGGTTTGTGAGCAGGCGTCCAGCTCACAGGGTGGAGTTTCTCCCCCGACCATGGCGTCAGAGATTGACCACAGCTCAACAACGCCACGCAGCTCAACTATAGTGGCCTGGGAGGGCCAACCAGGCGATCTAGGGGACTATTGCACTGCCTCTACGAAGCCGGAGAGCAACTTCTCGTTCGAAGTCTCGAAGGCTCTAGCAGCTTCGCTCCGGCACGGACATAAACCCTACATCACCGTCACTTCAGCTGGTTGGGCCAAATTAGAGGACGTCCTGAGATGGCCAAGAGTGCAGGCCCAGCACGCCACGGCAGGCGACCTCATGGAGGTCGTTCGGAGTAACGCAAAAGGCAGGTACGAGCTGGGCGATTGCCAAGGCCAGAAGTACATCAGGTCTCTGCAAGGACATTCTCGCTCTGATGTGGACTCCAATGAGGTGTTGGAGGAACTCACGGAGGAGATGCTCCCCAGAATGCTGTATCATGGCACATTCTGGTCCTTGTATGACTCCATACGCCAACGAGGCCTTCTGCCTCAGAACAAGATTTCCAAGGGCCGCGGCAAAGGGGGACGTGGCAGAGAGGGACGACAGCATGTTCACTTCGTCTCGGATCGGGACTATGGGAGACCTGGTGTTTCTGGATTCAGAGATAGCTCGTCGATGCTGGTGGCGGTCGATCCACGCAGAGCCATGCAGGTAGGGGTGCAATTTTTCCGTAGCAAGAACGGCGTCATTCTCACCCCTTCCGAAGTGCCCCCTTCTGTCATAGAGTACTACCAGAGCCTGACATCAGGTACTAAGTACGGAGGCGACAACAGGCCGCTCTGATCGTGAGGACCCTCACCTAACGGTGGAGTCCCTCCCCACACTGATAATGCAGCTGCTCACGCAAAAATCTGTGCTATGAGGCTGAAGGTCATTTCAATTTCATCACCAGACAGCAAGTATACCCCGAGGTCGCATGTGAAGCTCCGTGCGAAGTCGTGGGCCCGGATCTGCAAGTGAGTTGTCAGCCAAAAGTTTTCTGGAAGCTCTACTTGCCTTCTCGTACAGGCTCAACTCACCAGCTGTCTCGACTGTAGAAGCCATGCCTGAAACACCGAAGAAGAGTGGCAACAGAGCGACCTCCCGAACCCCTCCTCCAGTGAGACGTCGGCCCCACCTATCCAGGTCGCCGCCAGCCAGTGACTCCATTCGGGAGTCCGACTCCGAAGACACAGCAGCCCCTAAAGCAGCCCCCAAAGCAGCTGGGCCTAAGGGCCCGCCGCCTCCGATGCCTGTTAACCCTTCAGGAAGTGGATCTAGCACAGATCGGACACCGGGACCAGGTAAGGCACCTGGAGTGCCAGTGAAAGGTGGAGTCCCGGGAGGAGTTTCTCCCCTGGGACCACCGCCAAAGGCTGTGACCTCAACGCTCTCCCATCCAGGGACAGGAGAGCTTCATGTCACCAGCACAAGTCCGGCAGGAGTTGCTCCGCCATCTACAAATAGCAACAACGGGCTGGAAATGGCGCCTGGACTGCCTTTACTGAGTGTCTCATTGCCTCACCGCCTCTACTATAACATAGAGCTAGTGGTTCGTACCGAGCCTTCACAGCGAGGCTAGACATTCTCGCGAGACAGCAGTGTGCAAAATGGACGTCGCCAATCAGTCAGCGATACATTGCAAATCAGCCAGTTTACTCCCTCATTAGTGCCAGAGTCTGCAGCTCGAGTCACTGACGACACGTCCGATTCCGACTTCATTGCTTGCAGCCTTGAGGGGCGGAGCGTGTGCGAGTGCTGTGTTAAGGCACGGCTCGTCATGAAGTGACCGCGCAAGTAGCAAGCAGAGCAGCAGGTCGATCCCTCGCAAAGCGTGGACTTTAAGTTTCACCTCAGACAGTATCCTCCCGCTGCGTGTGAATGAAATCTTGTTGTTGTTGGCTGTTGCCTGTTGCTTGTTGCTGGTTGTTTCTTGTTTGTGTGGATTGTTGTTAGTCGTCGCTGCTTGTCGTTGTCTGTCCTTGTCGGTGCTGGTGTTTTTGTTGTTGTTGTTGCTGCGGCTGTTTCTTGTTGTTGTTGTTGCCTGTGTTGTTGCTGGTGTTTCTTGTTGTTTGATTGTTCTTAGTTGTTTGTCGTTGTCTGTCCGGCTGGTGTTTTTGTTGTTGTTGTTGTTGTTGTTGTTGTTGTTGTTGTTGTTGTTGTTGTTGTTGTTGTTGTTGTTGTTGTTGTTGTTGTTGTTGTTGTTGTTGTTGTTGTTGTTGTTGTTGTTGTTGTTGTTGTTTTGTTGTTGTTGTTGTTGTTGTTGTTGTTGTTGTTGTTGTTGTTGTTGTTGTTGTTGTTGTTGTTGTTGTTGTTGTTGTTGTTGTTGTTGTTGTTGTTGTTGTTGTTGTTGTTGTTGTTGTTGTTGTTGTTGGTGGTGCTGTTGTTGTTGTTGTTGTTGTTGTTGTTGTTGTTGTTGTTGTTGTTGTTGTTGTTGTTGTTGTTGTTGTTGTCAACGGCTGCTACTGCTTTTGCCTTTGTGCTTGTTGTCGTGGTTGTGGTGGACACGAGTTGCATGATGCTGTCATGTCTAGCATGTCCTCCATCACCACCATGGCAAGCATCATCATCATCATCATCATCATCATCTTCATCATGCTAACGCTGCCTTAATCCCCAGGCCCCCGGCGCTGAACACCTGAAACCGCTTAAGCATCTGAAGCCTTCCAGCTCCAGAGCCGAGGCCAAGGTCGGGGAGGTCCCAGCAGCCACTTTGTGCCTCGTCAATGCAGGGCCACAGACCGCTGGCTGCTCTGTTCGTTGTAGGGCGGCTTCAGGGCTTCACTTTCCCAAACCTCCAGGCTGCTACTTCAACGCGGTGACACTATTCCTCTAATGATGCGATGCCAAACCCTATTCTCGTCATCAAGGCCCACATCTCACTTTAAATTGGTGTTGGCTGCTCATGGAGGTACCTTGCGAAGTGGATTCCTGAGCGGGAGCTTCACAATCCATGCCCTTCTGGCTACTTGGTGGCTGTTGAGAACCCCGAGCCCCCTTGACCCTAAGATTTCTGAATGCTACATTGCTACATGCAGGATATCGGATGTTTCAGCTTTGGGTGGACCGGATGGGCTTCAGTTGTCGCAGGACTCAGGGTTTAGGCCTGCTATTGTCACCATCGCGCTTGTGATCTCTGTAGATGCTATAGCAATGCTCATCTTGAGCACTATTGAAGTTGGGGGTGGTTGCAGTGTGCCAGCTGGTTGTTTGCGAGGTTGAGGTGTTCGGCTTCGGGTTCAGGTTGAAAGGATTGGAGCTTTGTGGGTGCAGGCCGGTCCGGAGCTCCTACTCCCGACACTCACACTCAGGCCTTGCATTTAGGCCCGCAGCGATGACGATGATGACATAGAAACCGTACGAAGAGCTGGGGTGACACGCATCGTGCTGCGAATGCTGCTGGCAATAGCCGAAGTGCTGGTGAACCCGACATCGTGACTGTTCGGAACCACGACATGAAAACGGGGAGGGGGCTGCTGGCCAGTGACTGGTCCCACCCCTGCGAGCACTCAAATTCTGCTTGGCAGGTTTGGGTCGGGTGCTGTTTTGGTTGTGGATTACATGAGAATGCCTCGCTGAGCGGGAGCATATTCTGACAAGGCTTTGTTGTTTTCAGCTGTCGCGTCGAGGATGGAATGAAAAACTCAACAAACCCCGGAGCTTGCTTGGATTATGGCTCAGGGGTTCGATCGCCTCGTTTGCCCAACCCAGCAATTGAACCCCAAATCAACACATATATAGGTCTATGGTCGAAAAGTGACTAACTCTCTCAGGAACAGCATGGGTTGTCCGCCGCAGCAGTGTCGCGGACTTCTTCAAAGGTGAGTACCTAGAACTCCGCGGGGAGGCTTGGACATGTGGAGTGCTGCGGGTATCAGAAATGTAAGACTAAGAGCAGGTTTAGAAAGTTATTCCGGTTTAACTCGGTTGAGGATCTACTAGCGACGTAGCCGGGGTATCACAGTATTTGCGCGGCCGGCAGCCGTCTTGTTTCGTACAATGCTCTCAAGTTACGGCACTGGAGCTGTCAGGTGTCTGCTAGGATTGTGGCGAGCAGGGCAACCGTGGATATGAACCTACGAGTGGGTCAAACTGTTGTCCTGCCATAGCACATACGTACAGTACAGGCACATGCAACTACTCCGTCGGGGCTCGGTGCTCGAACCGATTTTCAGGAAGCTGACCCAAACCGAAGCCCACACCGAAGCAACGTGACAACTACACAAGTATGAGACCGAGCGACATTTAAGCCTAAAGCCTGTAACCCTGAGGTCAACCCAATGCCGGAACCCCTTAAACTTCCTGACCCCTTTCAGATTTCCTCAGCCCTGAAGCCAAGAGCACCGTAATCCCCAAACGACAGCCCTGCACCCCAAGCCTTAAAGAGTCCTTATGCCTATTGGCGACTCGATTTTTTATGGAAGTCCTTGCTTGGAGCAGGCTCTCGCCTGCTTCGGCCAAGCGGCCCTGGGCTGCTTGACGTGGACTTTAGTGTCCATGGGGCTGTCTGTCTTGTGGGATAATTATGCTTGGAGTTTAGGGCTCGGGGTCTTGTAGTGCAGGGTTTGAGGTCACAAGAGTTTCGAGGTTTGGAAGCATGCGGCTTGAGGCTCGTGGCTTATATGGTATGTCGAAAAGACGCTTGATGAGCATTGGATTGGGTTGCCATTGTTGCGGGCGGTGTTTATAGCTTCTAGGTCGTAGATCGAGTGTATTGGTGAACGGACAGCGAAGCATTGGCAGTTCGGAAAACTGCCACTATAGTAGATAGGTTTTTATGTATAGACAGCGTATATACGTATGTGTATATCTATATCTATATCTACACACACACACATATATATATATATATATATATATATTTATGGGTGGATGGATGGATGGATGGCTGTAGTATGTATGTATGTATGTATGTACGTATGTGTGTATGTATATACGTATATGTTTTTGTGTATGCATGTGTACATGTATATACAGATACATAGATAGATAGATAGATAGAGACATGTGTACATATATGTATGTATGGATGTATGTATGTGTGCGTGTGAATGAATGAATGTATGTATGTATGTACATGGTGTGTGTGTATATATATATATATATATATATATATGCATATACGCACCCGTAGACGAGAGAGATTTCAGTATACTACATCCAGGTGCAAGTGTCGACAGCGGCTCTTGGAGCATTGGCGACAGCGTTCTGGACGAGATCTCCTCGAAGATGAGTGTGCAGCTGGTCTGGCTTATAGAACACGGGAGCCCGGGTGTTGGGGCACATGATCAAAGTAAGAAGTAATACATTTATATACTTGTATATAGATATACATGTAAATAGTATGTGTATGTGTGTGTATATATATATAGAGAGAGAGAGAGAGAGAGAGAGAGGGACTGCGAGAGGATTTTTCATTCAGCGTGTCCGGCTGATGGGGTGAACAGACAAAAGGCTCAGCATTCGCTGAACCAGAGGGTATGGTACGCATGTATTGAAATATGCATGTAGGTAGGTATGCATGTGCGTATGCATGTAATAATTTACAAGCTTATGCACTTATGTATTTCTCTAGTTAGTTAGCTAGCTAGCTAGGTAGTCAGTTAGCTAGTTATAGTTTTATAGTTAGTTAGTTAGATAGTTAGTTAGTTAGTTAGTTGGTTGGTTAGTTGTTCACGTATTTGTTTGTTCTCGCCCATGTGTGTGTGTGAACAGAATGAAGACACGGACGCCTAAACATCTGTAGCAGAATCGGATTTGCTGGCAGTAGAGCCTTATTTGACACCTAGACCGCTGCTCAGCCGAAGCTCTTGAAACCCAAGACGATAAATTTGCATAATTATACACCTTCAAGCCTCAATGACAAGGACGATTTTGGATGCCGGCTATGTGGCGCCTGCTGTCCGCACTCATGGGTTTTGAGTTAAGACTTCCCTTTTGCACCCAGTGAATGATTTCCAGAGTCTTACGCATCCCACAAGCTTGAAGCGTGTTCTTGATGTTCAAGCGGAATAACAGGACCACCAAGACCATTGAATTCACGCGCAATGACCCCATAAGCCCTCAACGATCCAAAGGAAGCACCCCAGCGAGTCGTCCAGCGAAGTCCGCATCTCACCCGTGGCACGGACGTCGTTGCCTCGGTCCCTCGAGTGTTGACAGTTCCGGCCGTTTTTAGGGTTCTCAGTTCCGGGCCGGGGTAACCCGAAAGCTACAGCTCTTCGCGGCTGTCTGAATCTATCAGACAGTTCAGTGCATGTGAGAAAGCCTCAACTCAACTCCGTGTTCATTGCGTTACCTCCTGAAAACCTGGGTGTGCAGATCCTTGTTCAGCGCTGCTGCAAGTCGACAGGCCGACACCTCCGTCGAAGTCGACTTAGAAGGCTTTAGCAAGTTGCATGCTTCGGGCCGGTAAGATGGGCCAGGATCACGGGGGACTTTGCTTAGTGCAGGCGTCCTTGGAGGCCTAGCACCCAGAATCCTGAAATCAACATCCACATATCAACCTCAAAGCTTACAGTCCTGAGCCCTGAATACGGGAACCTTCCGGTGCCCAGTTGTGGCAACCCTCTTGACCAGCGCGAGAGCGGGAAGACCAAGGCACGACTCATTTCGGAAGTTCAACAATAGGGTTTTCACGGTTGAGGGTTTTGAGATTGGTGTTTGAGTTTTTGGTTTGTGGTTTGGGGGGGGTATGCATCCATGGTGTTGTCGGCTGTTAGCCTGCTGGTAAGGAACAGTTGGCTTTGGGTCAAAGCGCTGGTTCGGCTCGTCAGGTTCTGTCTTATGTCCGTCCGGGCCTCGTCGAGAATACAACTACCATCACGTGCCATGAAGTCCCAAAACGTAGACCCGAAGCCTCAACCGACCTTTCTGGATATACAATACAGCTTGAGCACGGAAATCCCTTGCCCATAATGGGGCCTTCGAGATTTGAGGGTTCAGGGTATAGTATAGAGTATAGTGTAGTGCTTTGCGTTTGAGGTCCCGTCAACCTTCTGCTACCGAAAGATACGAACATAAATGCACCTCCACCTTGCATTACGGACATATATTCCTGGCCGAACACCTCCTCAGACCCCGGCCGCCCAAGCCAAAAGCAAAAGTCCCGCATCGCTTGGAAGAATCCACCATTGGAAACGGAGCACGAATAATTAATCAAGCCTCAAACCTTGTAAGTGGTCTTCGCAAACTGCCCACGGTTGGGGATTAAAGATTGGCGCTGTTTCCCGATTAGCTTTTGGAGCTTGCCCTTGCTCGACCAGGCATGCGGGGTGCTGGTTTCCTTGTTGATTGCACTAGCGGCGTCACTGTGGTCCATGGGAACTAAGATACTTATTTTCTTGCTGCTACTGACAGGGTGACGAGGACACTGGTGACGGTTTCGAGTTCAATGCCGGAGACTCAGTTTGGGGTTCGCAGGATTTGCAATGTCATAGAGAGGCCTGTGCAACTCGTGATGATGCGCCTGTATAGTCCCTATTTGGCTGTACAGTAAGATGCTTTGGGGCTGCTCCCAATTTCTCTAGGCCGCTGGTAGGACTTATTATAGGTTTATAGGATTTAGAGTTTTCGACTTTGGACCTTGAGATTTGAATCTTAAGTTCAAGAGATGCGGATGCGGACTCTGGCCTTGGACTTCATTCCAGTTGTTAACGCAGGAAGATCGGAGAACAGGGCGCTTTCACGCTTTTTTTCAGAGCTTACAGGATTTAGGCTCTGAGGGTCTGGGGTCACGTCTAAGCCAGGTTTCATCAGATTCAGCGGCTGAGGGATTTTCTATGAAGTTGAAATTCGAGCTCAGGGAGCTGCCTGCAAGCATCGGTGGCCTAAGTTCTCAAGTTTACTGTAAGCCCTTAACCTGGCCTAAACCCTATAAACCCTCAACCCTAAACCCCTAATCCGTGCTGTAGATTTTCGGGCGAGGGGCTCTGGTCCCTGTGTGCCTTTCTCTTTTTTCTGTTAATCGACCCAGCTGCTGAGCCAATGCACAGCGCGTGCTTGCACCCCCAACTCCCAAACTCTGAGACCCGATTCCTAACACCGTTTCTCTGAACTTGAAGTCTTCAAGACCCTGATGGACTGAACTTGCAGGTTCAAGGTAGGGCACATAAGGACCATACTTCAAGGTAGAGCAAGATAGCCGCAGGATGTCTTTGTTTGATATCCGCCGAGGTGCTTGTCAGACGTGCTCGCAACCTGCGCAATTGAGCCGTAAACCTTGTTCACATCAGAAGCATATGCCTGAAGTTCACCTCGAAATCCCCCTCCTCCTTCAAACCTTTGCCCTTGAAACATCTCCCAAACCCTCTATACTAAACCCTCGACTCCAAACCTCAAGCCCCGAACCCAAGCCTTCAACCTCCGCCCTCTGCAAGTACTCAACCTGAACGCTGAAGACCCAAGCCCTATAGCCCTGAGGCCCCACGTGCAAGGTCCGAGACCTTGCCAAAGAAACACAGAGACTGCCCAACCCTCGCTGTAAAAGCCAATTACTCTTAGCACTTTAGAATGAGGGGCATGAACACAGACGACAGGATCTCGATAGCCCACTCGGCGAACGCCGGTTCTATGCTTTGTCACCCTGTGAGTCCGACGCCTACTGCCGGACTCTGCGGGGTCTTGTTGGTCACCGAGCTTTACGACGCTTTCTGGACTTTTGCAGTTGGGCTTCAGGGTGCAGCGGTTTGACGGTTCGGAAGTGTTTGGTTAGGTTTGTAGATTGCATTCGTGCTTCGGAGTGTGAGTCTTTGGGATTCAGGTCTGGTGTACAGGCTTCAGGGTTTGTGTTTGGGATCGTTCGGGGTTTGGGCAGACGGTCCAAGCTTCGACTGTCTAAGGTTAGTGCTTTGGGTTTGCCTCTGCAGGGATGCAGTCGTTATCTTTCAGTCGAGCTACAGGTTATTCAAGCACTGCAAAGTCGAGACCTAGTGCGCAGTCCATCTGCGGACCTAGCACCTTCAGAGTGCTGTCCAAATTCCTTGGGCACCGAAGTCTAAGTTTCTGTTACAAGCCTGCGGTAAGCCACCCGCAAGGCCTTGCTTCTGTCACTAGGTAAATACTTCAAAAGCCACCACAGTGCCACATGCTGCCGAGGTGCTTCGGTGGTGAGTATGGCGCCGCAGCTCCTGTGAGCGACACCACGCACTCTGGACGGCTGTTGCTGCAGAACTGGCTCAGGGTTTCTGATTTGGCGTTGGGATTTGCAGGCACTTAAGATCAGCTCGGGAACTTGCCGTTCTGGATGTGTTAACCTGATAACTTATGCTGGTAACATTAGTAGCCCAGCCTACAAACTTGCTCAAGCATCCGAGATGAGACGATGCTTCATAGATGTAGAGCTACTTGTCATCCTATAGCCAGGCCTGCCTGCAGCACTCATCAGCAAGTCCACGTCGATGCTAACGCTTGAAGTTCAACCTGCAAAGCCTAAAGCCTCGATCCTTGTTCGCTTGCATTGTCGTTGGGGTCCGGGGCCGTGCTTGGCTCCTCGTAAGGGGTTTTGGCACGGTCCGGGACTTCGCGAGACGACCGACATGTCGGGTCCTGTCAGAGCACATTGAGGCTCGATCCATACTTGCTAAGATTATCTCAGAAGCATGGTAGCTATATGTCAGTCTTGCAGGACCCCGGGCCCGTTCCATCCGTAGCTAAGTTCCATGGCTCCTGCGGGCGTGGCCGTAGCCCGCACCCCTCAAGCTCCATGCCATCACGAATTGACAGCACGAACAACGGTTGCAGTCTTTATAATCCTGGGATTGTTGTTCCTTGTTATAGAGTCGTCGACCCCAGCAGAGAAATTGACGGAGCGTAACACCAGCGTGCAGATTGATGCGCGGTTACAGCAAGCCCGGCTGCAGCAACAGAATAGAAGTTAAACACGCACCTGCTCAGCTTGAGGTACTCGACGATGCCACCGGGCAGCAACAACAAGTACATTCCAGCTCCTCGGCCCGTTACAAATACTATACATGATGTAGCCGTAGCTACAGCTACTTAACTACGTACGCTCATGGTACTTGATGTGTCTCTTTCACAACCGGAGTCTTGGGCTTCACCGCCACAGGCTTAGCATCTGCGGTTGAAGATTTCAAGAGTTGATTACCTCTGAAGTAGGGGGTTGTATGCTACTTGGTTTGCGGCTTAGAGTTGCGTTTTCAGCTTGATTTGAGGTGTTGCGCTTTGGGGTTTTTGGGTGTGCGCAGGGCCTGGAGCCTACGAACCGCTTACCCAAGCCCAACACAAATCCCCAAACCTCCTATATAACCGACTCAAGCCTAACTAAACCCAACGCCCCGTGCTGAAAGACACAAATCCCATTAACCTTCTTTGGGCTTCATAGTCTGTTGGGCCTCGAGTGTCGGATCGGGGCGTTTTGGGTTTGAAGGCTGAAGCATGCGATCAAACACCCTGAGCCCAAAACGTGGAACCGGGTGGTCGAGGCCAGTACCATGATTGTCTCTGGCAGCTTGCAGCTTGGAAAGAAGCATCATGCTAAGTGACGATGCTTGAGGCTAAAGCTTTGGCCCTAAACTTGATAAGCTGAGTTCAAGATTTTCGTGTTTCCCCACGAAAGTGCAGATGGGTGTCTCACACTCAAAGTTCCGAAACCCCGCATCGAAGCTCGAAACCTCCAAAGCTTGAAACATCTTGAAACCCTGCAAGAAGTCTGCCTCCATGTACTGCGCTTGAAGTCTGATCCGAGTCGGCTACGAAAAGCCTCGGTGTGTTTTCCTTCAGTTCAGGGCCTCTGGATTTTGCTTCTTTTCTCAATCGCGGGGTGTTGTCAAAGCGCTTGGGGCTTTGGTCTGGGTTGGGCCTCTGGGGTTAGTGGTTTGGAGTATATAGCCAGTGACGCCTGAACTAGGACACCATCGAAGCGCATTTCGACTATGTAGTTTTGTTTCTCAACTCAATTCTGAGCCCGACCCAAACCCCAAGAAAGCCTTCGAAGATTCCAGAAAGGCATCCGAAACTCTTGTTGGCCAGCCGCCCTTCCTTGAGTCTCCATCAAAAACGGCTTCGTGTGTCTTGTTCGGAGTCGCTTGCGGATTGAGTACTTTTGGCATCGCGGCATACGAAGCTCTACAAGTTGTGTGTTTTTGAGTTTGAGGTGTTCAAGGCTTGGAGTGTCGTCCAGGCACAGAAATCTGCAGCTTGTAACATAGCTTCACATACCCTAATTAAGACTCCAAGAAAACAAGTATTACATGCCAAAACTTAAGGTCCAAAGCGGTAAATCGCACCTGCCAGATTCTCTGCACCTTCTCAAATCCTCAGTTTTTGCATCCCGAAACCTTTAAGCCGTTCGCAACCCATAGAAGGACTGGGTTCAGGGCTGGGGTGGCTGGGTTCGGTACTGCGAGGTCTTGCGAGCCGGGGAAGCTTCTGAAGACTCTGGCCTCTTGCCTGTCAGTATATGGGATTTGGGGCACCTTGTTTAGAGAGTGGATCACAACGAGGGGCCCGATATGGGCCCCTTATCCTCAAGGATATGAGGCATCATGGGGGGGCGGACATGCGCGGACAGAGATCCTGCTTACAATGGGCACAGGTGCATTTCCTTCAAGTGCACTGCACACAAGTTCCCTTCATTGTCCGGCATGGTCATAGCTTCGATTGTTTGCTGCTTTTTTTGTTTACCGATTCCTTATGACTGCTACTGTAACTGGAGCAGACCAGTGACTTCAACGCAGCGAACTTGGCATTCGAAGTTTTATGCTGTGGGCTTCAAGGCTCCTTGCGCGCCGTATTATGAACAACACGAGCGACTCAATGAAGCCCATGAAGGACGCGACAAATGTTCATGAGCCAAGGAATCTTCGAAACAGCAACCGTGATGGCAAAAGTTGCAGCTTGAGGCCCTTGGCCTCAGAAGATCTTCACTGCAAAGTTTTTTGGCTCGAGGCCGTGACTTCGCCCAGCATGGCCCGCTTGCTTTGCTTGTCAAGACTGCTATCTTGCATGAATGGTTTAGGGTCGGATACGACTGCGATCACACCTGGCCGTTCTGGCCATTGTTGTTGAGATGCTAACGTAGAACATACCAATCCCTGGAGCGGCCATGAGCCATGGCAGTGCAGCCCAAAGACCTTGGCTGGCTCTGTCCACGGAGTGGTTTTAGACGTCTCGGCGTGTCAAGTGCTCCATCTGAAAGTAGGTTTATGCCTTAGGGCTTTGGGTAGAATTAGAATTTCTGACTTATGGCTTACGGCTCCGCGGCTTCTTCGGTCTTTTCGCGTACAGGAAGTCTAAGTCTACAATTGCAGACTTTAATTCCTAATTTCGAGCCTTCAACCTCTAGGCCATAGAGTTTCAGATTGCAGGTCGGGGACAGAACTCGCACTGTTTTGACGTGACGAGATGCTGCGAATCTGGAGCATCTCTGGGCACGAAATGGCAAATGTGCCACTGGCGGAGGTCAGCACGGTGCGACACCTGAAGGAGCGTTTGGCTCAGCTTCATGGGGTGCCGCGATTCCGGCAGCGGCTCCTCGACGACGGCGAAAGCTTGCAGGACACAGCCACATTGTATTCTACAGACTTGCAGCTGGTTTTCCTAAACTACTCTGAGGCCTCTTTGGAGCAGGCAGCAGAACTCACAGCTGCAGTCGGGCACGCAAGTGTTTCCAAGGTTGAGGAGATCTTGCAACGCCCCCAGGATCCGAATCAAGCAGATGCGGATGGCAACACCCCTCTGATCCTAGCGGAAAATGTGGAGATTGCGAGTCTTTTGCTGGAGGCTGGGGCAAACAAGGATCAAGCGAGTTGCGACAGCAATCGCAGAACGGCTCTTGGCCAGGCAGTGCAAGGACTGTCACGAATAAACTCCTGGATGCCCAAGCCAAAAGAGCAAGTCCTAGACTCCGCCCAAAACTTCTTCTAACCCTGAATCCGCCCAACCCTCAGACTCCAGGTTCAGGGTCTATAGGGCCTCAGGATCACGGAGTGTAGGGTGAATCCTGAACCTGAAGGAGGACACTTGGATGTTGTGAACTTGCTACTGGAAGCCGGGGCGGACAAGGATCTGGCAAATAGCCATGGCACCACGCCCCTCATGCTTGCAGCAGCCTATGGCCACGTGGACGTTACAGGCTCGCTTCTGGAAGCTGGTGTTGGCATAGACTTGACCGACGTGCGCGGGATAACAGCTTTGATGATTGCAGCGATCACCGGCAATGTAGAAATTGGCAACCTGCTACTAATTGCCGGGGTCCAGAAAGACATTGCCTGCCGGGGTGGTGGCACAGCATTGATGTTTGCGGCAAGGTATGGCAAAGTCGAGTTCGTCCGCTTGCTGCTGGAAGCTGGTGCAGGAAAGGATTTGCTGAATAATCAGGGGAAGACGGCTTCGGTTCTCGCAGCTGAGCATGGGCATGTGGAAGCTGCAAGCTTGCTGTCAGCCTAGGAGAACCGAAGCATGGAAGCACTTCGTACCTGTTGCCATGCTGGAAATCTGAGTTTAAATCTCGCCGCTAGCTCTGACTGACTTTTGTGAAAAGTCAGGCTTGCTTGCGTCATCGCTTCACCTTGTTGCAGCTTTCGGTCTCAACGCCAGCCCCTGAACCCTACATATGGCCTGACCTGGAGGATGTAGGAAAGACCGTAAACCCGACCAGTTACTCATTGCTCTATCCTTCATCTCCGTGGGTGCCATAGCTGCCTCCCTCCTTGCTCCTGGTCTTCCTGTGGATTCGCAGAAGCTGCTCCTATCTTTCCTCAGCCAGAAGAGGCTTCATACGCAGAAAACCTGCGGGGGCAAAGAATGGGCAGAAAATCCGGGGAATTGCGCCGGGTCTAGACGCTACATTCGGGACCATCATGTACGGTTGAAACTCACGGGGCTTACTACTTCGAGCTCAGGCCTTCGAGGCTGGGGCTACGGTGGCCCGAGTTTGGGGTCCGCACGTTTCGCAACAGCTTTTTGTTGTAGGGTCTCTGTATGGGACTGCAGCTGTCTGTGTTTGATGCCTGCCACTTGCGTGGAAACACAGGCGGGTCTCCGGGTCCGAGCCTTCAAACCTCCTACGGCTTGAACCCTGGAGCCCAGAAGCCAGAAACCCTCAGCTCATCGGCATCACCCTCCTCGCACCTCCCTGTCCCTTCCGCATGAAAGGTCGACGTCGGAGCAGAGGGCTGTGAGATGGCGTGCCGGAGTGGTGATCACACAAGTGGAGGCTTTTTGTGCGTTATTGAGTTGGTCCTTCGGGGGTTTCGGGGTTCGAGGGTTATCAGCTTCAGCAGTCAGGGTATCGGGTTCAGGGTTTAAGTTTAAGACTGTAGGAGAGTTTGGGTTCATGGTTTACGCTTTCCAGCTCGAAATATGGGGTCCAGAGCACACGCAATTAATTCCTGGATTCGCCTGTTTGGCTTCTGGGTCCAAGATGGTCCAAGAATTTTGGAACAGGAGGTTAACTGCCACGCCGCTAAGCAAACGTCACGCGACGACACCATGGGGACATCGCCTTGAATTGCAGTGCTTTAGGGTGCAGGGCCTAAGCAGTGCTGAAGTTTTGATACGATAGCATGCCTCCGACTCCACGCTGTATTTCTCTTTTTACACAGAGCGCACTGCATTGCATTCCCTGCAATACGTAACATTACATTAGAGCCCACCACCTTACACCATGCACCATGGCATTACATAGCATAGTAATAATGCATATCAACACATGGCATTAAACTCACCTTGTGCCACATCACATCACATTAAATCACAGCATAACTGCAGTACATCCCGTTACATTACATGACATTGTTTAACATTTCGGCATATTTGCATTACAAATGCAATTAAAGTACACTTCGCATGCCTTACATGTGCATTATTGTACCGTCTGCATGTCTAGCACATTGAGATTAGTTCGATGCTTTCACTGCATGGTATGACCTTTACAGGTACGTTGGCATTTACAATGTCCCTTTATGTTTACATGTACATTGTATTGATTACCTTCTTATGTTACACTACGTTGTATTTCGTTACATTGCTTGGCAGTACACCGCCGCATTGCAGTGCATTTCAACACAATGTGCTGCCTCGTATTCCGGTTCACGACATTACGTTGCATCATATGGCACGGAAGGCAAGGTGGTGCAGGGCAGGGCAGGGCGGCAGAGCATTTATGTATGTTTGTACGTAGTTGTCATTAATTATGTAAGTATGCAACTACGGATGGATGGATGTACCTGTCTATGCATGTAGCTATGTTTGTGTGTGTGTGTGTGTGCGTGCGTGTGGGTAGGTGCTGCAGGTATGCAGATGCGCAGGTTGGTATTTAGTTACTTAGGTATCTCTCTCTCTCTCTCTCTCTCTCTCTCTCTCTCTCTCTCTTTCTCTGTCAGCTTCATATCTTTGTGTTTATCGCCTCTCTCCGCACGCACCTGCATGTGCATCGAACGTTGACCTCAAATGCGAAGCACTCTATATGCACATATATATATATATATATATAGATAGATAAAGAAATAAATAAAGAGCCAGAGAGAGAGAGAGAGAGAGAGAGAGAGAGAGAGAGAGAGTGTTGACTGTGAAGCTAAGTGACTAAAGCGTCAGGCTCAGAGGGTGGAGGTGTCTGCATCCTCCGCAGGTGCCGAGTGCGATTTCTACTTCACTGGAACCTACACAGACACAACAGAGTCTTGTCATACGAATTAGGAATAGAGTTTCATCAACCGGGGTTTGGGCTAACCATTGAAAGATTCTGGCTTTCAGGGCATGTGTTCTCCCGGAGCGTATGGACAGCAGGAATTGGTACTTGAGGGTTCATATAGTCGTGGGGTTGAGAGTTGAGACACGGCTTCAGTTGAGGTCGTAGGGCTTTTGTTGTCTCAGGGATCTGGGACCTTAAACCCAAGACCCCACTTCCCTTACCTTGGGTTTTAAGGCTTGATATCTTTCGAAATGTCGTTGCGTGGAGGAGTCTTGAAGCAGCGATGTGCATGGATGCGTACATGCATTGCATGGTAAGATAGGCAAATACACGCACGTATGTTTGTTTCGGAGTTTTGAAGGGCATCTTGACTCAGGCGGATCCTAAAGGTTCATGTTGAGACAGGTAGATATAGACAAGCACGCAGACAACAGCTGAAGCACCTGTTGTGACGATGCTGCAGCATGTCGAGGATATGAAATTTAGAGTAGAGATCTTCAGGCGCTGCTCTGAAAGAAAGTCTTTGGTTCTCGAGTTCCAGCTCAGGTCTGCCGACTGTACAGCAGTTGTGGCAATCTGGCACCTCGCTTCAAAGAGCCGCTTCTGCTCCTTTTTTTCCGTCCCATTCGGCCCGTCATGAGCCTCAACTCGTCATTCCACTTGTTGTCGTTTCGACCCATTGTCAGTCTGTCGCCATCATCAGCAGCAAGGCGGCAGGAGCAGCGTCAGCTGCAACACTATGATTTTGAGATTCCAGCACTGTTCACCCCGTAAAAGCTTCGTAGTGTTTCGGGCGCCGTTGAACGCATCGTATCATGTACCCTCTATCTCGAAATTGACGCTGTTTCAGCAGCAGAGATGCAGGATTGGCCCCAGATGTCTTTGAACGAAGATGTTGAACCTGAAATCTACCCTCGAACAGTTTAGAGATGTTTAAGGTTCAGGGAGTTCCCACTTTCAACGACGAAGCCTGCGACATTATCTCTAATACCTCTATGCCCTATGGCAGAAACCCCGCAAAAGCCTTCCAAAATCTATGCACGGCCGAGTGTGTAGTGTTTCCGCATCAGGAGGGGTCTCGGAAGTTTGGATCGTATACGGTCAGAGTTGAGGGTTTAGATTTCAGGCTTTAGGCTTTGAGGCTTAGTGTCCAGGGTGCCTTTGGAGCTGGCCCTGAACCTTGAACCTCAACACCCCTGAGAAGCCTTGTCCCAAACAGCATCCCTGAAGCAAGAAGGTACATCCGAAACTTGAAGACTTGAAGCCTACAAAAGCCCCTAACCCAAACCCTAATTCCGAATCCGAAACTCCCCAGGTACAAGAGGTGAACAGCCAGGGAGAGCTGCAGCTCGGCATTGTTAGCTGCGCGCGGAATCTAGAGGGCAGAGGGTGTGGGGATCGAGGATGCAGTCTGGTTGTATGATGCCTGGTACAGGCGATACGCCTGAACCAACAACAACTGCTGCGGCAAGAGCAAGAGCCAGAGCAACCATAGCAGTGCAAAAGAGACAAAGACAACGACAACCGCAGCCACAACGACTACAAAGACGAATACCACGACGGCGAACACAAAATGCTGCTCCTTTGACGGCTTCTGCTGCAGCTCAGCTACTGCTACCGACGCTACCACTACCACCACCAATATGACTACCACGACTGCTGCTGCTGCTATCTGCTGCTGCTGCTACTGCTACTACTGCTGCTGCTGCTACTACTACTACTACTACCACTACTCCTCCTATCGTACAGCTCCTCCCATGCTACTGCTACTCCTCCACTACTACGCCTCCTACTCCAACTCCGATTCCTACTCCTGCTATGTACGGCTTTGTTGCTATCTATGAGTGCTGCTTCTCCCGGCAGTTCTGTGTCAAGGTACGGTGTGTCGAAAGCGGAGGCATGTCTTGTGGCAGATGCTTGGTTGCACAAGGTGCCCTGCAATGAGGTCTCCTGTAGACCCGGATTATCCGGGTCTACACCCTTAACCTCTGAACTCGGAGCCAGAAACTCAAGACCGCAGCTCCTAAAGTCCTAAGAGCCTTGGCCTACACGCTTCGCAACCTCTGCCTCAAATCTGCATGGGCTCGGGTTGAGGGAGTTCCAGCCCCTACGGCGATGCCATTCTGCATGGTATGGATGCCCGGCTGCTTCCTCTCTCGATCGATCCCACGCCTTCGCACCCCCAGTAGCGGGTAGCCTAGATCCTCTGCCCGCAAACATTTCATCCCCGGAACTGTCTCGGGCTTAAGCTTGACAACCTTGAACTCGATCATAACACCTCAATACCTTCAGCCTTCGAAGCCGGGGATTTGTTGAATCCCATGCGCATCCTCTCAAAACCGCCTAAACAGCAAGACCCCTTTTACTGCAAAGGTAGAGGGTGGAGGGAGGTCGTATTGTAATGTTAGAGAAGGAGTAGCAGTGCAATGCTGTCTCCTTGTTAGAGTCTTCGGGCTCCCGCAAGCTCGATAGCCAGCAATTGACGATTGCCGTGTTTTGTCTAGCCTGTGACGATAAACAGAATGGGTACCTCGTGCAGTCGTGCAGGGCGGGACTTACCGCGAGACCCAAGTTCAAGGGACGTGCACAGATATGTAAGCCTCACAGCCGGAAAGATGGGTTTCAAGTTGCGTGTCCAGTCTCCCGAAGGAGGTTCCGACGAGGACTCCACACCCTACTACCTGCGAAGGATAGCCCGGCACCCCAAACCATACAAACCAGTAGGTTATGATCCCAGACATGGGTAGAGCTCTTCAACAGAGTGTAGCTGATTTTCAGCCCCGCTATAGGAACCTGCAAGGATCCGGAAGCCTGCAGGGCACACAAGCGCGAGAAGTGGCTGGCGGGTGAGATGGATCCAGCAAGGAGCTTACGGCGAGCCGAGGGGTTTGGGGCTTAGGGTTCGCGGGTTGGGAGTTTCGGGGTCCGGCTATGGTTTGAAGGTCAGAGTGCCTTGTGTTGCAGTTCTTGCGGTGGCCAGGCTCACTCAAGAGACCTATTCAATTGCTCACCAACTGGACATCGGGGAATTTCTGGCCAGGAGTCGACAAGGCAGAGCGGTCAAAGGGGACTGGAACCTGAAAGGAAAGAACCCCCTGAGGGAGTAACCACACACCGGGGGGAAAAGGGGGAAAGGAGGGAGGACCGCAGAAAGGGATGTTTCGTGTTTTCGTGGTTAGGGTTCGGGCTTTTTGGTATCAGGACGCCAGGCAAGGAAATGAAGCTGATCGGACGAGATGTGCTTTAGGTTCTCTGATCTCCTTTCTTCTGATCCCTTCGTCATCGCATTTTTGGTTGGAGGGCTGAGACCTTAGCTTGCGCCAACAGGTGTTGATGACATTGTCGTGTCTGTCGGTCCAAGCTTGTTGAACCTGAATGCCGCCCAATCATCGTTGCTCACGGGCCACATCTTTGACTCCGAACGGTGTAAGCCCCTTTTTTCAACCAAATGCTCCTTGAACTCTGCAAATAATAAACAGCAGCCATAGATTCTACCACATTTCTTCAGTGTTCGGGTTCAATGTCATTGCTCTTGAGTTCAGCCGGGCCGTTCATGAAGCTTTTGGGTTTCCGTGTCTTAGAACAAGCACAGAAAAGTCTCGTTGGAGCCTGAGGTCGGCGATTGCCTTTTCGAAGACCTTCTTTCGCAGTGCGACAGTTCGCTGATTCACGGAGGCGTTGAGTGGGCCTGGGGAAAGGGGGGATCAGCCTAGTCAAGCTCCACGGAAACTTCATTTCAAGACCTGAATACGGTGTTGGGTGTCGGGTTTTGGATATGTAGGGCTTGCGGCCTGGATAATCAGTACGTAATTTAAATGATATGTAACCCAGACCCAGAACATTCCTTGCAATTAGTGCGACCCTGCGGCCCTAACAACCAACACAAATCAAAACCCAGAGACCCGACCCATTCGGACTACCAGGAACCGCCCCAAGCATACACCCCTGACATTGGCCTGCCTCTCCTTCATGCATGGGTAGTGCGGCCGAGATGATTGGGTTTTGGTACTGCCCTGAGGCTAGCGGTCTTGCGAAGCTCAGAAGCAATCCCTGAGCATTTGAAGCCACATTGTGCCGCAGAGGACACCTGCACCAAAGAAAATCCATGAACTTGAACCTTAACCCCAAGCCCTAAGCCGTAAGTTGATTGAGGTCATGGCATCTCCGAATGTGGCAGCTGCACCCACATGAATGAAAGCGCCAAGGCTTTCTGGCTTCGGGGCTTTTAGGCTATAGGATGATTGAGGTTGGGTATAGGGGGGTCAGGCTTTAGGGCTCAGCTGATTATAGGTATTTCGGGCTAGGTATGATGATTCGGGGTTTAGGATTTAGGGTGTAGGGATTTAGGGTTTTGGGATTAGGATATACGGATGTAGGGTTTAATTGGAGTTACTTTAGGTTATTATAAGAACCAGGTTTTGTGGTTTAGTGCCCGCAAGACTTGCACCCAAGCCGCAGCTCCGGAGGCCTCAGTTCAATGGCTTTCGGTGAGACCCAGTGGTGCACTCTCTCAGAAGGGAAAATCCACACAGTCATCCAGACATACCGCGGGTCTTGGTTTCTGGGGAACTCAAAGTCCAGGACGAAGAGCCTTCTACCTCAAGCCCCTAATAAGCCCCGTATACAGCCCCAGGCCCGGACGCCCCGAACAACAACCTCCGGAGGTGGTGGGACTCTCCAAGCTGAAGCGTCCCCTCCCGGAGAGTTTCGCAGCAGGCTTCTGGGCTCGAAAAGGGCTGAGCGTGGCGTTTTTTTTGCTTCCTGTCTCACTATTCGAAACTAGGAGTTCAAATTCTGACGTAAGTTTGGGTGTAGTGTTGGAGGAGCTTGTGGTTTAGAAGCTTTAGTGTTCTGAGTTTACTTCGGTTACTTGCGGCAGGGAGGGGGGCAAGCTGGCAAAGAGGTGTGCCACCAAAGCATAGATCTTGTCATTGTAGTTCAAAGCTAATAACAGCGAGAGGCATATGTTTTGCACGCTTTCGTTCCAGCGGTCCAGGAGTCAGCATTCCAGGAGTTTTGAGTTTGGTGCGGTTTGGTTACAGTGTGTGTGTGTGTGTGTGTGTGTGTGTGTGTGTGTGTCTGTGTGTGTGTGTGTGTGTCTGTGTGTGTGTGTGCGTGTGCGCGCTACGACACGCGCATGCCTAGTAGCAGGCTCGTACGGCTCAGAATTGTGATAAGACACAGACTGTCCGACTTGTGCAACAGCATTCATAATGCTTAGCTAGGCTACATGCACAGGTAGTTATCGGATCTCGATGTAGAGCGACGGCCAGCATGCACCACATGTTTTCTACTGCGGCTCACAGCTTTGTCGCTAAATTCAAGGAGATACATTTATATTATTGGCCTAAAAAACCCAAGCCCAGATGGCCAGAAACCATCTTTCCTCGCAACCCTTCCCCCCGTCCACAATCCGACTACCTTCGGCATGAATCTAGGCTTCCTGCTTTTTCTAGATTCAGGATATAGGAAGTGTCGGACTTACTGAAGCAGGCTCGATGCTGTCAGTCAGCTGCGGTACGCGGTTTGCTGGCCTCAATCGCTTCGGCAATGAGCCGCATCCTGTCCACAAGGGTTCGTTCAAATTTGGTGCATTTCGGAGCAGAGGAGTTTGCTTAGCAGCACCGCAGACCAGAAGTTTCATGGCAGCAAGAACTGGTCTATGAGCCGATGTTCTTCAAACTGCTTACAGAGTGCTCTCAGAGCCTAGTCACGATCATGACACAAAACGGGGTGGTCTCTCGTTAAGTCAAAACGGGGTCAGCCTTGCTGTGTTCGCTGTTTGGTTTAGGTTTCGAAGTGTAGCTGCACCGACGAACTGCACCCTGTTACCTCAGTAATGAGCCCCAACCCCGAGTTCTAAATCTTGGAAGTCCAGCAATCTTACATCCGAAAGGCGGGATCGAAGTTCATCGCTTTAGGGCCTTGGGGCGTCAGAAGCTGCAACCCAAGTTCAAAAAGAAAGTCGCGAATTATCCCGACGCCCCAAAACCTAAACCTCCGAATCTCAAAGCCGCCCAGAGCCTCAGCACCCTGAAGCCCTAGACCCTTTCATCCCAAACTCCGACTCACCCTCATCCCTAAACCCCTATACCGTTCAGGCCAACGACCCGAAACCCCTACATTCCCAAACAGCGGAGGCTCTCAGAGCAGCAGATCGTTTGCCAGGATGGATCCTGGGCAACTCCTCCAGATAAAAGAGCGGTATAATAGAGGGGCCAGGCCTCAATAGTTAGAGTTAGAATCGTATTCCTTGGGGCTCGTTAATATAATATAATATAATATAATATAATATAATATAATATAATATATATATATATATATATATATATGTATATGTACATACCAGCAAAACTTATGCGAGGTAAGCAAAGGTATTCTGGTGGTATTCCCGTACAGTGCCGATGGGGCGTACAGAGTGTAGGGGGTTTGGGGTGCGTTGGTTGACGGTTTGTTTCTTTGGGGCTTTGGTGGATTGCTCGGGAGGTATGAAAGAAATGAGCTGGCACAGAAGCATATTTTGTTTCAATTGAACCCCTGACCCCAAATCAAAAAACTCCAATCCCAGAACTCTATACGACCTGGGCCCCAAAAGGCGCCAAACTCCACTTGATAAAGGGCCCTGAAGATTGAAAACGTAAGGGCACACAAAGCTGAGCCTGATAACCCCAAGCCCCCCTAAACCGCCTAAACGCCCTAAAGCCCCAAGAAAAAAAGGGCAACGAGAGCTCAGGTAGACCCCCATGGAGGTCCGGGGCTCCTGGCCCTGCAGTGTGTGGCCTGCACGCGCGCCACACCGAGGTAGGGCCGGGTATGCAGAGCTTCAATTTCGGATTGTGAGTTATGATGGACGGGATGAGCGCAGTCTGAGCTGCGTTGACAGGATTTGTACTTCGAGTTGCAGTTCGGTACAAATTGTCCCTGTCTGAGCTGCTCTGGCTGTAGTTGTAGTTCTAACTGTTGTCGCAGCTTTCTACGCGCGTGATTATCGCGCTCGTCCCTTTACTCTTAGCTTTGCGCACACGGTAAACCCCCAAACCATAAGCTCTACAAGCCTGCGGCCTTAGATAAATCTGCACTCTGGCACTCCAAGTCCCAAGCCCTGACTCACTTAACACCTGCACGCCCAGAGCCTAAGCCCGATAAGCCCCGAGCTGAGTTCCAATACCAGGGCCTGAATGCTGAGTGTCGAATAACAAAATCAGTGACCCGAGGCTTAAACCCTTACGGGAGCGATGTTTCCCAAGCTGGCAGGGCGGGGAGCAGCCTGCGAGATTTCATGGCGGCTTCCCAGCAGGATCCTGGATTCCAACATAGGGTTTACGTCAGTTTAAGCATGCTAGAAGCCAGGGGGTTGACGCCGCTTCAGCTTCTTTGGCTTTCAGGGCTTCGGGTGTTCGGGCTGTCGGCTTTGAAGTCTAGGTCTTGCCGTCTTGGATGTGGGCAAAGAGTACAGAGTCGTCGGTACGATTAAGAGTACCATAATGACACCGGACACTGGAGCTGTAATTAAAGGTTTTGGGTATGCTTTCGTAACAGCATGCAGAGGACGTGTTCTCTCCGTCTTTTAGTGCGATTGGAGCAACAACCATCAGCATCGGCATCATTAGACATATGTCGCCACCATGCTCAGCGTCATTGTCGTGCTAGCTATGGTGAAGAAGTAAGTCCGTACGGCATGTTGCAATGCCAGGCTTCATTCATATGGCGGAGGCGGTGCTTTGTGTTGGCAGGGTCCTGACATAAGCCTGCGACTGAAGAAGCAGACCCATGCAAGAAGCCCTGAGCCACATTCCACGGTGCTCCAGCCATCTATGTCTATGTACATACCTGCCTTCCAGGTTGCATACACGGCATGCTTAGCGCATATTCGCTGCATATGCTCGGCCCTGCTAGGCGTAGCTGGCGACCAGCCAGTGGAGTCTTGCAAAGGTGCCAAGCCTTCGGAGCATGTATGAAGCAGGCCCAAATACACAAACGTTAGTTACCTGTCGCACGATACAGAGGAGCAAGGTATGTACGGTTCAGATCCAGACTCGGATATCGTAGCATCCACGAACCACTCGAAAGCATCCCGCCGCAGGAGAGATGGTGGCTTCAGCACCATCCGGTCGAGATCCGCTCATGGAACAATCTTTGCATCTTGACTCGACATGGTTTGTTTGTAGGGTGGTAAGGGGTTCTGTGCAGGCCGTTTAAGGCTCTTCGCAGGTTGGACTCTGCTGTGAGGCCCCTGTAGCATCCCACAGTTTCCGAAAGACTCCGAACCTGAGTTCTTACTTGCTGTAGTCCTTGACTTTGGTGTTCTGGGGAGTGTCGGGGTTTTAAGAACCACGGCTTTAGCGGATGAGGACGCTAGATGCCTGAGCCGCAAGATCTACCTATAGGGTTGTCGAGCCTTAGGGGTCAGCGTCCTGGGCTGGAGGAACGGATTCAGGTTGGAGATTGTACCAGTTGTGGTCCAGTGGTGTGTTTGAGCTCGCTTCCTTGTAATCCCAAAACCTCAACCCACCCCCAACCACCTCCACTCCCCTGTCCTCTGCTGAATGCAGTTGTATGCTTTGGCTTCAATGGATAGTGGGGCTTGGCTCAAGGCGCTTTGATGCTCATCAGTCATGCCTCGCAGGGCAAGCCCGGCCGAACATGTAGACACATAGACCCTCTTTCGCAACACCCCTTCGCTGTCTCTGCCCACGGACATCCACAAACATGATCGGACTGGTTCGAAAGCCCCTTACATACGCCCAAGGCTTGAGCAGCGAGATTCAGAGCGACAGTTCGGTAACGATCAGCTTCACGGATCCTGTGTCTGGGTGGATAACGGTTTTGGGTGTTTGGGAATGTAGGGCAATGTTGAGTTTCAGGACTGGCGGTTTTCATAGGTGCTTCAGGGGCTCAGGGTTTAGGACTTCTTCCGGGATGTCGTCTTCGTAGCTGATTTTGGACCGATGAGCGTAAAGACTAGTTCTTCGATGCTCATTTGTTTGTGCTATTGTTTTGCCTTGAGAGCGTTACCAACATTTTATTTTTTCAATTCCACTATCATTGAGGAAAGAAGAGCGCCAGATCTGACAGTGGCGGTATCAGAGTTTCTGTGCGGGCATTCTTCCCGACAAAGATGATGATGGTGATGATGACGATGATGATGATGTTTTTGAGAATGAATGGCGCGGTGGTGGCGAGGACGTTATTCATTCGTGGATGACGGTGATGTTCGCAAGCTCTTGCGGTCAACACTGAGAAGAAAGACCCGAAGCACCCGACGAGGTGGACATTGCCGTGTCTTCCCGTCGCCGCAACATCGACAGTGGCGGGCGCCATGTCTCGGTCATCCCCACAACGTTGGCACCAAACCAATACTTCGAGCTCGAAGCCAAAATCATCAATGCTGATTTTGATCTGTTTCATCTTTAACCGTTTCACTGGAACAGCTCTCTACAGCGGGCAACACAAGGCTTGTACATCCCAGGACTAGTACCTCGGAGCCCGGGACAAAGCTGCAAAGGCTGCTATCGAATAAGACCTTAGCCCCGCATAGGTGTGTGTGTGTGTGCGCGCGAGAGTATTTTTGTGTTTGTGCGTGCTTCTGTGTACATATATATATATATACATACACACATTTGTAAATTAAGCATGTATACCTGTGTTTGTGTATGTGTGTATGCAATATACCCAATATATGGTGTATACATGATTAATTACATTACGTATACATATATATATATATATATTTATATATATATATATATATGCGCATATACATATTTGTAAAACAAGCATGTGTACTCGTGCAAATGCAGGCTTGCATGCATGCTGAAGCCCAAGCCAATCCCAAGCCATAGATGCCGAGCAGAGCGGGAGGCCGGGACTAGGGTTTGAGGTGCGCGACTGGCTAGATGCGAATGTGTGCTTTGCATCCACGCATGCGATTCGGTTTCGGCTGTTGCTGTTGGTGTGGTGCTGCCTTGTCTGTGCCGCGTGCCTTTTCGACTGTTCCACAGCCCAAAGCCCTGTACGGCTCACCAGAGTTTCAGTTCAAATCCGAGCCTGTGACTCTCAACTTCTACTTGGCTTGGGAACCGTCAACCTCAACATCCGGACTTGTAGGGCTCATGCAAAGCCCAGGAGCTATGGCTCAGCGTCGCTGGGTCTGCAGATCAGAGAACCGTACAGTATGGGCTTTCTGGTTTGGGGGTGAGGCACGCCGTCTACTTTGACCCGAATTTTGGTACGCTTTCCACATGCTGATAGAGCCCAACAGCATAGCAGAATAAAGATAAATGCTAGGGTCTACGCGGGGTGTCATAGCTGCAGATGCAAGGTTGACGTGTGACGTGTGTTATCAGGGCGTCGGATTAGGTCTGAGTTGGTGCAGAGGTAGAGTTGTCGAGTTTCGGTGGTGGCTATTTGTTGCATTTGTATAGTAAGGATGGAAGGATTCCTTTCAAACCGAAATTCCACTCTTGTCTGTATGGCGTAACTCCAACAGTGAGAATGAACAAATACAACAGTAGCCTACTCAAGATTTCAGGTTTTGGGGCAGCGGCTACTCCTACGGCTGGACTGGCGAATCAGGAACCTGCGCCTTTGACCAGCGGGCCGAAGTTTCAGGCAGGGAAGAGTTTTGCGTTTTGGGGTTCAAGGACTTGGGTTAAGCGGTTTGGGGCAAGGGTTTGGGGATTTTAGGTTGTTTTTTTCTCAGAGTCTGCTTGTTTTGCTTATGAAGAAAAGCTGCAGCATTTGTGGTTCAGAGTTTAGTTTAGTGGTCGCTTTTGTTTGGCATGTTGCTGGGGGTAAGCAGGTTACGTGGATCAGGGCCTGGTGGGAGGGCAGTAGCTTCAGGACTTGGCGTTTCTTGGGGGTGGAGAGCGTCTGAGTTTTTGGATCCAGGCCTGCAGAGCGTAGCCAAAGGATGCGGTTGAAATCATGCACGCCCTGCAACCCAAACTCCCTAAAGCTTTTAACCGTCAGTCCTTTAATATCCTAAACCTTTAATTCACTTAACCCTTAATTAGCCTTAAACCCTAGACAGTCCAGGGCTCTAGAAGCTTGGTTCATGTTTTCCACATCATATTTGTCACAGGCCTCCTGCCTACAGGGAGGCTTCGATCCACCAGCAATTTTCCAGTCTTCAAGCCTAAAGCCTCTAAAGCCCTGTGGCCCCAAGCCCTGAACCAGGCAGCTATGCCTTGAGCTGGTCGATGAACGGCAATTCCCAGAAGATAGAGGACCCTCTGACAGGTCCCTCAGGTCTTCTGGCGACTTCTCTGCTCGAGAGCGGCTTAGGGTGTTTGCAGCAGCTGCTGCAGCAGCTTAAGCGTGCCAATTCCAACTGTCGCCATCGCTGTCTATTCCACAGATGCACCGGCCTGGATAGCTCCCGAACTCCGGTCGAGGTTTCGCGACCTTTCAAGGCTTGCAGATGTGAAGTGCACCTTCGGTCTCATCAGGCCCGGCAGCACAACATCAGCCCCAACGGAAGCGCCAACATGTGCACCAACACAGCCGCCGTCGACAGCGCCAACAGCATCATAAGTGCTTCATATTCCATCAGCACCGTAATGTCATCGATGTCATATAGTCATTTTGGTCAGCAGCAGCGCCTGTGCACGTTTGAGATTGCCGTGTTCCGACCCTGTGTTGGTTTACCTTGGTTGGATCTTCCCTATGCCTTGGATGTACAGAAATGCACGGTGAGTCTGTTTGGCTGTGCTCACGCACTGCAGTATGCTTACTAGTATTTCACGGGCATGTGTAATTTCAGCAAGCGTGCAAACTTGGGTGCATGCATAAATGCTGAGTGGATGTGTGTCTGTACATTATATGTCATGTGTGTATTAATATATGTATATTTATTTATATTTGTATATATGAATATGTATATATTCGAATACGTGCCATGGGTATTAATAAACAAATAAATATAAATAAATATGTATATATATATATATATATATGCAGGTGAAAGAGCTCCACTTACATCCTGCGAGGTGCCTTTATATTCACAGTTTACGTATGTTGGCCTTGAAGCCGTCATGTGCCTGGCGGGTCCGCAATAAACCTGCGCAAAAGTACTTAGGTCAGAGCTCTTAGTCTTGAGGAGAGACGCCTTTGAAATTGAGAGCACGTCTATCCGTTTCGGCAACGATGTAAGCGTAGCATTAAAACTCGTTGACCAGGCATGTGAACATTTAAGCTGGCTGCTTGGAACGTCTTGTATCTGTGAGAATGGGAGAACTATGGTGAGGAAAGGATCCTGTTGATGTGGCAGCTATTGTTCAGAAACCCGCTACTTAGAATCAGGGCTTGGCAGAAGCGGATGCACAAGAAGAGGCCTTAGTTACGGACACGGCGAAAGTGTCAAGGAATGCCCCACAAATACCAGTGCAGTTTACGGAGGCCTTGCAAACTTACAGGATTTTCCACATGAAATTATGGGGATAAGGCAATCGTTGGAAGCAAGGAACCAACGGTATTTGCGAGGGGTTCTGAACCAGGTAGAGCAAACTGTGCAGGAAGCGTGGGTCCCTTCTGGCCCCGATTTTGGAACGCCTTCAGTTTAAGGCTAAGGCCAATTAATGATATAGGCATGTGAACCCTCTGGATATGTTGATATTCACCGGATGTTGCAGGGCCGTCGCTTGCGCATACGCCGTCAGTACAACTGCCTTTTTCGTTTAGTTTTTTTTACGGGATGGTTATAAGTCAAAGGCAATTTACACGGGGAACCTGAAAATCCCAAGCTCTCACAGCTTAGCTGGCTCCTCCAGGACATCCCTGGCTTGCTCCAGGGGATCCAATACGATGTAAGCTTCAAGGCGCGTCGGTGGGACTTGTAGTCGGCCTCCGAGGGCTCAGGATGCAAGGTTGTTTCACTTCAGTTTTCAAGAATAGTTACCAAGCTTTGAAGAACCTTGTTGAGTTCCGGGTAGTGTTGCAGTATCAATAGCGCTTGGCTTGGGCGGTTTCGAATATAAGTGCAAGTTGAGCGTACGGTCCGGCAGTGTGGACAACTTCGAGAGCTTGTTCTAAGGACATCGCAGGCATGTTCCGTTGCAAGAAAAGATCTGGAGGTTGGTTGCCTGCAAGGCTTTTTGCTAGTTTGATCCCTTTTCGCTCGATCAGCTGCAGCATTGAGGTACGAAAACTTGCCGTCACGAGGTGCAGCGCATACGTGGATAAAATCGGTGTACTCGTTTTGCGGATTGGATCCTTGGGGCTGGATCCGTGGGGTTTGAAGGCCAAAACTCATTTCCTCAATAGTTGAGCACAACATATCGAAATTGACGTTTGCGAGCTATGTGGTGTGACTTTTGGTTGGAATTTTACCCTAGAAGCCTTCAGGCCCCTGTAGGGTTTCAGGCCGTTGTATATAAGCTCTTAGGCCCGGAGGCGCGGCCCATGGCTGTCTCGAAGGCGTCCACAGAGCCTTGGTGTGAAAGGCTTTCGATTGCGAGGATCCCGGTGCAAAGTTTGCGGTACGACCAGGACTTCAATGTTGGCAGAGTGGCCATGATATGGCATGGGCTGATTGGATTGGCTTAGCCCGGCTGGAAGAACCGAACCATCGATTGTCAGCTGATGGGCATTATTGGCCGTGCTTATGACAACAGAGACAAACTTGTTGCAGGTTCAATCAATGTGGGACCTCGTCAATGTGCGGGGTTGTAGCAATACATTGAATACTGTTCAGTGAGCACCAAACTTTCGAAGAAGTTGATTGAACACGGTCTCCGGGGATGCAGCTTTGACATAGGCTACACTGGCGACCACAACATGTTGCTGGCGAAAGGGTTGAGATTGTTTCCGGATGCGCCGACAGCGTGTGAAAACAAGGCCTTGCATTGGTGGGGCACCCCATGCTCCTCTTTTGTCATTTTGTGCTCAGCTCAGTCCCAACGTGCTGAAAGCAGCGGCTGGGAGGGCTCGTGGGCTGAGCGGGACTTTGTATTGAAGGGAAATTGTCAAGCCCTGGGTTTGCTCACTTGGGATTTTCCTGACAGGGGCATGTGACTGCTGCCCTGTGCTGGAACAGGCCCTCAGCTCGTGTATGCCGCACCTCGAGTGCCTCAAAACAGTTCTGTCCTTTCGTGGTTTCGAAAATACTTGCACCTACATGGGCGCATTTAATGGGAAGTCAAGGAACCACCACCACTGTGGCATTTGCTTGGGTTTGATTCTGAGAACCTGGCCAGGCCAAGACCAGATCATCACTCTTTCATTGGTTTAGTGAGCAGAGACGAAGACGGCCGTTTCACCGGCATGTCACCAGATGTGCAGGCTAGTGGGGAATACACTTCCGAGTTCGGGGAAGCAGTTGAGCAGATTGTCCGAAATCTATTGTGACGACCGACTGACTTCTTCAGCCAAATACGTAATATCATTCATAGCTCAGCTTCATGGTTTTGAGGCCAATCTGCTGCGACTGGCTTTGGGGTGTCCATGCTGTGACACGACAGCAACAGCAGGCCATGCAGCGACGCGGGCCAAACAGTGGGATGAGAATGTTGCAGAACAACAGGCATCTTGGCAATACCTTCAAGTGAATTCATCAGCCACTCAGGCTCAAGCTCAATTGCTGTGATTTCTTCGGTTTTCAATTGTGACACAAGTGTGAGTTGCTTGCAGCCTAGTGTCAACGCTCCCAGTCCGGAGTCAATTGCACTTCTGGCCGTAGACCTGTGGTCAAGATTTCCTCAGCCTTGCGGAAACCTGTTTGTGTTGCCGGGCTGTGGCCCGAAAAGCCAACGGGTTGTTCTGAGCATTGTGAGGAAACAGTGGACAGCGATCCAGGGTGACGTTGCCCGACGAGCCAGTGTCGGTGCAATTGGAAACTAGCATGGCGCAGCTCCTCCCCCTGTTGCTCTTGGTCCCTCCTCCTGCAACATCCGGCAGACAAATGTTTTCACTCATCACACTCACTACAGCACTGTAAACACCGGCTTGGACAGAATTTGTGGACCATCGCTGTGTTACAATCACACACTAGTGAACACCGGCTTGGACAGAATTGTTGAACCATCGCTGTGTTTGAGTGTTGGTGGTACATTCACCACAAATACAGAAGTACTTTTTCATGGTTTTCTCAGTATTTCTGTGTCTGCAAATCTCCAGTTTCATTACTACTACTTATTTCTGGACAAACGTCCTATGGATTTGTTCACTCTGATTTCCGATTTTGACGATTTTTGTGCTTTCCAAGCCTCAGGATCCAACCTCCAAGGATCCAGCCCCCAAAACGAGTTCACTGATACAGGAACTCCGACGACTTTCCTCAGACTCTCGCGAACCCTGCGTGATGCTATATCATTCTTGATGCCAACCAAATCGCAAGGGTGGCTTGTACTGCAGTGATTTATCGAGCTAGCCACACGTGCTGTGAATAATCATCGATGGCTTCTGATACTGCAGGAACTTGTTCTCTTGCTCCAGTAAATCCTGTGTAATTGTTTTTGCTGTAGGTTGGAGCAATGTTCACTACACTCCATTCCCAGAACACCTATGGCAAACGAGATCCACCCCCAAAACAGTTCCCAACCATGGGCTACAAACCTTATCTGGCCAGAGGTGAAGGCTACTGCTAGCTCGACGGCCACCTTGAGTACTCACTGGAGCCTTGTTGTATGGGGGCGGGCGGCAGGGTTTAATGACCTACAGTTCGGGTTCAGCTATCTCGAATCTAGAGCATTCGCACTTCATAACATAAAGTAACCTACTGCTCATGCCGCTGCAGCCCTGGGGCTCACAACTATGCCTCTTCCTGCTCACGCATGCCAGCAGCGTAACGGCCAACGACGACGACAACGACTGGTGCTACCAACCGTGCTGCCGTTACTGCTCCTGCCGGCAGCCTGGCCCTGCGAAGTCTGCATACTGCTCGGATGACCCCTACTGAATCTTGTTCTACTCCTCTAGTCTTCTACCAGCACGTCACAGAGAAAAGAGCCAAGGAGTGGCGGCTGCGACGGCTCCGGGTGCCCTGCGGAAGTCGTGTGCCCATCAGGCTGGACTCGGGATTTGGCGGTTATGAGTAAACCCGTCTTCTCTGGGATGGTCTTCTCGGCACCAGACCCTGAACATCATGAGTCATGAGTTCTCAGATCTCTCGGGCTGCGGTTTAAGAGTTTGGGATTCGAGTTTGTGGGCTTGCGTGCATTCAAGGCATAGTTTCGGCTTTACGGGCCCCATAATACATGAATCAGTAGCTTCAGGCTTCCATAATCTAATTTTTCAGGCTGCAATATTGCGGTGTAGAGCTTGTTTAGGGTTAAGGGTGTTGGGTTTAGAATTTAGGATAAGTGCTGCCACTCTGCATGGCTCTGGTGTTTGCATAGGTTTCTGTGGAGTCAGTGGATGCCTCCCATGCTGGCTGTGATCCATGCTTGGTACATGTTGGGGTACGAAGATTTTCAGACACATCCCAGGCATTTGCCAATGGACATGCAGCCGTGATTTGAAGCAGCTACGAGATCTCGTTTTGCAGGGTGATGCCTCAATAGGTTGTCTAGCGTTGTTTTGTGTGCAGAGCTTGGAGGTTTTCAAGCGACGGTTGTATGACCTGCTTATGGATGTCCCAGAAGTCCTCATAAACGCTTTCGAAGCATTTCCAGATTCCCTCAACCACTAACACCTGAAGTGTAAGCCAGACCCTGAACTCGGCTTGGATGGCAGAGCTTAAGCGATCGAGCGATTGAGAATAGCAGATAACCACTTCTGCTTGTGTGCCGTGGGTTCAAGATTTTTTAGTTGTTGGAGACTACGGTGTTGACAGTTTGACGGCCACAGTTCCTACGCGTCTACGGCTCAAGGCTACAGTTTCGACAAGATAAACAGTGATGTACGCAGGATGAGTTGAATCCTGAAGGACACAAACACTTTGGCTTGCAAATCTCACCAGCACAAGTCCCTAAAGCCAGTCATGTAGAAGGTCGCTCGCTGGTCAAGTGCGAAGCAGGGACCGACGTCGTATCCGTCAAGAGACCTCTTGGAGCGCGACTTCAGCCGAAAGAAATAGGCTTGAGGGATCGGGTCAGCACATAGGTATGGAGGATCTACCTTGTGTTTCGGGCGTTGAGTTGCCTGCAGAGCTGCCCTGAATCGCTCGGCTTCCAAACCCAAGCACCAATCCCTGGGCCCAAGGCCCTGCAAGAATCCAAAATCTAGAGAATGGTGTACACCTGAACCCTACACTCCTACACCCTCACCGAAAAGCTCAAGCTCTTATTCCCTGAACGACTCCCCAGACTCTATACGCGAACTCCCAGAGGTTTGTCTGCTCGGAGTTGCCACTGCTTCGGATATGAGAGTTTAGATGTTTCAGGGAATAGAGGTTTCGGTTTAACAGTGCTGGGTGCAGGGTTCATTTGCGTTGTTCGTTCTGATTCCGTTGTTGCTAGTCCATGCTCTGCAATCGTCGGATACCCGTCGTGTCCTTAAATTCAGTTTCATCAACACGTACAGCGCAATGGTCTGACGGTACCCGAAGGAAGCTACGGCTTCGAGCACCGGGATGTAGCGCCTGGCCATGTATGTAGGGTTTGGAACGAGTCCTGGACTGGTTGCATATCTTGACTAATTAGGTGTGCCAAAGCACTTACATCTGTTGACGTCGGAATTCGTGATTAGCCAGTCATGTTCCTTGCAGTCCCAAATCCTACACCCAAAGTGTGAACATTGAGCCCCAATCTTGAATCCGTAAGAGTAACCAAGACCTAAACCCCAACAAGCCCCCGGCCCAAAAAACTTGCTCCTTGTCCCGAAGATCCGGACATCTTCAGGCAAGTTACAAGTTCAGGGCGATGCCGGGCCTACGGTGCCTCCGGTATGGGTGCCAACGTTCGTGTCTGAGCCTCGAGCCTGGGGGTGTCCTAAGGGGGCTCAGGTCTGATTGAAGGGTGGGGTGAATTGCAGTGTAGATCTGATGTAGACAGGGCTTCCTTGCTTTGCCCGTGCAAAACTGTGGGATGGGTATTGCGAGGCATAACTAGCCCTCAATCCCAACCCCCGAGTTTTATGTTTGAAGAGCGTAGCTGCAAGGAGTCGCTTTGGGCATGATTCCCTGGTTTGCCGATGGTCTGCATAGCATGAGAGGAGTGATCCTGATCCTCCGAGGGAACACACAGGTTTGGGTGTTGAGCTCGAAGGCCCGATTATTCAGGGCTTCAGTAGAACTGAGCCTGTGGATTCACAGTTTGCCTGAGAGTATCTCGTACCGTGTGCTGACTCAATTCCCTTGTTGTTTGTTTATAATGTGTGTTTCTATCGTCTGTATGAGCGAACCAGTCGGAGCTCTCGAGGTCCCGCTGCCCCTGAAGCCAACCTTCATAAACCGCAAACCCACAGACCTCCTGATCTCTGTGAGTACTACAGACTGCGGGACTGTAGAAGATGATAGCCTGTGTAGATCCTAAACTTTACACAAATCCAAGACGCGAACCATCACTGACTTTGGACTGCGAGGCCCTTACTTGAAAACCTATGCAGTCGCTAAAGTCCCAACCGCAAATTTCTGTGTTCTGCGTGTTCAGGTGGGCGATGAGAAGTGCGGTCCTCATCGTTAAGATAAAAGCAATGTGTATAAAATCTAGTTAAGCCTAGACCTCCAGCCTCTAAACCCTTGCTTTGTGAACTCTATCTATAATCATAAAGTCCTATCTATAACCATAAAGTCCGCCTGCTCCATTGAACTCTAAAGTCCGCCTGCTCCATTGAACTCTATATAGCAACAAGTTTCAACACTCAAAAATGTATCATTAGCCCCGTGCTGTAGGGCAGTTTGCTTTGAATGTCGAGTTTAGGCAGCGAAAGATCGAACTTGCCAACAGTTTGGGACTTCAGATCAGCTGCGCGATGTCGCAAGGCGGAAGAAGCGAGGTATTCCACTCCATCCATCTATCTTCTTCGCCCTTGGGAAGCCCTGTACACCCTTCGTCCGACAGAACTCTCGGCAACCACACCACCGAAAACACAAAGATTCAGTTATCACTTTAAAGGGCCCGACTGACTGCCTATTGAAAACCCGGGCAGGTTCGGTCTCCCAACCGGCCGAAATGGCCCGTACCCCGTTCATATGATCAAATCGAGTATCTTGATGACTCAACTAGTTCATTTGTGGTTTAGTCGCTTCATGTCGCCCCATGACTGACTAGATCCACAGCCACACCATCCATAGAATCGAGGACATTGGTTGAGACCCTACCCCATCGATCTGTGTATTCTGCTGCTATGCTTGGGCCCAACCCAATGGACCATGAATGCCTTGATTTCGCCATCATGATTGAAATTGGATTGGTAAGAACCCACGCTAAATGCCTCATGTAGCGAAGTCGACTGCCTTGCATAGGTTCACTGGTTGAAACCAGCAAATGTTGGTTGCGGACGCCCAAGATTCATCCTAGTTCACACTAATGCGTGCAACGCATCTCGCCCGAGTTTTGTCCTTGTTTACGACTGGTGCAGAATGTTCGACATCGTAACTCATCCACTCATCTCCACGCAATCGAGCTCTGGCGTCTTGGTGTTTTCATCCTTGCTCTGACCGCATTGTTGCGTTTACAGTCTTTTTCTTCCGCCAGCACTTGTCGCAAAGAAACCGTTGAACGAGGGCTTTACAGTATCTTCCTATCCTCACAATCCGAGTTGCTCAGACAGGCATCTAGGCCCTTATACATATTATACTCTTGATATTCAGAACGGGTGCTATGAGGGATTACATCAGTATCTAGAGGAAAGGTAACATCATTTTTATAATGATGTGACAATTTTGTTTTCATAAGTGATGTTTTAACAGAAGAATCAAACTGTACAGAGTGTCTTCGACATCGCATCAGCCCATGTTATCTAGGAGCGTCTATTCCTGCAATCCGTGCCTAATAAACTTCCTGCATGTTAACTACGAGCTGTTAGCCTGTTCAGTCAGACTTTGACGAACCATGTCTTACGCACAGGACATCATTTCAGAATAGCGAAGCTTGTAAAGCACAATCCCACTCTGCAAACCCGCGAGTGTTGCGCACTACAAGCACTAGGATACCACACTCCAACCCCTACAGTATAAGCCCAATGCCCTCAACCCCCAAGCCCTTAAACCCCTAAACCCTACGTTTCCGCTGAGGATGAGCACGTCTTACGACTCAAGCCACATCCCGGGAAAAAAATCCTCTGAGGAGCAGATCCGAAGGAGACTCTTGGTCAGAGGTGGCCGGATGTGGGGCCAGTGGCTACGTGGCGGCCGCATGGCGAACAACTGGCCCACCGTTGCTGAAAGCGTTGTTGGTGTTTGGATTTCGGGGTCTCAGGGTTTGGGTTTATTGGGCTTTTATACACATGCATATGCATATGCATCTGCAACCAAGTATGTATATCTATCTCTATCTCTATATTTATACCTATATCTATATCTATATATGTATATATACATACATATTACATGTATGTATGCATGGATGTATGTATGCATGTGGGTAGGTATGTATATTTGTCTGTCTGTCTCTCTGTGTGTATGTGTGTTAGAGAGAGTGAGAGAGAGTGAGAGAGAGAGTGAGAGAGAGAGAGAGAGAGAGAGAGAGAGAGAGAGAGAGTCGTTCGACTTATTGAAGGTTCGTGTGTTCGTCTAGTTTAGTTCTATCTTGTCATCATGTCTGGTGATTTTCTACTCATCTTTTCCGTTTCGACTTGTGATTCATTGGCGTATGCAGGTCATAATTAGTGCTCACAAGGCTCAGGGTCTACCTTCATCCGCATACAAGGCTCGCGGCTACTTGCTTGGATGTATATTGGACTGGCTTCATGTGAGACCCAGACATCGAGGATACTGCTTTCTTCTAAACGTTAAGATTGTGAAGAACCTTGAGGTCTTGGGGCGCAGATTGCCTTGGCTGGGGCTTTGGGGCTTGGTTCTGGGCGTAAGAACAAGCCCTGATTCAATTGAAAAGAATTTCAGGTCACAGAAGCCCGGATTGAAGAATTAGGATACCGGATTGCGATCTAGGACTTAGGGTTCGGGGCAGAGGGTCCGTGGCTTCGGGCCTACGGTATTTGGGGGTTCAAGGTTTGGGACTTGAAGTTGCGGCTAAGGCTTCAGAATCGGTTTGCTGTTTATCTTTTCTAGCAGGTCAGCCTTGAGGGCTTGCGGGACAGAATTTTTGAAGTTCAACATGTTACATGTTCGACTGTCTGAAACCTGTTCCATTTGATACCACGCTGCATCAGCAATCGTGGACCAGACCCCGCGGCATACGTCCAGCTACTTGTATAGCAGTTTCGCTAGGGTCCTAGTACGGCGATCGTCAGCTATGGTTGCCGTGCTTTATTCATGCAATACTCCTAGCCATAGAATTTGTCGACTAAAATAAGAAATTACATCCCAAAGTATAGGTGGTAGGTCCTTTAGGGTTTAGGGTTCCTTGGCAGCCCAAAGGATGATACAAGCCCCAGAGTGACAATCCAGGTCACGCCTGCAATGATGTGGGCAGGCATGAACTTTGGGGGAGCCAGCAGTGCCTTTCGGCTCTCCCATGGCTATACTATAGGGGCCTTGATAATGACCTGCATTGTTTTGATCGTTACTTATTATGATTATAGTACAATGGGCCCCGAAACCCTATTCGAATTATTAAGGCCCCCATATTCATTTCATAGGGCGTCGGGTTCAAGGAAGTTTCGGCTTGAAAAGAGTTCAACTCCAACAACTCATACTATCAAACAAAAGCATGTTTAAATTTAGTTCTTTGTGGGGTTGTATTTGCATAGGTGATGGAGCAACCCATGCAATCGTCTTGGAAAAGGTTGGCCCGTTTCCGTTCAGAACCTGTGCCACGAATGTCGAATCCCTAAGTCCACCTCTGATTCCGAAGTCCGGAATCCTCTAATGCAGAGGCCACCTTAGAGGCATTGAATCACTGGACTAGATCATTGTGGAGTCTTCACACGATCTGCAGTAGTGTAGTAGACCCTAGGAGCTGGTGTTTTCCTTTTGTTTTTCAGGGCACTTCCGGTTTTGTCGGATGTTATTGCTTTAGCGTCCATTGTTGTTTCAACATAAACATAAAGCTTGTGTTGCAGGATTCTAGTGAGTGTATGTATCTCTCGCTAGTGAATCGAATGCAGGTGAGTTTAGCGTGGGTGGGGTATCTTTGCCATAGCTTTAAAAAAGCAACCTACATACTAACCTAGAGGGAGCATCGACTGGACTTCGGATCTTTTGGATGCTGGTTTGGGAAGTGTGCCGGGCTGCCTGCCGAGCTGCTCCGATGCCCAAATTTACCCGAACCGTCTGGGTTTTAGGGTTTAGGGTTGGGGTAAATGCTTTCACGGCTACGACCTACGATGAGTGTCACAGGCAGGGACAACGTCTTATCTCTTACCCGGCCCTGGACCCTCAACTCCAGCAATCTCGTCTAGGCCTAGGCAGCAAGTAAGATGAACCTTAAAGCCGAAGCCTGTCCATCCTCGGAACGCCCAAGAGTGTAGAGCCTGGATCCATCAGACGCAACGAACATAATGTTGTGAATCCTTGCTCGTGTCGTTCGGGTGTTGTTTGGATGTTAAGTGGTGGCGCAACTGATATGTCTGGGTAGTTTCTTGTTGAAACTGTAGCGAGGGTTCTGTAGGAGCTGTATCAGGTTCTAAACGGTTTCTCAGGAGTTGAGGCGAAGGCATCCTGATACACGCCGACGCTGTGGGATATCGTCTTGGGGTTGGGCAGCAATAGCATAGGCAGTATTGTGTGTAACTCATTTAATTTCTGCCCACGAGCCCTACTCTGATTTTTCAGCCGCTGCAATCGTCCCACTAATGTCCCAAGAAGTATATACTTTTAGCCTTCACGGATTGCTACAGAGGTACTTTAGGCCCAACGTCCATATGACATGTCTGTTATGGACCCTTATAAAGTTGTGTGACTTTCGGGCAACTTGGTGTATCCACGATGGGTCGCATTCCAAATCCAAAGCCGGCGGGGTTTTCAAAGTTTGCGGTTTGGTGGTCAGGGTCTTGGGTCGAAGTGCTTGGAGGTTAGGCTTTAGGGTCATTCACGTGGTGTCATGTTAGCAGGACCACAGCCTTGAGCTGGAACGGTTCCAAACCTTCCAAAGCGCGCGCAGCTAGGCATTCGGTCTCAGCCGCCTCTCCAACAAGGGCGACAATGAAAAGACGAGAATTTGCCCTGAAGGCACCTGGCTGTAGCTTGGACAGCCATTTAGGGGTGGGCCGGGGGGGGGGGGGGGGGGGGGGGGGGGGGGGGGGAGGGGGTGGGTAGGCTTACGTTGTACAGCTTAGGCGAGGATGTTTGCAGGGTCTGTGGTTCGGGCTCCAAGGCTGCAGCAGATCAGGGTTGGCAGATCAGGGTCGTCACAATTAAGGGTCCCCTTCAAGGCACCTGCTCCATCAATTTCTTTAGGGACTTGTCGTTGAAGGAGCCTCGTTCCTTGCATGCATTGCGACACGATGCTAGGCGCTTCATCGCATCGTGTCAGACTCACACTTTTCGGGCGAGTGGTGGAAGCAATAGTGCGGAAGGCTAAGGGCATGGAGTACGTGCCATGCGACAGGTTCACAATGGGTAAGTTGTACATTTGTGTGTGTGTATATATATATATAATGTACATAAACAATGTATAATATTATGTGTATATACGCATGCATGCATGCATGCATGCATGCATGCATGCATGCATGTGTATATACAAGCGGGTAACGGTAGGTAGGTATGCTATGGTATCTATTTATGCTATGCTATGCCATGTGCACGGTGCACGAAGATCCCGAGTTACATTACAGTAAAGGTACATTGCGGCAGGAAGTGTGGAACTAGTGATGCCATATTCCTTTAGAGCAGATATGTGGAGCTTGCTGTCGCTTCACCATCTTCGACCTGCTGGCGGCAGTATGCTGTGATGTCTACCGAGTTCTTCTGTGGCCAGCACAAGTGCTGACTGCCCTCGGCACAGAATCAAAGACCGAACCCGAAGTTGCTATCCTACAACCGTCCCGGAGGAACTCATCCGCAAACCCCAGCTTGGAGACCTAGATTCAGACCCCATGACTCCGTCGAAAGTGGTCAAACTCTAGGAAGCGCATGGAAGTTTGCTCGGGAAACAAATGGGACGGAACCTCGGCTGTGATTGGCCTTTTGGGTCGAGGGTCTGGCTGTTTACATTCTTTTTAGTTGGGACTTAAGATTCTGGGCGACGCGACCAACCGAAGATAGCCACTGACATCCCGTTCGGGCAACTATGACAGCCCGATTTTCGGGAATATTCACAATCTTGTCCTACATCTATTATCTAGGAGCTTCATCGCGTTTCTGAACTGCTGCGACTGTCCTGCTTACCACAAGACTGTTGGCTTGAGTGCAAAACCCAAGACTCTCAACTTCCGTTCCTGTTGTGTTCAATGCGGCACAAATAAACCGTCATCACTTCTTTGGCTTCCTATACCCGGTGCTTCTGGTGCATGTATTTTCTTTCCGGCAGATTTGCACTCGAGCACTGGGTGCGTGTTGGGCTGAGGGTCGAACCTCTTATGGGTCAGGCATTGGGGTATTGTGGCTTTTGAACGAAAACATGCACAGGTCTTAGCTTTGGTTGAGTCCCAGGGCTCATAGTGTTTGGTGTTTAGATCCTACTACGTAGCGCGAAACCGACAGGCTTGGAGAGGCTGGCTGAGGAACAAAGCATAACCTACCAGCCTACGCCTTCAGTTCCCTAAGGCCTAAGTTCTGAGCCCTAAGCTCTAGTCCCTCAACCCTACACCCTAGACTCCCCAAGACCTGACATGGCCTCATTCAAGGACCGATGCCTGGGTGTAGGAGCTGCTGTATACCTACTTCAAGAATACCCAACTCTAAGGCTTGTGCGCATGGCAGCCCCAGCTCAGGATTGGTGTCATTACTCGAAGCTACAGTCTCTGCTAATCAATAGGAGGCTCCAAGACACAGCCTGGTGTGCAGGACTTGAGGATTCAAGAACAATCCCTCCTTTGGCCCATGGCAGGTATGTACTATGGCTCATGCACGAACGGTCAAGTCATGCACACGCAGAACGATGCGTGCGATCGACGAAGACGGCGTGGCAATAGAAGAAGAGAGAATGAGCCTCGGCAACATTGGCCCCGCCCTCTTCCAAGTTCGTGGCGTTTGGTTCCTGCTTGCCTTTTGCAACGTATGGATAAATGGCCCCACGTGTGACGCATGGGATTGAAGCCGTTTTCACGAACAAGAATTCGAAGTGTGGAGTGATTCGTTCTGTTTTCTGCAACTCCTTGCTTCAGCACTGTCTGTTTGACTCCATCTTTCGAGACGAGCCCTAGCCACTAGTCGCCAAGTAATCCAAGTCATTAACTACTTCAGTAGCGAGATTGGAGGTGTGCTGTGTATACAGTTGTGACAAATAAGCAAATGAATGAGTGTGGTGTTTTGGAATTCACGCACGCATACTTATTTGTACTTAGGCGTATGCACGCATATATACACATGCACGTTTACGGCCTACATATATATATATATATATATATATACACACACACTATGTTGCACTACGTTGAAATACTACGCTATGTTAAACTTCATTTTACCATGTCGTATTATTACTGTGAGTTATTATATTATGTTTGGTTCACTTTTTTCTTGTACACTATACTTGACTGTATCAAACTATACCATACCACAATACTCTATTGTGTCTCAGTGCATTTTGTGCTGTTTTACAGTCTAATGTTCTAATGTATTATGTTGCTCACTTTACTAAAGGATGAGATATGACAGTACATGCTGAAAGCTAATGATACGCTGTAGTATGCTCCATTTGGTTGTTCATTCTGTGTTATGATCTTATAGAGCAGAACTTTGATATAATGTTTTTCATTGCTGATTACATGGTGTTCTTCATGTTTTAGTCTGTCTGTTTCATAGCAGCATAACAAAGCTTAGTTTATATCATGTTCTATTGTATGATACAGTTTTAAGGTTTACATCATGCTACATCATAGTATATGAGACTGCATTGCATCATAGTCTATTGTATTAGGTTTTGCTTCACTATGCTACGATATGCTATGTTCTAAGTGTAGTATAGTCGAGTACAGTATAGTACCGTATAGTATAGTTTCGTATAGTATAGTATCGTAAAGAATAGTATTGCATAGCATAGTATAGCATGGTATAGCATGTTGTTTTATGATATATCAAGGTGTACGGACATGCGGTTCAACACAGTGGTATGCTTTACTGTAGTTTGTCATGTAATGTCATGCCGTTTGATTTATGTACATATATATATATATATATTGTTGTATGTATGTATGTATGTATGTATGTATGTATGTATGTATGTATGTATGTATGTATGTATATGTACATGTACATGTACATGTAGATGCAGGTGCAGATGCAGATGCAGATGTAGATGTAGTTGTATACGTATACTGTATATTTATACATATATATATATATATATATATATATATATATAATATTTACATGGGGTCGCCTGGGATCCGACGTTTGGTGCCCCGGTCCTGCAGGCTGCAGGGGCCCTCATCTCCAAATGCTGAAGCCCTCATCAAGAGAGCTGAGTTAGAAACGTTTATCAGTGGTGCGAGGCAAGGCCCTGACGCCTCGACCCGTAATCCCAGACTGTGACATTGTCGGACATTCAACCTAAACGCCGAATCACACAATGGGGAGGGGGGCAGACCCAAACTTCCAACCTCTAAACACCAAACTTCCAATCCTTAAACGGCCACCTCAAACGGTTCTTGGTTTACAGGATTGAAGTTCTGGAGTTTTCGGGCTGTCTTGTTTCATTATGAGCGCGAGTGCAACCTTAGGCCAAAACTCAGCCGTCCAACCCTTCAGCCCCCAAACGTGAGCCCGCCCTATCAACAACGGCCTTCAAGGAGTCCTCAAACCTCTCATGCAAACTTAGGAGGGACGCCGTCGCCAGACCCAGATGGACAAGGCCTCTGGGGCGCGGTCTCTTGGCACGCACTGAGTGTAGCACCAGGACTATATCCTCGGGCCTGGGTGGAGGACAGAAGTCTGATAGCCGAGTTTAGCGAATGTTGTAGGATGTTGTCAAAACTGTTATGACATGGGTTTCTTGACTGAGATTGAGGGTTTCAGGTTTTTGGTTTTAAAGGAGGAGTTTTCGGCACTGGGGCGTGTCTCGTGATGCCCCATTCCACCGGGGCAGGCCTTGCATACCCCTGGCACACTTGCCAGCTTGACAAGCTAGAGGATGGCCTTGGAGGGTTCGTGGTTTAGGATGATACCTTCGAGTACTATAGGCTACCCTCCACCAACAGGACAGCAGAGCGGACTTAGACATGGTACGTGCCTGTGTTTGCAGAGTTGGACTTGGGCACTTCGTCTTCAAGACCTACTAGAATGAAGCAGTTTCTTTTTCGCTGGGCTAAGCTAGAGGTTAAGGAACATCATGACACATGCAGGATTAAGATGCTGAGTGCTACCCGTGCTTCGCATGTCACTGAGGCGCGTGTATGGCCGGGCCGGAAGCAACGTGGACAAGGTCTGCATTGACGGTGGGAAGCTTGGTCCGCACAGGTGTACGTAGCCTCGTGTGTACTCCGGTGTAGTTACACGAGGGCAGGGCACCTGAAGTACGAAGCTCAGGAGCGCCCCGAGGGTGCGCGAGAGAGAGAGAGAGAGAGAGAGAGGGATTCTCTATAAGCGCCGAAGAGTGCAGCATGCAAGATTCAAGGCTCCTAGGCATGTAAGCTCAAGATCCAAGGACTTACTGTGCAGGATGTATACGGTCTGAAACTAATACGTCCCAAAACGCTGAATTGCCGCACCTGACGCTTGACATAATTTAGGGCTTTAGAGTCAACTCCTGGACCGTCAATCCTTCACAGGCTCACGCTGGCATTACCGAATCCGGCCTACAAGCAAGCTCCGGCATGTCCTAGCCTGTACCCCGGGGGTAAAGGTTGAGTGAAATTGGAGCCCGAAACAGCACAGAGGGTTAACATCAAGCCACATCCCAAAATTTACATCCATGATCTTAAACTCTCAAGCGGAAACCCTTGACCGCAGAAACCCTGCAGAGCAAGCGTAAACAGACCTACGGCTTAAGCAGCACGGGCTCCAATCCTGAATCCTTCGAACAGTTTAGGGTTGGGTGGGCCAGGTTCAAGGTGTATGTAGCGTTTTGCACTTTAAGCACCCTTCTTGGAAGAACCCCAAGCCCCAGCATCAACAACCGGGATGATGTTCCGAACTTAAGGGTCTACAGTGTGAGTAGTTGAAGAAATGGTTGCTACATGGGTAGCTCTTGTCGTCAGGATCATTGTCGTGGGGGTGATCTTAGGTGGTAGCAGTGGCAAGAGTATAGAAGCTGCAGCAGCTGTAGCAGCAGCAACGGGAAGCAGCGGCGGCAGTACCAGCAGCAGCTGGAATAGTAATGCTAGGATGAGGTAATAGTCGTAGTTTTAGTAGTGGTAGTAGTAGCAGCAGCAGCAGGTGCAGTAGTAGTAGTAGTAGTAGTAGTAGTAGTAGTAGTAGTAGTAGTAGTAGTAGTAGTAGTAGTAGTCGTCGTCGTAGTCGTAGTCGTAGTCGTAGTCGTAGTCGTAGTCGTAGTCGTAGTCGTAGTCGTCGTCGTAGTCGTAGTCGTAGTGGTGGTGGTAGTAGTAGTAGTAGTAGTAGCAGATTTGTTTTGGGTTGGCGCCTTGCGTCAAGGTACTGCCGCGGCAACACGGACTCGGCCCCTTTCAGCATTTAAGGTGTGTTTCGGTTTGAGCATTTTAGGGTTTATGGCTGCAGGATGCTGCGGGTCAACACGAAGCACGAGTGCTTCGTGGCACGGTTCTGGCCGACTCTAACCCTAAGACGTCATGTTAAGGACATCCGAACTTTTCCGTCTCTCGCCTCTTTATGTCGGCATGATCCCACCAGGCCTGCGCCCCAGAACCCAACATCCTCATCCCCAGACCCAAAATCAATCTCCGGCCTCCAGTTCCGCGATCCCGCATTCAGCGGAGGCTATATATATGGTCACGCGCTCCGCAGCCCCCCCCCCCCGCCTCCCCCCCCAAAGGTCAATGGTCCGGATATAGGGTGGGGCCCCCCCTCCCCTGTGGTGTGGGGTGTGGGGTTCCTCTTTTCCCTGTGGGTGGTTGTTGTGGGATTTTGGGGTTTAAGGTTTAGCTTAAGCTTGTGAGTTTTGGGTTTACGGTTCAAGGTATAAGGCTTCGAGTCGACAAGGGCTTAGGGAGGATTTGCGGTGTATGCTCTGCTTTAAGCTTAGAGCCTGCAGTTAGGTGGGGTTTAGGGTTGGGTGTAGCATTTTAAGTACAAGTTAAGGTTGCTCAAAACAGGGGCATGCGCTGCGTTGTAGGGTTTACGGCTTGCTTGCGAAGGGCTTGTGCATGAGCCCTGGCCGCCAGCACCACCCCACCATCCGTTGGCAGCTCCAACCAACCCCTTTCCGCACACGCCAGCCCCCCCCCCCCACCCCTGTTTGTTTTTTTTCTTTCTATCCCTCCCCGGATATAGGGTGGGGCCCCCCCTCCCCTGTGGTGTGGGGTGTGGGGTTCCTCTTTTCCCTGTGGGCGGTAACCAGACCATTGGGGGGGGGGGGCTGGGAACGCCAGACGCCTGACCAAAAATAAAGCTTCGCAAAGCCAAAAGCCTGTGACTCGACACACCCTAAAGTCCTTGAGCCCCATGCAAGTCTTAAAGACCCCAGGCCCTATAGACTTAGCCATGAATCCCTACAACCAGGTGCTCCAGGCCCCGAATCCCCAGGAATCCTTACTGCATGTAGTTCCTGATGCGAAAGCCAAGAGCCCTCAACCGCTACAGCAGAAGTCCTAAACTCCTAAACGTTTTGTGGCAAACGCTGCAGAACGCATTCGACCACACCTGCGGGGCGAACGCTCTCTTGGCGGGATTCAAGGAGTCTTGGAGAGTTGAGGGTTTAGGCTCGGTTTTCCGAGGGTGTCCGGCGCTACTACGGTGACTTGTTTGGTGTTGTAGCTTTGGCTTAGGATTATGTGTTTAGGTCTGTTGGTTGTGGTGGTGGGTTCAGGATTTGCCGCCTGGTTCTGCTGGAGCCCAGGCTGTCATTTTGGGGCTACGTGTTTCGACGCTACTTACTCAGTAGGGGCTCTCATCATTGCATCTAGCACCACCAGAAATCATGTGATTTCTGGCCTGGGCAGACCGCGTGACAGTCTTGTCAAGGCCGGAATCTCACCCCAACTGCATTTAAGGTCTTGAGCTTTGGTGTATTGATCTGAACCCTACAGTAGCGAGACCTCAAACCCGTCAAGTGCTGGAAATGCATAGGGATCCGATGACCAAAAGCCAGAGTTTGTCACTTGTTCAGACACTTGGGAGTACGGTGAGGTGTATGCTGTGGCTTTAGAGGTCAAGGACATTTAGGGTGGATGGTTTCGGCCCCCTGACCCCCTAACTCGAGTCGACCGTAGCTGAGCATCTGAACCCGAAGCGCCGTTGAAGCGAGGAGTACGACCGCCGCAGGAGCATTCGGTTCATGTGCAGCTATGCCGCAACTGACAAACCACCTAAAACTTAATAACCCCTAAGCTCCACGGGGGCTTAGGGTTCGTTACTGCTGCTAGGGCTAGCGTTTAGGGCATCCGGTTTTGGCATTGCCTCCCGGATCAGGGGGTTTGGTTGAGTTCAGGGTGCGTAACCTGAAATTGCAAATTTTAAGCGCGGAGGCTGCGGGAGTTTAGGATATTTGAATGAGTTTGCGATGCCTCAACGTGTTCCTGACAGTCCAAAAACAGTGGTTTTTTTTAGAAGCATAACTACTAAGCCAAAGAGTTCCAGTGCTCAAGTCTTCGACCAGTACACTCAAGCAGTGCGTTTCCAAAACCACGTGATCTAGCCAGCTTCCGTTAAGGAATGCAGACAGGGAAACTGGGTAGGCCCCTGAGTTCTTGTCACATGTTACAGATGCTTGCAAAGCAACTGTTCTCGTTCGTGTGCAAACACGTCTTGAAACCGTCTTTGTTTGAGAACACATGTGTTTTTAATCCGCCATACGCGCCGGCGTTGTAGCATATCCACTAACGTTTGTACAGTGCAGGTGATTAAGCAATGAAGCGAACTCGAGTGGACGCTATGTGTTTTTAAAGCAGGGGTTGTTCACGGCACAGGACAGCAGATTACTGGTTGACAAGGGCCTACAGGTAAATCCCTTCCGCGTACTACATTGAATACGTCCCCGATATACAGAATGACTTTTAAGTATTCCATGTGTTACATTGTGGGATTTGGGGGTAGTTGTGGGTCGTCTAGAACAAACCAAGTGAGGTAACTGATTTGACTAATTCATTAACTGAATAAATAGTCAATCGGACTGGCTAATTCATTAACTAGCTAGTCAATTACTAGTCAGGTAATCTCGGAAAAAGAGCATGTGATTAGCAAATAGTGTTTTTGTTAACTAACGAACTTATTAATGAACTAACATAGTTACTTAAACAGTAGGTAATCTCTTACTTACTTACATACTTACTTTGTTGAACAGTTATTTCATTAGTTCATAACCAACTAATTAATGAATTCATTATTTAAATAGTTTGCTACGTGGTTAAGTACAAAATCACGAGCTACTTATTTCGTGAGAATTTAGATAATATGTGTCTACATCACTGATTAGTTAGCTAGCCAGTACTTCCTCAATTAGTTACTCTGCTTATTAATCAATTAATGAGAACTACTGTATCAATGAATTTGTGACCTAAGCAAATAAGTGATTATGTAATTGGCTAATTCAATAAGCAACTAATTGTGTAATCCATTAACAAACTTGTTAAGCAATTGTTTAGTTTGATTAATTAGTTACTTACTTACTGTATGTATGTATTCATGAATGAAGTACTGAATTCGTGAAATGTTTATGTGATTGCTTAGTCATTAAATGTGCAGTCGACGCCTATATGGAATGAAGTTTTGATGTTGCCACCTGGGTTCGCACTTCCTCTCAGCATGCTTCATCGACGGTCTCGCCTTTGCATCAACCACTCTCTTTGCAGCAAAGATGGGGCTCACCGGTTTCCCCTTGCTCAGGAATATACATGGCATATACTTCGACCTTGACAGGGCTCCTTTCCAGGCAGTCTAGGAACTTTAAGGCTCAAGTATACACTGTATGGACGCTTTGAGAAATTCAAGCACGAAGACGAAGTAGCCTTTCGACACTCCCCCGCAGAGGTCCAACAGTCTCCTGAATCATAAGGATGCACCGTAAGTGTTGTTGATTGGGTGGGTCTCAAACTTGCTTGTTCCCGGCACACCGACACACACACACACAGAGACACAGACACACACGCAGACACACACACAGAGCTCAGGGTTCGATTCACAGTCTTGACATGTATACACTGTATGAGACTGTTCTGCGTGATCTTTAGGAAGCCGTCACAAACGTTATTTTCAATTGAACCAAGATGTAGGCAAGCCCTGAGGTCGTGAAGTGCGGCCAGTTGTGAAAGCTTTCGACTGCACCGATAGCGGATGCAGGCCGATCCACCACCTTGCGAAGCTAAAGTTCAAAACTGCCATAGGTGATTCGAAAAAGGTTTGGTGATATGGTATGCTGCACACGGACTTGACATGCCCACCTCCTAATTATTCAGACTCCTTGCTTTGCTCGGACACTAGACCCGAAACCTTAAACCCTAGCAGAATCTGGGTAACTCTCGCTGGTACCTGTCTGCCAGGTCGTGATCACACGCTTTCTTCCGAACTGGGACTATTCCGCGGGTAGCCTTCAGCGGAAACCTATGCAGTACATACAGCCGCCCAGAACAGTTAATACATAGTCCCTAGCATACCTCAATGACTCAATGCCATTATAGTCAACACGGAAATCCGGGTGAGGGCTACAGCGGTGAGAATGCAAGGAGTTTGAAGTTTACACACCGACGCCACGGTTTGCGAATGGTTTGCTTGGTCCTGGCAGCGCGCCTCCCACACGCATACTTCCATCTTACATATTCCATTCTCACACGCATTCCCTTTCGGCTTCTCTACGATGCCTACAAGCTCTCCAAATTTACGCCCCAACTTTGAAGCCGTTTAGCTCAACCATTACACGATAACTGGCAAGTTGAACCTTCATTTCTGGACGCCGGACGCCCTTGAACCTGCAGAGTTCGTGCAATCCACGGTTGGGCTTAGCCCTAAGCTGTAAACCCACAAAAACATGTGCATCCTAACCCCAAACCTGAAGCCTCCAGACCCTTCTCTAAGCGGAAACTTAACCCACTCCTTCCGCAGGGCGATGTGTGCAAATGACAACTGCAAGATCAAGCCTTTCTGCGTGAAAGCCCACCCCAACATTGCACCTCGGTAATCTTCAGGTGTGTTAAAGATCTGACCAGGCTGAAAAGTTTTCGAGTTCAGGACTGTATCGGGATCGTCAGGATCAACGGTTCAGGCTGCTTCAGGGAGTCAGGGCTTTGGGTTTGCGGGTTTAGGGGTTGAGGGTGTGTTGTTCAATCCTGGCTTGTTTTGGTGCGCCCGCAAGAAAATGAACAACTTGAATATGCGCATGCGCTCGTAAACGAGTGAGTTCAGTTTTGGGAAATGCAGTAGCCCCGTTTCAAAACCAGATAGCCAGATAGACCATGTTAGCTGGCAAGAATGCCCACGTGTAGCCTGCATTTGAGTAATTAGCACGGGGGATCCCCGAACCTTTGAGCCCCAATCAAGCCAAAGGGATTTCACGAAATCGTTCCCACTGGTGTTACGTTGCACTTAAAGGAGGCGTCCTGTCACTTACTACCGAGCATGCAGAGCTCGGAATCGGTCCGTCGGCACAGCGGACGTGAAGCTGAGGGCGCGAGACCCGTCGAAATCCCCCCAACCTCTGCAACTGCAAACTCAAAACTTAAGGCCCTATCCTGCACCAAACAATTCCTGGCTTCGGGCTTTGGGGTTTTACCAGTAGCATCTTGCGTCTAGAACTGGCTTTCCCAAAACCCGAAACCTCAAAGAGCTCAGCGGACCACGAGCCACTATCCCCAAACTCCTAGACTAAACCCAGAATCCCAGCCTGCAACCCAAACTCTGAGAAAACAGCCTAAGCACAAGAAACTGCAACTCCGCACCCTAAATACCCTTAAAACCCCAAACCCTGCAGGCCTAAACCCTTTAACACCTGCTGCTCAAACACCTTGGAACTTGAATCCCGAAGCCCCGACAACTCACAACCGACTCAGGGTGTCGGGTTTAGGGCCTGCCCACCACAACTTCCATTCATGGCCCAGACACCCAACAAACCGTCGGGAACCCCCGGAACGACCGAACAGAAATCCTAACCCTGAACCTTGAAAAACGTTGAATCAAGCCTAAATGGCCTTCAAGTTTCAACATCCCAAAAGCCCTGGCAGCCCGCCTCCCCCAAAGCCGAGGTGGAGAGCGGAACTGAGGCCACGTCTACGGGTGGAGGTGCTTGGTCCGGCTGGTCCACCTGCCCATCGCGCTCCTTATGCGTCAAAATTCAAGGTTTTTTGTGTTTCGGTTGGGGGTTCATGGGGCTTAGGAAGTTTAGGATGTAGCTTTATTCAGGGGTTTGGGCTGAAGATTGAGTAGTTTCAGTTAGCCTGGGGAATGTAAGGGGCGGCGCTTCTGGGGCGCAAAGTTTTGGTTGAGGGCATCCAGACCCAATTGGATTACTTGTTTCTTTCTGCCAGCCTGTGCCAGCCGTTTCGGTTCGGCCGGCACTTGAAGGCAAATGTTGATTCGTGGATGCACTTCACCTTCCATGTCCCAGAGGCGGTGGGATTTCCTGCATGTATTCAGAGATATGACCAACCCTGCAGATGTACGACTGGCTAACGCATCAACCCCAACCCTAGCCCAAACAATATAGCAGCATAGCCTAAACCTTTGACCCGGCACCTTGGCTCTGATATAGGGGTCGGAACAGTTTTATCAAATATTCTCTTATAGTCCTGAAATAACTATGTTAGAATTCATGTATTCAGGCCCTGTATTAAGTCATCCCAGGCTATTCTGCGGCGGGGCTCCGATACATGGAGCTGATAGGGAGCGTGGTTGATGCCGTGGCTCGGCAAGACCTGCTTCGGATGAACTGTTCCGGCTCGATTCGTCTTCTGGATTTTGGGGCTTTACGGTTTTAGGGTGTGGGGTTGCATTCTGCATCTTGACTGTGCCGACTTCCGCACTCTACACCTATCCATCTTGACCTTGTCTAAGATCCTGAAGCCAAGTCCGTCTTGACGGGCCTGAATCCTCCTTGCTACACGGAATTCGCATCATTGCTGAACTGCTGCACTCAGAACCGGATCAAGTTCTTCATCTTGCCGCAGAAATCGTCCCGCTCGAATCCCGCAAAGTAGCTGCACGATTCCCGATATAAGTCGTCCTCCACATATTTTTATTGGACCGCTTGTGTAGAGTGGTGTCTATGCGTACAGGATGTAGGTAGAATGCAGGCGGTAGGCATTATGGTCCAAGATGAGCGCATCCTGCAAGAGCCTGTGTCTGAGTACGTTTGTTTTGTTGCACGCAGCATTCCATCCCCTGGGCCGGGCATCGCAATGTCTTGGCAAGGACGTGTCAAGCTTGGATGGCCTGGAGTGCGTCGGCAACAAATGCTTCTTGGATCTCAGAAAGGATCGACAAGAACTGCAAACGCAAGACTTGACGAAACTGTTGGTGTCATTGCCCTTGTCAGTTCTGCGTGATCACAAGCAGATGTCCAGCAAAAGCAGTGGCTTCGAAGCCATCATCAACAACAAAAGCAGCAACGACGACAACGACAAGGACAACAACAACAACGACAACAACTACACACAGCAACAACAGCAACACCACGACCAACAACAACAACCTAGCATTGAAGATTCTAAACCCGTTGTCAAATCAGAGCACCTGTCTGCTAGATCCTATTATAGCCTATAAACCTACGCTCCTAGTCCCAAACCCGAGGCAGCAAGGCCCTTAGCCTAAAACGGCCGAGCTTCCTATGAAAGGCCGAGCGAAGAGCCCCCGGAAAGCGGTGAAGATCAGAGCCGCATGCGTAAAGCTCATAAGTGCCTCGGAGTGCTTAGTGCCTGTCTTTGGATCAGGGAGGGTTGGGAGGGCGTTAGGTTTCTCTCACTAGGGTTTTGGGATTGGCGTTCACTAGTGTTGGGAGTTTGTGGTTTTGTCGCAGAGGTTTGCAGGTTTCTTGTTTCTGGGGTTGGCTTTGAGGCGTGTTGGTCTTGCTAGGTAGTTTGTCAGGGTAGGGGCAGACTGGGTCCGTAGGGCGTTGGTTTGTTTTTGCTTGACTCTAGATGAGGTATGATGAGGTCATTAAACTGCATGGCAAAGTTAAAGGAAGTGCTTTTACTTCAAGTGTGCCTTGGGCTTCAGGTTTGGGAGTCTAGGTTTGGGGGATTTCATGTTTCGGGTTGTGGAGATGGGTTGATTCTGAGAACAGGGTTTGTATCCCCTGGCTTTCAATGTTGCGTCGGTACGCTGATGACTTAGTGTTCTATACGGCTAAGGTGAGGACTAGTGCACCCAATCCTCCGAATCTCGGATGGCCCTTGGGAGGTACGCTGATGGGCACGCCGAGGGCGGCCTGGCTTTGCTTTTGTCTAAGGGCCGTCTCCCTCCCCTTCTCTGCACTGACCTAAATTCGAAGACAGTGCAGGACTCTTTTTGTTGGGCCCTCCACTCTCTCCATTGCCTCTGACATGCGCAGACATGCGCGCCAGACATGTATCGAGAGCGTACGCCAACACCGAAGCTTGGGGTGTCGTGCCAGGAGAAGACGGGCACCGGTTGGTCGGCGTACTCGACTTGCCCAACTGGCTACAACGCAATCGGCGTGGCCAAGGATGGAACATGTCACAGATCGGGTAACATGCTGAGCCTTCATCCTACACCGCCCCAGTCAACGACCGATATCTAAACCGCGCCACCTGAAATCGCATATTCAATGCCTTGAACCTTTCAAGTCCTATAACGCATGGCATGAAGTTTACAGGAGCAGGCGCCACGTGGTCTAAGAGGGATGCTATGTGGCTACATCAGTAAGCCATTCAGAGCCTTGAAGCCCTTGATTCTTGCCGGTCCCAGGGTTTTCCGATTTCGGCGGTCAAGCTACTCCTGTTCTGTATTCTTACAACCCTAATCGCCTGAGGCCCTCAAGTACAGGTTCAGGTCTTACCATCGTGGGGGAAGGCAGGAGGTTCAATGTCAATTTGGTGTGTAGTTGAAACATGGGATTCAAGTTGTAGGTTTTGAGCCACGGGTTTGGGTTTTCGGCTCATGTTGCGGATGAAGACTTTTTGAGGCTGAGGTTCTCGGGATGATCTCGCAAATACTTGCGTCGCCCAGAGTACTTTACTGGACTTTGTAGTACCGCAGTGGCTTCGAAAGGGGCTGATTGGAACGGCCGCACGGAGCATGCGAACGACTGCGTAAGAAACCCATTTGTATGCTAAGGTCGACTTTTTGAACTCTGGTGAAGGGTTTAATCTGAGTACCCAAACACGCGACACACCGCACTGCCTGAAGGCCTACATGAATGGTGGTTGGGATACGATGCGCATCTGGGAAGCTGGGCCTTTTGTGTTCTAATTCTGATTTTCTGAAATCTCCACACAACACCCATAATTGGCATGCAGAACTGCCTACATTACGACCAACCATGCCTCTTATGTACAGGAAGGCTGTCGTCGTGCACCTGTGATACACTGTCGACGTACTAACCGACAGGAAAAAGTCACCGACAAGAAGGCAGTAGAATTGACGATTTAGGCAAACCGTGCATTCGACCGCAAGACTCAATTGATTCCTTGCCCATTGGGAAGGACGTTCAGAGGACTGCAGCACATCTCAGGATTGCAGCACATCCCAGAATGGGTGTCGCATCTACTGCGTCGGAACGGACAAGTGCACCATTAACACCGCTTCTTTGCAGAATGAAAGCCTAAGTAAGATTTGTCCAGGGCTTCCATGGCCTAACGGCTTCAAAACTCAGTGCGTTCTCGCAGAGTCAGCAAGGAAAGGTTCAAAAGAGGCGAGATTCAGGCTTTTAGTATGAGACTAAGTGAAACTACGTCCGGGTAACTGAACGCATTTCTCGAGGCGCAGAAGTTAAAGCGTCCTCTTCAGTCCTCCAGCAAATGGCTGTATGCAGGGCAGGAAGTTAAGTAGTTACATGCATCATCATGCAGCCTTGATTAAGCCAAGCAGTAATGCTACACCTGGATTGCTTTTCAGGCTTCGGGTCTTTTCTTCAAGTGGCAAGGGCAGCAGGTTTCCGCCCAAAGCTGCAAGCATCTTCTGGTAAATGAAGTCTGGGGCAGAGCCTTCACTTGCACTTCCGAACCGAACCCTGGAGCAGCGCGTCTCAAGAAAGTCCAGCACGGAGGCAGCAGGGGCCATGATTGCGAACAGCCGCGTCTGCTTCCGAAATCTGCGGACTCCCCCACGAAGATGTTACCCTCAACTATCATAACCTACATACTCCTTCGGACCTCCGAAAGACTGATCTGGAAGCTCATGTTTTCATCCCTGCGTCCTGAGCCCTTTGAAACCGAAGGTCCTGAGCCCTAGCTTTGCTGCGAAGCCGCCCAAAGCTGCTTGAAACCCCAGGCGCTCACGCCTGCATGTACCCTCAGAACAACTCCCAAGTGCGAAAATTTCACTAGCTGCATCAGTAAAGCCAATCCCGTAGGATCACGGATAATCTGCATTAACCCTAGAACCCTGAAGTCCTGCAGTCCTTGAAGCCAGTCGTGGAAGTCCTAAACCCTGCAGTCCTAGACCGTAAACCCCCAGTCGTAAAGTCTTGAAAAGGCGATTCAAGAAATCAAAGTCGTAAACCCTCAAGTCCCAAACCCTGAAGCCACTAGGGCCACTAGCCCTAAACCCTAGAAGCCCTCTACAATCTCCAGGCCTGTATCTCCGCCCAAACCTTCGCAAGGGCAGAGTGCTCCCAGGATCACAAGAACCTGCGCCTCGGTCCAGTAGGGTCTTTTTGGATATTTACAGTAGAAGCCAGAAAGTTGGAATATCATTATCGTAACCCCTTTAAGGTAAATTATAGGGGATCCTACCATTAATCCATCTTCCAACTTTCTGGAGTTCCCTTTAGATGGGCTTAGGGCTTGGGGCTTCGAGTGTGAGGTCTTCAGGTTCAAAGGGCTCTGTATAGAGTTTCGGATTGTGGGTTACATGGTTCATGATTTCACCAAGCGAGGCAAGGCGCTTGCCAAGTGAAGTTGCCTGCAGAACTGCACAGATGTGCGTCCGACAAGAAACATAAATCGACGGCGGTGGTTTATGGTTTGTTGGCTTTACAGGATCCGCGTTAAGGGTTTTTGTGGTTGGAGGCTGGTCCCGCTACGAACCTAGGTATTGTTCTTTTTTGAGGGTGGCAGCATGGGCTCATTGTAGCTTCGGAAGTGGTTCAGCCAGGCTTCGGGATCTGCGGTCTAGGGGTTTCTGCATTGCTTCAGGTGGTTTTGTGAGGCTTCAGGTTGATGGTGCTAAGGGCTCACGGCTTGGGGTTCAGACAGGAAGAGAAGATGTAAGCGGCCAGCCAGGAGAGTCACCATATTGTCAACAAGCATGATGATGCTGATGTTCATGCTGCTACTTTTGCTGCTGATGATGATGACGATGATGCTGATGATCGAAATGGTGGTGATGCTGTTGGTGATGCTGATGTTGCTGACAGGTGGTGACGCTGATGATGATAATGACGATGATGATGATGATGGTGATGATGATGAACATGATGGTGATTCTAATGTTGGTGATGAGATGGTTTGGGTTCGTGTTGAGTCCATGCGGAACTGAGCTTGCACCAGCACCAGGATTGTGAGAAGCACCACTGGCACTGGGAACCGACAACCAAGCAGCTGTCCCTCAACGCATAACAGCTGCTAGGATGCATGTAGTCAGGTAAGTCAGTCCAGGTGTCAGGATGGAGATCCAGTATTCAGCCAGCCTGGTTCAGTCTGAGACGAGTTCAAGCTTAGGGTTGGGAGTTCAGAGTGCGGGGTTTGGAGAGTCGGAACCCGGTGTGCGGGCTGAGGCTGTAGGATGTCGAGTTTGCAGCGTCTTCTGGGCTTGGGCTTGGTTGTGTGGCTTAGTGTGGCTTTATATCGAAGCCTGGCCAATTACCACAACAATGCTTTCGGGCTCCGTATCATGAGTATACTGTAAGATGTCGCGAGAGCAAAAAACTGTTTGAATCATCAGGCCCCCCGTTTTAGGACTGAGATCTACCACTTCAGCTTTTCTGTTTGTACGGCCTGTTCCGAACCTTTGGAGTGCTGGTTTAAATGATTAAGACCAGGGCTCTATAAGATGTACGACATCAGACCCCAGACTCGAAGGCCAAGCTTTTCAGCCATGGTTGTAGATTGATAAGATGTAGCCTGAGGGCCCAGGTTCCCTTGGTTTGCTACCATGCGCACAAACCGTCCTCGACAACCCTAAATCTGAACATGCTTCCAGGTGTCCGATGCCTCTGTTACTCCGGGACGCAAAACAAGTGCCCAGAGAGCCGTCGACGGAATGTAGGTACTCTCGGCAGCGCGTCCGCACTGCTGAAACTTCAAGTGTTGGGGCTGCCTCCACAGTCAGACCACTTCGGACGATCAGGTATATTGCTCGTGTTGCACTGCCTAGCCTATGAAGATAAACAGGTACGAGGTATCTACACATATGGGACTGGATATGTGCATCTTCTATTTACTTGCATACATACGTACATACATACCTACTATGTACCTATGTACCAGAAAGCTCCCAATATTGATTGTCTGTTAACTCCAGGAATTATATTACATGTCTGTGAACTTTGGTGCCGGTGTCTCGAAAGACTGTTCGTGTCGATAGGATCTAGGAGGCTTAGATGGGCAATGGAGATTTGGGGAAGTCTACGGAATTGGTTCACCAAGTGATGCAAAGGCCGGTAGGGTTTAGGGTTGGACCCTGTGCTTTTCTTCTTGCGGGCCACTTCTATCGAAGACTGGGCTCGTACTTGCTCTACCGAGCCACATATTGCACATGCTAGATGCGGCTATCGGGTTTCTGCGGGGGCTTGGAGGTCTTCAGGAGTAGTTGGGTCGTTCTTAAGGGCTCAATCGCTGTCCTATCGAAGTTTAGGAACAGGAGCCTGCCGTTGGGTTGCAGTTTCGCCTCTACGGTTGTTCGACGTCTACCTTGTTAGCTTTGGCCCAAGCCTTAGATCTGGATACTGGGTTGTGTGTTCCCAGATCGCACTAGTAGTACTTTGCAGCAGTAGTAGGAGCAGTAGCTCCAGCTGGAGCCGCAGCAGTAGCCAGTGGCACTGGCAGTAGCAGTAGCAGCATGAGTGGAAGCAGTAGTACTAGTGGTGGTAGCGGTGCTGGTTGTGGCAGTAGCACTGGTAGTAGCCTAGTAGTGGCAGTAAGAGTAGGAGGTGGTAGTAGAAGAAGTAGTAGTAGGAGTAGTGGGAGTAGGGGGAGTAGGTGTAGGAGCAGTAGTGGTAGTAGCAGTATTCGCGCGCTAGCATCAGTACTAGTAGTGCTGGTACTAGTACCAGTATTAGTACTCGTACAGCACCAGTAGTACTTGAGTCTTTGGATTTAGTAGTCTTGTCCCTCGTCTTGCTATTTGAGTAGAAGTACTAGTAGCAGCAGGAGGAGGAGGAGGAGCCCCGTCACGACGACTTCGACCGTTTGTGTTGCTGCAGTCGAAGTCTACCAGGATGGAAAACATTGAGGCTGCTTCATACCTCCGCAAAATCGGCGAATCTCTAAAAAGCCAAGCCCGTCCACTGCACTCGACAGTGAAGCAATAATCCTCACACACCCGGCGCTGCACGTCAGGTGGCTGCTCGCACAACTTCGGCTCGGCTACAGGTCGGAGATGGTGGGAGCTTGCTATTTAGGATTTTGCATCAGAGGGTTTCAGGCCCTAAACTCTGCACCCTACTCAGATAATGGGAGCCCGTGACACTAGCTTCTGACATGTCCACTGCAGGCCTGGGGCCTAGGGATTAGGATTCCCGAACAGTTGTTTACGAAAGTATGTGCCAAGGATTCCTAAACAAGCTTTTCGGGTCGTTGCTGATGTGACAAGGCCAGACGGCCCGTCATTCAGTGGGCAAGGGTCTAACAGGTTCGTATGCTTCACTTAGAGGTTAGGGTTAACTGCATGTGCTGCCGGATCTGTTACGGTTTGTGTAACCTTTCCCGATGTGGGCGGTTGTTTCCGGAGGACAGACTAGGCTCCGTTGTTTATTGTGATCACAGTGATCACAATGAAGGGATATTCTTGAGGAGCGGTCTTTGGGAAAGCAGGTCAGGCTGTAGTACGTGCTGTTACAAAGTCGAAAGTTCCAAGACTGTGCTCTGAAAGGGCCTCACATGCTCGGTTTGATGCCTCTGTGTGTTCAAGTGTCCCTGTAAAGACCGGGTGCTACTTGAGCCATGCCATCCTTAACTCTTTGCTGTGTTGCTCCAGCGTGGGGTGGGGTCTTCCACTGTTGTGCTCCGGGTACAGACGAGGCACTTCTTCATGGCACGCCGATTGAAATAACAGCTTGAAGGTGTGGCTAGCTCGGACAGTTTTGTGTCCTGTCTGGTGCGACGACGCTGTGAGAAATGTGGATGCGGTTCTGCTGGTCAAGGAATGGATAAGCTTCTTTGCGGCCGCCGGATCGGTATGACTTTGTCCCGGTCGTTTTTCGCGCAGTTATTGCACCTCCAGAAGGCATTCTTTGCAAGCGTGGGCTGTACAGGCAGCTGGTTTCGCTCTACCTCACCAAGCCGGGCTTTTTGACTTGTGGCTTTTCGGTGCCACGCGGTACAAGCTTGGAGGCTGAGCTTGAAGCTGCTTGGTGGGAAGTGGGCTTGCGCGGGCTGAGCCCCCTGCGTGGCGTCGCGGGACGCACTCGGCTTCCGGATGGCAGTTTGTCCATGGAAGCGCAGTAATTGATTGCAGACTTGGCCAACTGTGATCGTTTCCCTTTTCTCAGTTGCAGGCTTACTAAGGAGACATGGCAAAAAAAAATTCTCTTCCCGAACGTGGGCGGCTTCCAAAGACGTGTGGTTCTTGCTGCTCTACTTTGGAAGCCAGTGCTGGAGTGGGGGTTTTTGTCTGGGAGTGCGGGCATTGCATTGTGTTGCCATGCCGTTCTTCTCCTACCAGTTGGAACTGGCTGGTAGGATGCACGAAGCTCTACCTTCTAGCCAGCTGCAGGCCGTTTACAAAAAGGATGCTGAGTCCGACTGACTGGGGCATGTGCTAGGCGCTCACGTCCATGTCATCCGCCTGCGGCATCTGAAGCGGGATTTCAGATAGCGGATCTCAAGAATGAAGGGATATTCTTGAGGAGCGGTCTTTGGGAAAGCAGGTCAGGCTGTAGTACGTGCTGTTACAAAGTCGAAAGTTCCAAGACTGTGCTCTGAAAGGGCCTCACATGCTCGGTTTGATGCCTCTGTGTGTTCAAGTGTCCCTGTAAAGACCGGGTGCTACTTGAGCCATGCCATCCTTAACTCTTTGCTGTGCCCAACCCTCCCGCCCACAGTTGCACAGCTCAGGGTTTTTGTCTGGGAGTGCGGGCATTGCATTGTGTTGCCATGCCGTTCTTCTCCTACCAGTTGGAACTGGCTGGTAGGATGCACGAAGCTCTACCTTCTAGCCAGCTGCAGGCCGTTTACAAAAAGGATGCTGAGTCCGACTGACTGGGGCATGTGCTAGGCGCTCACGTCCATGTCATCCGCCTGCGGCATCTGAAGCGGGATTTGAGATAGCGGATCTCAAGAATTTGACTTCGAGCGTTTCTGGGGTTTATGTTGCACATAAGCACAAACGCATCCTGGTCCACGATCCTCCCGCAACCCTTAAACACACCCCAATCATGGTCTTCTCTCTAACCTTCTATCAACAACCAAAGATCACGGATTACCAGGAGCGTAAAGCAGCCGGTAGGGTTCGAATCCGGAACTTTTCAGGGATAGGGCACTCATAGGATCACGTAAGGAAAGATCTCGAGAGAGCTGAAACATTCGCCTAAGCTTCCTGAACCTCAAATCCGCAACCCTTGAAACTAGGTCATGGAAGCGTGCATCATATGAAACTTCCAAAAAGCAACAGCAAGTTTGTGACATTTATTGACGGCTGTTCCAATGCTACAGACAGTCGTATCGGTTGCAGCGTGTTTTAAACACACCTGTTAATTTCAATGACGACAACCGAAGACCGTGGGGCCATCGGCAGCAACATCAACGCAGCAGCAGCAGCAGCAGCGCAGAACAGCGCCACCGCCACATGGACTGTCACCAGCGCCAACACAACCGAATCCAGCAGCAGCGGGCGCAGCAACAACAACAGTGACACTACCATGAAAGTAGCGACAATGATACGGTATGGCGAATATAGTACCAATGAACATGCGAGGTAGATGTAAACGTAAACCACATGATTAAGGGGAGTGGGTCGGACCCCACCCACAAACCAACATAGCGAGCCCGCCAGGCAGAGTGACACGGCTGTGCACGCAAGCTGAAGCTTCCATCCGCTATTACCTGGGAGACCAGGTTCCTCCTTCAAGTGTTTGCAGGGTTAGTACGTTCAAGTCTATATAAGAAGAAGGAATTTCAGCAATCGTGCGCAGTATAGGATTTAGGACCCGATTGGTTCGGATGTTGTGTTCAAGCTTTTGATCTTGGGTGTGTTTGCTTAAGCATGCATGCATGCATGGATGTATGGACGTATGTACCTATGTGTGTGTATGTAATGTAGTGTAGTGTATTGCAATGTGGTTTAATGCAATACAGGGCGAATACATGCAATTCAGTGGAATTTAAGGGACTTAGGTTCTGTTATGTTGTAGTACGATGTGTTGTTTCGCTTTATGTCTTGTGATTCTACGGTATGGTATGGTATCGTATCGTATGATGTGGGACGGTATGGCCTGGGATGGGACGGTCTGGTATGGTATGGTATGTTTGCTATGGTATGTTGCATTATGTTATGTTACATTATTACGTAGTGTAATGTAATGTAATCTAATGTAATCGAATGTCAGGCAACCTATTGTGATGCATAGTACTGTCGCTGTACTGCAATATTGTATGTAGGCATGCATGCATGGGTAGATGGATGGATGCATGCATGTAGGTGTGTGCATGTCTGTATGTATGTATGTATGCATGTATGTACTCATGTATTTTCATGTATGTATATACAAGTAATCGTATGTTCGTGCAGCAATTTATAGTCTACAGGTCTATGTGATTGTATTATGCGCATTCACGCATATATACATATACATACAACTGTGCAGTCATGAGTGAGCAGGTTCCGGTAGTGTGGTTGTTTATGCCGCAGGGTTGAGCGTTTAGGCTGGCATGATTTGGGCGATTCAGGGATGGTAGTCCATGCATGATGCAGACTAGCATAAACCACAGCACGATCGTGCGCATTTCGACTCCGTGGTTCGGCATTGGCATCTTCTGTCTGAGTTACTTGAGCCCACGGAAAGAATAAGCGAGAATGCTAGCTAATCTGCGTGTGTATAGCGATGTATCGTGCCAGGATAATTTTCGGGTTAGGCCCTTAGGGGTAAGGGCCTTGATTGAGTGGTTTAGGCCCTTACGCCAGAGGCCTCCCACATCATAGATGACGTGACGGCTGCCTACACCACGCAGACGCACAAATTCACGGCTGATGGCTCAGGCCCAGATGCAGAGACCACAGCCCTAGACGCGCATACTTGGGGTGTGGTTCAGCCAAGCCGCTGCATCTCCGCAGAGGTCTTCGTTTCCGATGCGCAGGGTTGATCGGCTTAGAATCACACTTCTCCTGACCACATGAACCATGTAAGCAACCAAGGGTATAGCATGTACGGAATTTCAGGACGCCTACTTGAAAGGACCACTTGATTAAGCACAGCTGCCGGCAGGAAAGCTCGGGCTGAGGGTCCGCGGATTGTCGCGAAGTGGTGTAACCCTTCATGTAAAAGATCTGAAGATAGAAGAGACTTGGCGAAAGCTGCGTTTGTTGTTTCAGGGGTTTGGGCATCAGTTTCAGGATTCAGTGTGCACTCGAGCCACAGGGCCAGGGCCAGTGATCGGTTGAGTTTTTGTTTGTTTGTCGGGGCGTGCGGTGGTGATGCTTGGGTCAGAGACTCAAATGATAGTGTAAGTGATGCCGGAGTATCAGCACTGAGAAGAAGATGCCCTCCGACAAGTAAAGCGGCCAAACCTTAGATCGAGCCCTCAATAACTGTTGGCGCTAAACGACCATAATAAAGCTTGACACCCCAAGACTCCGATGACTTGTCGCAGAACCTTACTGACAGGATTGTCTTGAAGGGCAACGCCGTCCAGGTTCCGGGTTTTGAATTAGGGTCCATGGGATCTCAGGGGTTCAGTTCTGCTTCGTGTTTAGAGCTGCATTGAAAATCACCCTTCCATCGCTAATTCCTCCAGATCCCGAAGCCTCCAAATCCTGAGCTCGAATCTAGACGCTGGATGCCAACAAAATCTCCAACTCAAAGTCTCTTTGGTCATTGTGAGCAGCTAAGGATTCGACAACGTCTACGAGTGATCAAAGCTTGCTGCCTTCAGGGCTGCATATGGGGGCTGTTGGAGAGGAGCGTTCTCACATAGGGTCGTCCCCGGATTAGGGCTACCATGACGCCTCCCCCACTGCTGGCAAACAAAGCGGCTGTCTGACCAGCAAATAGAACCTCAAAGCCGAGTGTGTCCTCCTGGTAGCAGCAGTAGCGTACTCGGCGTCGTCTAATTTGCTTTGTGTGGTAGTGCCGCTGCTGCTACTACTGCCAGCTGACCTTCTGAGCGAGTGGCCTTGTATGCCGCAATGCTGCAAGCCCAAAGCTCCCGTCCGACAGCAGCACCGCTTTAGGAACTGTAGGCTTTGGGATTTCAGCATTCTGGATGCTTTTTAGCATATTTTCGGCTTGCATGGTTAGAGATAGCCCGGTGTAGCGGGCAGCATCGTGTGGGATCGGAGGAATCGAAGACTGAACCCAACGTACCTCTGCACCCGAGGATCGACTTGGAAAACAAATGCTCCGGGTCGCGCTGGGAAGTTCAGCTTCCAGCAAGCCCTGAAGGGACTCCGCATCATGACTTCCTGAGCAAGTACACTGTTCGTTTCTGCCGCCGTGCAAATTTGTTGTTTCTTTTGGGCTTGAGGTCAACTTGCAATAGCACCCCTGCAAGGTATCTGGTGACCGTGACTTACGGAGACAAGAGGACAGCAATTCTGACTTCCTCCTGCTCTGTTGGCACGGCTGGACAGAAACTAGGTCAATAATTTCTGGGCACCGGGCACCCTGGACCCTAGTCCTTCCTCAAGCCTCAGCCCGCAAGCCTTCACCTGAAACCTACAAACACCTCTAAACCCAGCAAATCCGCATGCTATGAGCCCAACGGATTTTGGACGGATTGTCCTGAAGCCAAGACGACAACACTAAACCCTAACTAAACATACCTTAAATTTGAAACTCCTGACAAACATCCCTGATAAAGTCTGCGAGTCCTGTACCTCGTACGTATTGCAGCCGTAAACCTAAGCCCGAAGCATCCCTAGAGCGTGAAACTCGCGAACCCTGGGCTTGGGATGATCTTGGAGGCTAAGCTTTCTGTCTTTTGTTCTTTCTTTCTTGGCTTTTCCAAGCCATCCATTACATTTGCTCCGATTTGCGTGTAATGGTCTATTGCCATCTATTGCCGCACTATTCCTTGTTGGTGTTTACATGATCCCACCCTCTTGCAATGTTCTAAGACTTGCACTCTTCGAGCACGCGCAGTGGACCTCGCTAGGGCCCTCTTCTTATCATGGGCTCCTAAGTTCCTGGGAGTGGTGGTGGGTGGAGGGGGGTCGTGTGCCGAGGATGATCAGTGCCAAGGCAAGCCCTGAAACGGTCCCCAAAGGCTCCAGCAAGAGCACCTTGGCTATATAGCGCTTAGAGGGCTTTGCTTCAGAGGGCTGAACTCGAGGATCTGAAGTTGATCTCAAGGCTGATAGGTTCTGGGGCTGAAGTTTCGGTTCGCTGAATGTCCCTCGATATTGAACCTAGGATACCCCGAGCCGCTGGAAACTTGCAATTACACTTCTGTCTCCAACAGCCGGCAGCTAGTCCGCTTGCGGAGGAGAAAATGCATGCCACTGTTCCATCATCCTGTTACTTGCAAGTGCTGCTGTACGTTAGGCACTTGCACGCTTGTTAAGGTCGTGGGCGCAGGATTTGGCAGGGGGCATTGGATGTTGTACACGCATGGAAGAGAGGAGGGCTTCGACAGGTGGAACCAGCAAAAGGGATTTTTGGATAATCCCTTAAGATGCAAAGTTCAGGAGCAGGTTGCAGTGATGTTTGCGTTTCGGATGCTTCGTGTTGACATCTCAGGCGTGACGCGGACGGTGTTCGTCCATGGTGGCAGCGACGGGAAAGGAAAGCTGGTGCTTCTTGACGGTCTGAGTAATTAGGCCCTTAGCCGTTGAACGTCTAATTGCTATACCGTGTAGGCCCGATACAGACCTGTCGCCTAAGAGGTTCAGGGTGTGGGATCTGCAGTGGTTTAGGCTTCACGGCAAAGTCTAAGCCTTTTCGTCCAGAGAGCTTCGACTGTGTGGGTCCTCCAAGGTTTGCTGGTGAGTCTACCGGTGGCTGCACCGGCGTGAAGACCATAAGTGCCCCGGTTGCTTGGTTACCCTCTACCCATTCAAGCACTAATGTCTCTGCCCTATGGCCCACCTGCTTTCAAGATCAAGATCGGTTCAGCGTGACGTTGGACCCACAGAAGTCATCGTCGTGAGGCGCACCGCAAGCTGCCTGCCACCAGCAAGTTCCCAAAGGATTGGTTCAAGCACTTTCATCTTTTAGTATATTGCTGTTTCAACGTTTGTCACGTAGATTTGCAGTGGCACAGTGTCGCAGATCCACTTCAAACCGCTCATTCGAAAGTTTGCTGATCAGGATCTTAGGGCGCAGGTTTTCACATAAGTCCCTTTTCTCCAAGTGAAGGAAGGCCAAGTAGGGTGGGGAGCTTTATGCCAGTTTAAGCTTTATGCCAGGGTCGCGGAGACGATCTCGTCACCCTCGTCATCCGAACCCATCATCAGAACCCTCAGTTGTATGTTGAAGTTACGCTATACATGTAACTCATGCTGTCTTGAGCATTGGGGGCGCTTCCTGAGCTTCACGCATCGAAGCTGCCAAAACAAGTTGATCAGTATTTCGGGCAAGCTTATGATGAAGACATTTGACCCACACTCCCCTAAACCCTACCGTATCACCACCCTTTTGAATCCTAAGCACTAGGAACTCTTGAACCTTACAAACTCATGTAGTCACACAAGCCATCCCCGATGAGCGAGACATGATCCCTGTGTCGTCCTGCTCAGGTGCCCAGCGAGAGGACCCGCGGTTTGGTCTTCGCACAGCTCTGAATTTAAAACTTCTGCCCAAAATAACTACTGTGGCTGCACAAGGGTCCTTAATGACACTCTTAGTTTTGTGGGGCAATCTGGTTTTGGACGCTACTCGCCAAGAACACGGTCCAGTGAGAGCGCTTGCGGTAAAAAATGTGCTATACTTGGGAAATTTAGCCGGCTCTGACATGTCCAGAGTCGTTTGTGCCATTACTACTAGTACTACTACCACCACTGCTACTACCGCTACTGCTACTGCTACTACTACTACTACTACTACTACTGCTACTACTACAGCTGCTACTACGACTACGACTACGACTCGACCGCTATATACGACGACGACTACAACTACCACGACGACGACTACTACTACTCCTGCTGCTACTACTTCCGCTACTGCTACCGCTAACGCTACCACTACCGCTACTACTGCTACGACTACTACTACAAATTTCCTCTTCCTCCTCCTCCTCCTCCTCCTCCTACAACTCCTACGGCTCCTACTACGACTGCAACGACTTCGACGTCCGCGACGACGACAACTACTGCACTGCTACGACTACCACAGCTTCTACGACTGCTGTTGCTGCTGCGAATGCTAGAACTGCTTTGACTGTTACTTCTTCTACCCCGTCTGCTACCACTACCTCCACCACGTCGGTGACTTCGACGACCGCCGTCAGCATGCTTAGTACGTAGATTCTCAATAATTTCTTGATGAGAACGGTTGTCTTTGCCAGTAAGGTGGTTCAGGCCGTTTGTTGCACACACTTGCCGGTATACGGTCCTGCTAATGTCTGTTTCGTAATGTGGTTACTTTGGTTGTCAATGTTGTCTTGAAATACTCTGGTCAGGATTTTCAAGCCTAGTTAGCATACGTGAGGTGATTGCTTTCAGGGTTCATTCGCTCAGACACCCTGCTGTCTAACATGCTCTTATGATCTCTCAAGCCCCAGAGCCCTGAACCCCGCCATCCTAAGTCGCCTCCGAGCCCAAACCTTTTGTGTCAGGATTCCGTGTTCTGGTCATCCTGCGGCGAGCCTTTCAGTCAGGTGGGGCGGGCTTCGTGCTGCAGGTGCTTTATGCTATACTTCGGTGCCAAAACCAGCTACATGCGCAAGAAAGGAAAGCATCTAGGAAGTGAAGATCAGAGCTGCTGCAGGGGCCAGAAAACGATAGTTGGAAGTGAGCCAGGAGCAATCGATCTCCCATGAGCCAAAACCCGAATCCTTCAGTTTATAGCCTCTAAGGCTTCTCGTTTAGGGTGTTTTAAAACTTCTAAACTGGAGGTCTGGAACTTCAAGGCTTCCAACCAGGCACCTGGAAACATCCAGCCGCTGAGTTGCAGTGGTTTAGGGCTTAAGGTGTTTGGTCTATTTATCCGGTGGGCTTTTGAATGTTTAAGGCTTGGCAGTTGAAATCCACTGCTCTCGGTTCTTGTTTGTCTAGGCTTTGAGTCCTCCACGGTTTCAAGGTTTTCACGCGACGTCTGGCGTGTTTCAAAGGATTGGGGAGGAGTTGAGGATCTGCTTATAGTCAAGGTTCGGGCTTAGCATGTAGACGTTCCGCTGTTTGTTTTATTTATCTTTGTGATTTCGGTGGGATGGTTATCCACATGTTCAAGGTCCTCAGATTCGCACTCATCTCGGGTGCTGACTTGTGGTTGCACTTTGCCTGGCTGTAGTTGAGAAGAAACCGGCCCATGATTTGGTGCAGCATGTTGTTAATGCACATCCAGGGCCCTCACGCTGGTTTCCAGTGCTACTGGCATAGCTTGAGCCAGGTGTTAGTCTGATTCGTGCATTGTGGCACTAACACTGGGATTGTGAATGGAGTCTTGTCTAGCCGGATACTTCGAAACTGGCATGGTCCGCTAATTTGCTGCTACAGTTTGCTCTTCGTCATCAGACCGTGGCCCGATACACTGGGTCCACCAGCCTTGTATGCAGCAATCCTGCGCCCTGCAGCCTCAAATCCAGAACAACAGAACGAAGCACGAACAGCTCTACTCCCGCGTGTACGTGGCCTCTTCGGGTTGCAAAAGCACCTTGGGAGCTGCTCGAGGCCTCGGGTCTGGAGGGCAGGGTAGAAGCGTGAGTGTAGTGTCAGGGGCAAGGATTTTGAGTTCGAGCGGCGGAGGACTTCTGGGGACTCTTGTGTCATGAGGCTCGTGCACCGTGCGCGGGCGGCGTCCGGAGCAAATGCAGCTGCCTGTGTCGATCCGGTTGCCCGGCTTGCAATTCCAAGCAGCACGCGAGGCCTAAACGCCAACCGCAGGCACTGAAGCTTAGCCGCCTAAACTCCGACGTCTGAATGTCTGAAGCCCTGAGCTAGGCAAAGGCAGCACCTTTGTGTTTCTGATTGGCGCAGGGCACTTGAAAAGTCAGTTTCGTGTTTTGTTGATGTATCAGGGTCTATGAGAGCAAGGGATTGTGGGCTTCACTTTTTGTTTCTGCCTCTTCTAGTCAGTCTGTTTGGCCTGCGACCTTCTGAAAAGCCATGTCTTGCACTTGGAGACAGTCTGAGTGTTTTGGTGTTTCGGACTGCGCTTCAGGCAATTGGTTTCACGCTTCAGTTGCTGGTAGTAACTGGTAGTAAGCAACAAACCAAGCATCCCCGCATACTTAGCTTTCATGTTTGTCTGACACATAGCTGAAGAGACGCTAGGAAGGTGTAGCTGGTGGGTGCTATCTCACGGGTGCTGGGTAGATGCGACCGCATCTCCGGACATGCAAGCTTGTTCTTGCCACGTCACTGAGACCAGATTGTTCATAACTGTAACCTAGAACCCCGAACATGGAGCCACACGTCATGAGCTGCTAAAAGCCTTAGTTCAGAATCATCAAGAGAGAGCCTGAAGACCAGGATCTGGGGCTGAAACCTTACCAGAAAACGATGATAGTAGACATAGCAATCATCTTCATATGAACCGTAGCCATAGTCATAGGCCCAGAAAACAATTATGACGACAGGAACATAATCATAATCATCATCACCGTCATCATCATCATCATCATCGTCATCATCCTCAACATCAGCAGCATCATCACCGTCGTCGTCGTAATCATAAAGGGCCGTCGTCTTGTTTCTCGAGGCTTCGGGGCTTGAACAGCGCAACTGGTTAAAGCCTCGGATGCATTTCGATTTACAAAGCCCAGAACTCCCACCTCTGCCTCCCAAATGAGAAATGCTAAAACAAGTGGCAGCCACAAGTCTTTCCTCATTAATCCAGAAAGAGTCGGAACAAAACTTCATCCTGTTTCTGCAGGCCACTGGCAAGATGGCAATGTGCGAAACGAGCGTTGAAGCCTTCTACTCAGCCGGCAGAAGCGGTCGAAAGCTGTGGGAATAGGTGTTTTGATGCGAAAGAGCCGTCAACCCAAGATCTCCAGCCCCGCAAACCCAGAATGGTTCCCAACAAACTTAAATTCAATTGCAACGGTGCCCTAAGTAAGTGTGTGTGTGTGTGTGTGTGTGTGTGTGTTGGTGTGTGTGTGTGTGTTGGTGTGTGTGTGTGTGTGTGTTGGTGTGTGTGTGTGTGTGTGTGTTGGTGTGTGTGTTGGTGTGTGTGTGTGTGCGCGTGTGTGTGTGTGTGTGTGTCTGTTGGTATGTTGGTGTGTTTGCGTTTGTGCGCCTCCTCAGGGTTGAAGACTGACGGATTCTGGAGGGTGTGTGCCAGCTACTCGTGATCATGCGGCTTCAGGTCACAAGCCATCATGCTTAGTGCTGTTGCAAAAGATGCATATGAAGGCGACTGCTTGGCATGTATGCAGGTGATAGTGGTGGTAAGTGTTGCAAGAATTTGTGCTGGATTTTGGGCAAGAACAGGTGCAGACAACTGCAGCCTGCCAAACCCCGAGCATAGATTCTTAGCATTCTCACAGCCGGTGTAGGGTTCTGGGTTTTAGGCATTCATAGAAGATGTGCCCTTCTTGCCCAGGCGCATGCCAAGCAGGCACACGGGAATTCAGGGCACTTTAGGGTAGTTTAGCAAAGTTAAGGTCATGTCGGTCCGCTCTACTCTTTGTGCAATAAAGGTATACGCAGACCGTAGTTTCTCCAAAAGGGACTCCTCAATCATGATGCAGTTCAGCGAACTGCAGATGTGAGTGAGTTGTATAACTTTTCACCTTGTTCTGTTGGTTTAGGCACCGTTCTAGCCACTTTTGGAAAGTTACCGCCGGCACCTTCTTCAGAGGACCCCTTCCTTTGCGGGATGTGTAGGGTACTTGTCGTGGACCGGTTTTGGCCCAAGTTCGAGCGGAAGTCAAAGCCAAGCCTAGTCTCCAATCTGTCATTTTTTTATGGCTCAATTGATTCACTAACACGAAACCGAACTGCTTTTGGGTGCAGGCAGAGCCCACAGTTCAGCAAGTAGGGTCTTGCAGAGAGATCCAACCTAGTTCCCCACTGCCAACCGAGCTCCAAAGCCTAGGCCCTCGCAGCATGTCCAGCCTTGGACCCGTAAAGCCACGAAATCAACGGTGGGGCTGGCGGACCCAAACCGCCGGAACGGGTCTAAAGCTCATGAAGACACCATGGCTTCCAGGTTCAGGATTTTAGATTTGTCCGGCGCAATCTTCAGAATCCATAGATCAATCTCTGGCACTTGGCCTTCCAGGTGTTCTCGTTGCACTACTTGCCGCCCCTGGTCGCGCAATGGACCGGAAGTCAAGAAAGGGAAGTGTAGGTTCGCTCTTCACTGTACGAACTGTACAACCAAGTCGGTCGTACACAGTGCAGGACATTGGAATCTTAGGGTCACAGGGGCCCCTGCTGTCCGGGTCGTCTTTTGGTTCGAAGACCAGATTTATGGAGTTTTGCTCGGAGTGTGGAGTTTAGGTTTCTGTTTTTGTGGGGTGAAGGTGAGTCCTTGCTGTTCAGGGCGTTTTCGGGTTTAGGACCATGACAAGGTTTATAGGGACTCCGAAGGCCTTGGGTCTGTTCCGAATGCCTACACCCAGCCGAGGCTAGGCTGGAAAATTGGATGCAGCGGCCATGCCAGAAAGCCCACCCAACTATTTCCAGGAACCGTACCACCAGATCGCATCGCTTCTCATGCTGAAGGCTCGGAAAGAGAACAAAACGAGACGAGCTCTCAAAGAATCCCGATGCAATGCATCCCACAAGTCCTCAAAGCCTTTAAGGATACCCCCCCCCCCCCCCCCCCCCCCCCCCCGCCTTGCCCGCCCGAAACAGGGGCTTGTTCCCACAAAGAGAGGACCCATTTCGAGTCCGGGCAGAACTTGCAATCGGGCTCTTGCGTCCGAGCCAATGCGAAGCCGCTTGTCGACCCGCTTCGGGTGAGGTCTTTAAATCTAGGAATCTGGGGAAAAGGTCAGGTCCAGCGGCTTAGGGCATCGAGGGAGCAGGGTTCAGACGGTTGCAACTAATTAAGTTGTAGCCCTTCAAATGCATTATACTGTAGCCCCACACCTGGTTCTAGTTATTCAGGCCCCTGCATTGCTTCTTTTGTGTTTCGGACGCTTTTGCGATTCGGAGCTTATGGTCGACAGAGTTCGACGACTCGTTATTAAATGCTGCTGTTGCCACCTTGTGAGGCTTCTGTAGACCTTCTTTGTTCTACCGCGGATGCCCATAAATGCTAGATTCACGGCCCAGGGATGGTGCATCTAAGACCATATTGGTTCTGGGCTTTGGGGCGTTAGCGAGGGAGCTTAGTAAAAAGTTATTGATTTTGATGGGATCTGTCTGAGGTATTTACCGAACTTGGACATCAACAATAACCTGGTGTCCTGTGGTGATGGACAGGCCGGCATGCCCTGACATCGACCCCAGCTTCGAGACTCAGTAAGTTACACCCAACCTCAGCGTTAAAAGCCTTAAGTCTATTACTCGAACTCTTAATATGCTCGACAACATCATTTATCGCTTCGGCAACTCAACTTACTTCGAACCTGCCGGCATCGACGAAACTTGAGGCCGCATGCTCAGACATTGAAAGAGTGTAAGAGTGTAAGGTTCAGACTCAAACCAAAGGGGCTTGGTCCCAAGGCACTATTTGCCCTGTCTGGTTGAATTTCGAGGGAGCATTGAAGGCATCTTTTTGGACCTGCCCATGATCTGAGAATCCAAAGCCAGAGCCATCTCGAGGCCCTCCCCCCAAGTTGCGAGGTCAAAACTATGCGGGCGCAGGAGCGTGTAATTGTAAGGCCACTCCCTTTCAGGGGCGTTGTTGTCCTCTCCAGAAGGGACCGTCTTATGTTTCTGTGCCTGCGGGACAGCCCTGCAGCCCCAACTCCTACTACCCACACAGGAACACCGCAACAACCCCTTTGGAAGCTGGTTCTGGCGGTCAATTGTGAGAGGGAAGAGAGGAAGCCGGGAACACCTGTAACTTGAGAGTCGGGCAAGTGGGGCGCCAAGTCTCCGGGACCGGGTTTCAGGTTTCAGAGATCTGAGCTTATAGGCCGCAGCACTCGGATGCAGTACTTACATGGATTTCAGCTTCCGTTATGGGGTCTCAGCTGTAGTACACCTGGTGTCGGCTTCGGCGCCGCGGTGCGGAGGCGTAGAGAGTTGGGTTTAAATTTGGACAGCGAGCACGAAAGGCAAAGCATCGTACAACTCTTACTTGGTGGCCTCTCTCTGAAGACCTCATGCATAGCTTCAATCTGGATGGAGAATGCGCAGGCCTCAAACTTACATCCCGAAACCGTTTAGTCTAAGTCTTTCTACACTCTACAAACGTTAAACCCAAAGTTCCTTGAGCGGGCAAATCCAAGGCACCCTAATCGTAAGCCTCTATAACCTTGATCACTCGAAAGTCCAAAAAAAGCAGGTGCTGAGCTCCTTCCTCTTCCGCCAAGACAGCACTTGCAATCATCATGACTACTACCGTTTCCTGCCTTCGCTGTGGGGTTAGCATGTTACGTATGTATGTGTGTATGTATGTACGTATGTATGATGATTATGTATGTATGTGTCTACATATATATATACAACATCATGCATACATACACATTGCTTACATACATACCGCTTTGCGTTTAGATGTTTGGAAAGTTTTAGGGTTGTGGGCCTCGGTGTTCAGGGTTTCAAAGGGATGGTGTGCAGGATTCTGTTAAGCACTACATATATACATACATACAGAAGGTATACATTATAAAAACTACTCCTACGACCCTCAATGCTAAACTGAGAACGTTGGCCAAGGTCTTCGTAGGTTGCGTGAAAGAAACGCTTGTAAAGCAAAGAGTGCAAGCGTCATCGATAACGCAAAAACTACTCTACTAGTCCATATAGTGTCAACGTTTGGGGTTGGAATGCCAAGAGCCCAGAGGTCATCTTTAGGATGAGGGTCTCCCTACTGCCACCCACGATGAGGACCCTGCAGGGACCTTAGTTTGGAATCCTTCTATGATCTTGAGCTTTAGGAGGAGGATTCCGCATTGGGCTCCTGTGATATCTGCCGTCCCGATTCCCTGCAACGAATGGAAACCTGAAGCCCTATATCGTCTCAGTAACCTTATCCACATTCGAAGGTCAGCCACAAGGCTGCATTGCCATTCCAATCCCCGCTAGACCCGCAAAGCTGGAATTCCAAGGCTACTTCTACAGCTGCACCACCATCATACCGGTGACGCAGACCGCCTCTTGTTCACAGAAGTCCACTCGCTGCGTAGCCCACAGCAACCTGGCGCCAAAGCTTTAGGGGTGGGGCTTCAGTGGTTTAGCGGTCTGGAAGCCTGCATACTTACCAATACTATTCCTTAAGGGTTCTAGTAGATTCTAGTATAATATACCCAAAAAGCTTAAATATTCTACTTGTTAAGGCCTTTGTATGACCAAGAGCCTGAGACCTCTCAGATGAGGAAGCTTCATGTTTGCACGCGCGAGTGTTGAGGGCCCAGAGATCTGGCGTTCACAGAAGTCTAGGGGTGGGGTTTGGGGGTTTGAGAGTTTTTGATAGGGGCCAGGACCAGGACTCCATAAGGAAAGCTGGCGAGCCTCGTGGGTCGCTAACGGGTGTGGGTTTTGTTTCCCCGTGGACACTGTTATCGACGAGGCAAATCAGACCCTCACATTTGGGAGCTGGATCGTCACGACGTCGGAGCCCACTGCGATCCAGGCCCGCTGTAACAGGAAGTTGAGATTATGGGGTTTGAGTTTTAGGGCCCGTGGGTCCATGCTTTGGGCTTGCTTCCCGTCAGGTACATGTCATTCTGTATGTGCTTACGTTGTTTGAGTTTCTTTATGTTTCGTTTTGTCTGCTTGCTGCTAGAGGGTATTTTCATGGTTACTGTTTGCTTTCTTGACATGACATATCATGTACAGTCATGTACAGTCTATGAGGAACCATGGGAGCCGGCCTCTGATGTTGCTGACTTCCAAGTGTTTGGGTTTTCGCTGTAGCTTTGAGTACCTGTGGCTCTTTGGTGTTGGTCTCGTACAGCATGCTAGATCGGGGCGTTTTTGCTTTTGAGTTAGGCTTGAAGGTTGCCATCTTCCAGCAAGCTGAGAAAATGCCATGATGAAGGCTCTGCAGCGTACTGCCTGTGACTGCAGCATGTTGCGAACTCCCGTCAGCAATGCTGAGATACCTGTAGCCTGTAGCCGCAGCCACATGCTTGTCCAACTGTACAGTCTCTGCGTATCAATTGTGTCCTTGCAACCTCCTCTCCTGCCAGGCACACTTCTGACACAGTTCGCCTATACTGACTGCACTGGCGATGATGGAGACTGCGTCAGCATTGTCAAACCTCATTTCTTCAGAGGGAAGAAATTCCTGGGGTATAGGTCTTCTACCTGTGTTGTTTACGTCGCATTGTCAGGCGAAGTCACACATGCGCTACCTAAAGATGTTGAACCTCAATTGGTCCACACTCTCCCTGCACAAAAATACCAAGACCTACCTCCTTAGGGTTCCTTACTATGGTTGCTACATATAGTAATTTCTGAAAGGGTAGGTCCTTTGGGCCACAAGCAAAACATCTACTAGCCCTAACCGTCGGTCGCCCTACCAGTATATAGCCCCTTCCTGCCACGCTTCGCCCATCAAAGGTTTCCATTTTTTCACAGGAAGGCGAGGACGTGTACTGTAGCGATATAGTGGATGCCCCGTCTTCAAGGCAAAAACTTCGCCACACGGTGAGGGTGGGAGAAATGAGCAACAGAACATGGACATTGAGAGGTCTCACTGCCTAGAGTGTTGTGGCTTGGTCTCATATATCCAGACTCCAGTAGCATTTTGTATTCGAAGAACCAAGGAGTGTATAGGTGCTTGGGGTTTTCAACAGGTCGACCTGGTATGGGGATATCCCGACGGGCTCATAAAAGTAAGTCTTATTGACATATAGGATGCAACTTCCCAGATTGTTTTTGAGGCCGATTATTTTTCCAACTACCACTTCTAGCAGCTGGGTTCGCTCACTGTTCGCTTTTGGACTGCCATGTTTGGTGAGCAGCATGGCGAGTCACACCTCCATGTAAAACTGCCTCTACACTTGCATGTTTGCTTTAGCGAGACCCTGATTCCTAAACTTAGAGGTTTAGAGTTTAGGCACCAACCTCGCAATCAGGTCTGCAATGCAAATCCTCCTCTCCACTGTGCTGAGAGTCTGAGGAAGTGGGTACAAGTACACCTACACATGCTGTCCGGCACAAGGCTGGCCTTGCAAAAGAACGGTACTTTCTGTGTTCAGCCTCGGGGCCAAATCATGAACTATATCGTTACTTGGACTGTGAGTGCATAGATTCGGTGGAAGCTGGGAAGACAAGATATGGGCAGCAAAGGCAGAGCTCTGACGGAATGGAGTCATTGTTGTCTCAAGTTGTCTAGTCGTCTGGCTTTCCGACGATTGCGACTAGTGTTCCTCAGAATGATGTTTTGGCCCTGAAGTTGACTGTGCATGTTATGGCGGCTGCCTTTGCATCTCTTGTCTGTAACTGCATTTTGGAGGCGTACCTTACTTGTAGATCGAACTGACTCGAACACAAATATTTTCCTCCAGTCTGGTCCACCTGCGTGATCCCACCAGTGCAGTCACACTGAAGCCCTTTAACTCAATAGCCTACGCCGTGACGAACCGACTCGACTCGATTGCAGTCTCAGTGAACGCAATGCAGGTCTCGGCGAGTGTCAGGAGATTAACACCGAGTGGGGCGAGGTTGGTGCATTAAGTGCCTCGGCATGGATGGTTTCGGCTTTGGGACTCAAGACTCAGTAGTTTTGGGATTTGGAGCTGAGAGTTTGTAGGGTTGGATTGAACCGTCGACTTATTTCGTCGTATGAAGCAGGAGAGGAAGCTGAGGAAGTGCTGAATCCAGGCCAAACGGTCCCGTTCACGCATGTTTGTAGTAAGTTAGTAAGTCAGCCCGCATGTCAATTGGGTCTTGGCATTGCACAGCTTTAGCCCTACATACTAAACCGTGTAGGGCCTAAACACCACATAAACCCATAGTCCCGTAGTCGTAAACCTTCATTGCAAGCACTGTGAACCCTCAGCCGTTGGACACTAAACTGTAGTGGGCTTGCCGTATGCCCAGGCGACCTTACTGCGCTTCAACACCATCAGCTGCAGCGCCCTGCAGAATTGGCTAGGTAAGCAGTCGCAGTTTTTGGCGTGGGGTTGGATGGATTTGGGTTCGTAGGGTTCAGGGTTATGAAGACTTAGGCATGGCGTCGGGGAACTGTAAGGGGTTTGGCTTGTAAGTAAAGGGTCGGCGAAGCGGTCCTGAGGGATGCAGGATAAGCTCATCAAGCCTTGTTTTCCCTTGCGCATTCGGAGCTCAGGCGTTTCTGGTTTGCAGGCCTCAGAAGCACATTCAAGACCGGGACGTGCAGGCACTTCCAGTCGGCCTACATATCGGTGCCAGCGGATGCAACATTGCTATCGGACGTAGGATGTCCATATGCGTGTGTGTACTCAGTTGTTTTGTCCTATGCCGTGCCGACCTCGGCTAAACGGACATGTATTCCATTTCGAGCGACGGGATTTGCAGTGTAAACTCCGAACCTTTCATCTCAACCCCAAGTCTTACACCCGAAACTTCGGGCCCGACTCCTCAAGCCTCAATCCTAACCCTACAGTAAGTTTTACACCCTACATCTTCAGCCCTCAAGCCTCAGCAGTCCCTTTCCCTAACCTCGAAAGGCTCTGTTAAAACGCTTGGGCATACGGCGCCCCCCCAGGTGCCCTCAGGACCACGGCTTGAAACGCTTCCTTCTGGAGGCCCAGGTCCCGGAAGTCGCTGAGGGAGAGCCTCTTGGCCCTTGCTACCCTATAATTGGGCTATATACTGGGTATGTTATTGCTATCTTAAGGGTTTAAAAATAATGGTTAAAAAAAAGCTATATTAAGGGTATATACCTAGGGGTCCTTATCAAGGGTCCCTCCTTCTGGTTTCAGGGCTTTGGGCTTGCAGGGGTTTGTAGGCTCTGGGGTCTGGGCCAGGGGCTTTCAGTGTTTTTGATAGGGATATTGAGTTGAGGGTTTAGAGTGATGGTTTAGCTTTTAGATTAGGAGTTGTAGTTTTGGGGTTCAGGGTCATGGCGTAGGCCTTCGGGATTTTCAGGTTTGGGTTTAGCACCTAGTTTTCGGTTGTGGAATTCTAGGTGTTGTGTAGTGCTTCATGAGCGGATTGGCTTCGGGAAAGGACCGCAAGAACCTGTGCGTCAGGGATCAGGAAACATACTACGGGTGCAGAAAACTGAAGTACCCCTGTAACAGGATCGAAGGCGCTCTAAGCACGCTTCGAAGCCTTCTGATGGCTACCGAGCCATCAACTGCCTTGCGCTCCTTGAGTCGTTTGGTAACAAGAATTTTCAACCCCAGTCGATGTTGCGTTTGGAGGTTTTGGGTCCGGGTGAGGTTGAGGCATTTGAGGGTTTTTTGGCTTTGAGCCTTCATGGAACCTTGGAGGCAAGAAGGTCTGCTCTCCCAGGTTTGCGGTTGGGAGGGATAAAGTTAGAGTTTAAGAGAACATGAGGGGCACACGCTCAAATCGCTGGGGCTATTCCATAAAGCCAGGTCCATGACAAAAACGAAAGCATTCTCTCCTTCCATTGCCTCGTTCGCTTGAAGATGTGTCCTTGGTTCTATCCCAGGACACTACAAGGAGAGGTTCGTTATACCTTTGTGTGCCTGGCTCAGGTATGAGAGACTTTAGGTCCGGGCTCTTAGATATAATACAGGGCCATGATCCATTAGTACATGATACACATGTAAGTGTAAGTATTCCCTTAAAGTCTGCACTATATTCTATTTCACCCCCTAGCCTGCATTCTAATTATTTAGCCCCATGTTTTGGTCGGGTTGTGCCTCGCTCCGGGCTGGTTCTCCTCTGTTCTGGGGCTGTGTTCGGTTTCAGACTGTGGGCTCCCGCTTTTTCGTTCTTTGTTGGGAAACGGAGGGGGAGTCCGAAGCTCTCGCAGATCTGCAGATGGACACCTAATGATCCTGTACCGTGCCAAAAATCACCAGTGACGCAGAATACGGTGCTTTGACAGGCACAAACGATCCGATCTTCGGGTGTACGGTTTGGACACAAAAAGAGGTAGAGGATCCTGAAGCCTACTCGGTAGGGTTTGTGGTACAGGGCAAGCAGGGTTTACTGTGTGCGTTTTCCTAGACCTTCAGTCCTTGGTGTTGTATCCTGTGTCCAGCAGCCCAAGGGTAGTTTAGGCTCCTCGCTAAGACGGCGGCCGACTCTGGGGTTTTGTGTCCGTAAGTCTGGAGTTCAGGGGTCCTGGGCCAACTGTGGCGGCCAAAGGCTTGAGACCACGAGGTGCAGTTGACTTTAGTCTTTTCAAGCTAAAGCAAGAAAGACCTGTCAAGGTGGGGTAGCTCTAACCACAGACTTTTACTAATGCAGCCTCTGTATATATCCATACGAACATATAGGTAAGCATTTTCACATACATGTACATAAACCTTTCGCCACCCTTGGTGACAGAGTTCATCCCGGAGCCTGAGGCATTGGGCTTCGTCGACCCTTGAGATTTCTCAATAGATCGAAGTCGGATGGAGCCCATACGAAATCGCAAAAGAATCCCAGCGTCGTGGAGCGAGTTCAAAAACCTGCACAATCCCTCAACCCGAAAGTCCGAAGCAACACACGAGAACAACATCCAAGATCCAAAGCGATGTCTTCGTGTATGATCATATATGTAGAAGCTTCATGAAGAGACTGCGAGTAGACGTTGCTACTCATTATTCAGGCTGCTGCAGTATACACCCGAATATATACCCGGTGCAACCCCAGAAACATAGCCTTTACAAGCGCCTTCGAAAAACCCTACTCGGACTGAACCAGGCATATACTAACGTCTGCAAAAAAACACCTTTTCACCCTAGGTGCTGCCGGCTTCCTCTTGCACCGCCCGTGAGCGTGCGCACGGGCCCTCTGGTCGCGACGGAGGCCAGGAAACCGAAAGCTAAGGCTTTGCTTTGGGGGTTTATTGGTTTCGGGTTAAGGGCTTATAAGGGTTTGAGGGATTTTCGTTTTGGGGCTTGGGGGGACTCGGATGTGTTTCAAGTTTAGGGTTTAGCGAAGAAGTCTGAAAGCGCCGTATGGTGGGTTCCTTAAGACCCAAACTTAAAGGGTCTATCAGGGTCCTGCAGTATAGGGGCCTCTACGTAAGCAGAGAAGGGTTTTGGGGTATGTTTAATTAATGTAGGTCTGGCAGGGGAGAGCCTCAAAGCCATCAGACTGCACAAGTGCAAGCCGCAAAACGCTATAAAGCCCACAGCCGGTCGAGGCACAGAGCCACAGGGTTGAGGGTTCCGGGGTGTTGCATGCATTGGACTCATACACCGATTTTGTGACCGGGATGTTTGTGTTGATGTTCACGGCTTCCGCAGTTGATGCTAAACTGTCGTGCTCCTTTCTTAAAGCCCAGCCCAACCCTAAAGCCTCAGCTCCTCTATCCAACAGACCTTTCCAGGCGGAGCCCTGGCAGGGGACCTACTGCCCGGCGGGGCGCGTGGAGGGCCGACCGAACTTTCAGAAGCACCTCGGCTAGGGTTTCGGGGTATATTATCGTCTAGCTATAGATAGTTTGTTTATGCAGGGTATTACAGATGATGACGTAGACAAAAAGTATGTTTGAATTGGGACTACTACAGGGGAATACTGGGGAACCATATATATATATATATATATATATATGTAGATATATATATATATATATATATGTATATATATATATATATATATATATGGTTCCCCCCCAAGATCCACACCCGCCTCTTCCACACAATTCCACAGGTTGTTTCTCTACATTGGTCGACAACTCATATATACCGAAAACACCGGAAATACCGATACAATCGTGCTTTACCTCATGTGCATGCAGACCGTGCTGCTGCAAGGCGCGGGTTTGATATGTGTAAAAATCTGGCGCCGAATCTCGGCCGCGGATTTATAGTAGTTTATGTGTTGGAAAAGCTGAAATGCTGGAGGGCGTGCTAGTTTTGTTCATGTAATACTAAAAAACCTCGTGTTTTTTGCATTTTATGGTGTGTTATTTATCAACATTCCTCTAACAATAAAAATACTGTTGTCTCTCTTACGAAGACGTCTGCGTGCGTGGGCCATCTCTTTCCCGCTGCTCGTGAAGCGTCCGATTCTGATGCGGCCTAATCGCTCTAGCATTGGTTTTATGAGTTACGAAATACAAAGAGCTCTTTTCCTGTCCTGTCCAAAATACATGAAAGAAGTCGAATGCACGCGTTTATTTCTGAAGCAATACTCCAGTAGTTGTTCTTCGCCTCATAAGAAATGGGAAAGCTCCCCTGGAGTTGAAAAGTTCATGTGCATATGCGGGCGCACAAGAAGGCTCGTCTGCAGCAAGAAGTAAGAGAGCTCTTGCAACCTTCCAAACATGAAGCAGGACAATTTACGACTCTTCTCCGGGGTATAGGACAGCATCAATAAGAGGTAACTGAATGAAAACTCATGTATCGCAGGAAACCGAATAGGAAGTCTCCATTGTTTCTGATGATAGCAGAATGCAAACAATTTCCTACAATGTTCAATATGACATGAAATAAGTTCTAGATAGGCTTGCGATTAATACAGTGTTGGATTTGTAGGCGGTGCAGCTCGCCGAAGAAGGGCCAAAGCCATCTTCGAGAAAGCTCAGGAACTAGAGCCAGTGCCGCTGCCGCCATGGGTCTACCAACCTCCGAAAACATACATGAAATAAACTATGTAACGACTAGGCTGGCCTTGTTCATACTTATCAAACCGGAGTAATGAAAACCTTTGCTGTTCCAGAAGACATATAAAATAGTACTTCCAGTCCCTGACAACGGTTGAAAGCACACTCAATTATCTTGTGATACAGTATATCAGTATATCCTGTCTTGGACATCAGAAAACACTGTAATGCTCAAAAGTTCCAAAATTTCCAACCCTGAAATTCACGAAACACTGTACTGCTCAAAAAAATCCAAAAATTTCAAAATTCTGGCATCTATGGCCAGGTCAGCGGCGGATTCCTTAAAAGTTTGGAATTTTTTGAGCATAGCAGTGTTTCGTGCGTTTCAAGGCTTGGAAAAGTTGATTTTTTTTGAGCATTACAGTGTTTTGTGAGTTTTAAACCACGAAACACTGCTATGCGCAAAAAAATTGAGCTTTGAGGCTGTGAAAAGTGGACTTTTTTTGAGCATGACAGTGTTTTGTGAGTTTTAGACCACGAAACACTGCTATGCTCAAGAAGAGTGAGCTTGGAGGCTGTGAAAAATTGATTTTTTTTGAGCATTACAGTGTTTTGTGAGTTTTAGACCACGAAACACTGCTATGCTCAAAAAAGTGAGCCTTGAGTCTTTGAAAAGTTGATTTTTTTTGAGTATTACAGTGTTTTGTGACCTTTAAACCACGAAACACTGCTATGCTCAAAAAATTCCAAAATTTCCAGCCCTAAAACTCACGAAACACTGTAATGCTCAAAAAAATCCAACAATTCCCAAATTCTGGCATCTATGGTCTTAGACGGGGGCAAATTCCTTAAAAGTTTTGAATTTTTTGAGCATAGCAGTGTTTCGTGCGTTTCAAGGCTTGGAAAAGTTGATTCTTTTTGAGCATTACAGTGTTTCGTGGTTTAAAACTCACAAAACACTGTAATGCTCAAAAAAAAAACAATTTTTCACAGCCTCAAAGCTCAATTTTTTTGAGCATAGCAGTGTTTCGTGGTTTAAAGCTCACAAAACACTGTAATGCTCAAAAAAAATCAACTTTTCCAAGCCTTGAAACGCACGAAACACTGCTATGCTCAAAAAAATCCAAACTTTTAAGGAATCCGCCGCTGACCTGGCCATAGATGCCAGAATTTTGGAATTTTTTGATTTTTTTGAGCAGTACAGTGTTTCGTGAATTTCAGGGTTGGAAATTTTGGAATTTTTTGAGCATAGCAGTGTTTCGTGCGCCCCATGCCTCAAGAACCACGATGGCGTGGATCTTGGGGGGGGGGGGGCGAGCATATATATATATATGTCAACATGCACGTGTATGGATATTTAAGATGCTTGTTTCAGAATTTACATTGAAACTGGAGAGAGAGACGCAGAGAGAGAGAGCGAGAGAGAGAGAGAGAGAGAGAGAGAGAGCGAGAGTTATACACACATATACAGGAGCAAATGGGCTGCGCGTAGTGTATGTGCTTAGTCAGCAGCTGACTCGAAGGGCTGTTCGTTGTTCATCGAAAGTACTGGCTTTTGGTTCTGCAGACTTTCAGTTCACGCAAGGGTTCCGTGTCCCAGCGACCGACCTTAAGGTCTGGGTCAGACACCGCCTTGTAATGCACAAGGCCGCAACTAGCGTTAAGCGGCTGTAGCTTCGGATGCAAAAGCTGGAGTATTACAGTGCCTTGCCGCCCTGAACCTCAAAAGGTCAGGCCCGACAACCCGACCTATGCCTCAACACCTGAAGACCGAAAGTGGAAGCTGTTTCAAACGAACGAGGGTTCCCTCCATTTTGTAGCTGCGGTTAAAATTCACTGCATACATTGTTGGACGAGTGCTGTCTTGCAGGAGATCGGGCTCATTTCCACAGTACTCCATCGAGGTTGGAAAGACATGCCACTTGCTTGCAAAGACTTTATGGCTCATGCCGTTTACAATTGAGGCTGGTTCGTGAAACGCGTTAAAGCTGTGAAGCCGTCCAGGAGCTTCGTGTACAGGGGCGAAGGCGTGTGGGCCTAATCCGCTGTTGAACCCTATCCGGCAGCGGACTCCAACACCGTTAACCTTAAACCCTTACGCCAAGTAGACTTCCTGGTCTGGTGCTAGGCCCTGATCCAGCGCCAGGCCCTGATCAAAAGGTTCGATGTGGTTAACTCGCACAGCTAGTGATCGTAAGACCCCAGGCGTAGGTGCAATACGGGCACAAGGGCGGTGTTCGTAGGGTAACATACATGCAGTGCAAGGGAAAGCAGGGGTTGTGCATGTTTGCCTCGCAGCACTTGCATCCAAAGACTGCTCTTGTGACTCAAACCGGAGCCCAAACGAGGATCCCGTAACTGTTGAGGTCTTCCCGGTTTCCGAGCTCGCCTAGTTGGTTCCCCCTAAAGACAGGGGCAGAATGCAGGATTCAGCGAGGAGGGTCCATGTACCGGGGCTTACTTGTGGGCTTTGCGTGCTTTCAATTACCATGTGGGAGTTTCAAACGGAAGGACCATTGGGATTATGTACAGTATACTTCCTTATAAGGAGATTATTCTTGCGACGGTTGTTGAGCCAGGTATTTACTGCCATGCATCCATCCGGTCCCCATTTCAGTAGGTACATGGATCGAGGGCCTGGGAGAAACAGCACAGTTCGTCGTCTATTCGTCGTCGAGGTGGCTATTGTGGCACCTCGAACCATGCGTTCATCAACAACGGAGAGCGATATGCGGTTACCACTCCAGCTCACGCACCATGCCAGCAGGTGCAAGTCAGGGTATAGAGCGACCGTGTTCTGTAGGTTGCAAGCTCTGGAAATGAGGATTAAACCTTTTTTTCTCTCTTCAGTAAATTGAACAGCCTTTTTTCTTGTAATAAATGTGTTTCCCGGCCCCCCACCCCCTCTTGTGCACATGCAGAAAAATCGGTCAGGCTTCGGCCAGGAATGTGCGACAACATGTACTTTGTCGGGGATGTATGGCCGGATCGGTTGGGTTCGTCGGCTAGGTAACCCTCGCACCCAGCTCCCTTAAACCCAAAGCCTCTGAGCCTCTAACCAAGCCTTCAATCTGTCAACCCTGGAGGTAATTGGCAGAAACACGAGGTTGTGCCTAGCAGCGATAGTGCCATTAGTCGCTTTTGATTGACAATTTGGGTTTTTGGGCTTTGGTGTTGAGTAGACTGGAAGAGCCGGGCTCGCAAAGATTGGTTTGGCACTGGTTTGCAGGTTCTTGTCCCAAGGCACCGTGAGAGAACTCCAGTTGCAGGACACTGCTCGCTCGTCTTCGAGGGTCAAACAATTCCAAACTAATTACCTGTCATGTCATCTGTCATTGTGAAGTTTCAGGAACTCTGCTACTCAGTTACAGAGAATGCCAAACCTCAGAAGTGCGCTTCAGGCTTGTCGCTACAACCGGTATCCGAAGCGCAACCGTCGTCTCAGACGCAATAGAGCCGTGTGAGCCTGAATCTAAAAAACCGCAGCCGGCACATCAAAAATCTGAGCCCTAATTACACGTTGTAGCCCCCTATAGCTCAACACCCTAAAGCTAAGAGCCTCAAATACAAACCCTTACATCAGTCATATCAGCTTGCCACTAAGATCGGAACCCATTGTGGATCTATCTGCTCGGCAAGCAAGGACCCGTAGTGTTGTTTCACTGCGAGTGGTTAGGAGTCTTGGACCGGAAAGGATTTCGGGCTGTGGGGTTCGAGTTGTTTTCTGGTGATTTGTTGGGTTTTGGGGCCTTAGAAGGGTTAGGGTATAGTCTGAAACAGCTGTTCATGAGGTTGACAACGCAGGCCTTTCTCTGTATGCGGGTGTTCGGTGAATCAGAAGTACCGTATACAGCCATAGACTATCAACTTGCGTCCCAAAGTGAATATTCTACGCACACACTTGAAGTCGTAGGGATATTGCCAGAAATACCGCGTAAACTCTAACGCCCCAAACCCTGGACCACTTTGACTTTGCCCACAAACTAAGCCCTAAAGTCTGAATCCTTAGACTCCAGATCCTCTAAAAGCTCAATCCATGATTTTCTGGGAGCCGCGTCCGCAGAGCCTTGGGACCTCTCACCGATCGTTTGCAGGCAGTGGCTTTAGGGTTTTGGGATTTCTAGGTTCTTAGATGTGTTGGATGGCCCGACGCCTTCAAGTGGCTGAACATGTAAATTTTCTCCTATGTGCACTTCCTTGTGTTGCTACCAGAAGTTGGGGTGTATGACTTGATTCATAGCATAAGACAGTGCGGAGGAAAAGTGCAACTGGCTACATAGTCTGGAGAGCACCGAGCCTAGCACAGCATTGCAGTTGTATGTGCTGGTGCATGTGTTTGCAGATACACAGGCGCACAGGAATGGCTGTCACATGTCTTACATCCTTTCCATGTGCTCATGCAAACAGATCGGTTGGTTGATAGACAGGTAGTTCGGCCAGTAGGCAAGTACATATTATGTAGGTTGTATGCCGCATGGCTGGTGTACATGCTCTGGTGCACGACTGGTTTTGTGCATATGCATATGTGCATGACTCGACCATCATGTGTCTAGACTTGTGTATACCATGGTGCTGTCTTCACGTTTGCAATTTTTATCGCGTATGTGAACAGAAACACACACACACACACACGCACACCTATGCTTATATATATATATATATATATATATATATGTTTGTATTTACAGTATACCTCTTTGTATACATATACATGTTCTTGCACATATCTATCTACCTACTCTATCTATCGACCTACAAATCTAGCGGCCTCTCAATCTGCCTACCTGCCTATCTATCGAACTATCTATCTATCCTAGCTATTGTGTTGCTCTGAGTGTGAATCAGTGCGTGCTTGCGTGTGCATGTGTGTGGAGGAGTGCGGCGGCTTCATGTTCGACGGGAGCAACGGCCGCCTCTGGGCCCGAAAACCCGCAAGTCTAAACCCTGCAAACTTCCCTTCGATGTTCCTCCGTGCCCGAAGCTGCCACACAAAAGGAGTTCAGGATCAAGGGGTCAGCTGAACCTCCCAATCACAGGTTGTTATCCCCTCAACGGCCAAGACGAAATCATCCATGAAGACTATATTCTACAAGAGGGACGTCGTGGTTTCTGGAAGACAACCTACCTTTGAATCCTGAGACTCAGAAACTTGCTTGAGAAGCCTTGTCTCTAAAGGGCACCGTCTCACTCTCAAGTCTGGTATACCTCGCCCGCTGTTGCCGAAAGGGCCCAGTCAGGACCTTAAACTCAGCCACCGCGGAGCCTCAAGTGTGAACACGAGCCGAAATCCGAAGCCAAGACTGCTGGTTCCGGAAAGACCCGACGTGCAACGTGGGGACCTGGCAGTGTGGGGGGTTTAGGATGTATTCAGGTTCTGGCTAAGGGAAATGCTATACAAGGCTTTCGGTTTGTCTTACATGTTATTACAGTACTTTACGGTTGTGGCGGCTTCTGGCAGGATAGGTAGAGGTTGCTGGGTGGTCTGTTTCGGGGTGTTGCAGGCTGTATATAGCTTGAAGATACTTCAGCAGAGGGGAAAGGCCAGGGTATGAGGATGGCAGTGTGGATCTGACAGTTGTTGTTCGTTTGGGGCTTCGGGTTTTCTGGGGCATCTTGGGGTAAGGCGGGTTCAGGGCCACCTGTAGGGGTTTAGGATAGGTGATTTCGATTTCGAGATCTACCGTAAGTCTCTCGGACGTTTCTGGATTTTGGGCTCCAGGGTTTAAAGTTCCAGATACATCCAGTCTTGTTCCTAAGACTTTTGTTGCCCCTACTCAACAGAATCAGCTCCGATAAGGCCTAGCTCCGCAAGCGATACTAACAACGGCTGCCAGCCTGCTCCTGCTGCTGCTGCTACTACTACCACTACTACTACTACTACTACTACTACTACTACTACTACTACTACTACTACTACTATTACTCCTGCTACTACTAATACTGCTACTACTACTACTACTACTACTACTACTACTACTACTACTACTACTACTACTACTACTGCTACTGCTACTGCTACTGGTACGATTATTATTATTATTACTACTACTACTACGACCACGACGACTACTACTACTACTACTACTACTACTACGACTACTGAGATCACGACAACTTCCAATGCTGCTGCTGCTACTACTGCTACTGCCATTGCTACTTCTACGAGCACGATTACATGCTCCGGCCCACTGCAAGCTCCATCGCAACTTTGAAATTCCTGCTCGTTCTCCACTTCCTTTCTTTCTATTTTCTGGAATGTTGCTGCCCACCGCCAATGAACAGCATGTTTTGGTCCAGCCTAAACCTCAACCCCTGAACAGGTACACCGTACACCCCAAGCCCTAAAAGCCAGATCCAGATGTACGTACTTTGTATGAGGTCGAGGCCGCAACAACCCGTCAATGCTGGACCAAGGCAGGATTTGGTACCCACTCGGTATCCTCAAGTGAAACCAAGCGGCAACCGTGGATGGTGTGTATGCACGATTTATGAAATTATGCGTGTATGCCGATCCAGACATATAGAGCGCGTGCAAAATCGAAACGGCCTTGAGGTTGTTTGTAGGGTGTATAAACGTCCACGAAGTTGCACTTTGGTCTTTCGGGTGTTTCAGATCAGCCTTCAAGAACTTGGAGCACCTGTCCCTTCCGGCTTTGGAAAGCACTCGTAGTAGAAAATGTCCCCAAAGCCCTCTTGTGTTTGCGGCTGCTGAGATCCCTACATTAGGGTACTTGGCCCTTCAAGAGCGTACAGTTCGACCTTGCGCACCGCCGGGTTCTGACTGCTCGGAAGCTGGAGCCTGAAACGCAAGCCCCGAGTTGGAAACCCCAGGCCGCAAGCTCTGAACTTTAAGCCGTAAACCCCCAGGCCTGAACCCTAAGCCCCAATGAGTTCCCGAAGAAGTCTCCGACGGACGGTGACTGAAGCTGAGTCGAAGTTATGCACCATATTGCCCCTCAGAAATGATACCGTACGATTCAGATGGCAGTATGAATCTAGCCCGTTCGGAAGACCTTTGACATGCCTTTGACTCTGCAGGAGGAAGCGTGAACGAAGTCAAACATCAAGCCACCTCGGCCCCCAGTTTTAATGCGTAAACCGAAAGCTAAGGTTCAAGGCCCTATGAATGCTAAGCCCTCAACCTTAAACCGTAAACCCTTAAAGCCTGAAGCCCTCAACCTGCCTGCGATTGATTTCGAAAGTGTGTTCCAGCTTCTTGTCGGGGCGTAGCGATCCCGAAACGCAAGACCTGGTCCTGCACCTGCCAGACCTCGCCTTGCAGGTGGACGGCTCGTCAATGACACTAGGATTCGACCGCCTAGAAGGAACCTGGCGGCTGGCCTGCAGAAGACACGGTATGGGGAGAAGGGTGCGTTGTCGCAAGAATTGCGATCATCATAGTAGCAATGGTAGCAGTGGCAGTCGCACTAGCAGAGAGTAGGAGTAGGAGTCGGAGTAGGAGCAATGGTAGTAGCAGTAGCAGTAGCAGCAGCAGTAGCAGCAGTAGCAGCAGCAGTAGCAGTAGCAGTAGCAGTAGCAGTAGCAGTAGAAGTAGCAGTAGCAGTAGCAGCAGCAGCAGCAGCAGCAGCAGCAGTAGCAGTAGCAGTAGCAGTAGCAGTAGCAGTAGCAGTAGCAGTAGCAGTAGCAGTAGCAGTAGCAGTAGCAGTAGCAGTAGCAGTAGCAGTAGCATAGCAGTAGCAGTAGCAGTAGCAGTAGCAGTAGCAGTAGCAGTAGCAGTAGCAGTAGCAGTAGCAGTAGCAGTAGCAGTAGGAGTAGGAGTAGGAGTAGGAGTAGGAGTAGGAGTAGGAGTACGAGTACGAGTACGAGTAGGAGTAGGAGTAGGAGTAGGAGTAGGAGTAGGAGTAGCAGCAGCAGGAGGAGGAGGAGTAGTAGTAGTGGAAGTAGTAGTGAGTAGTAGTGAGTAGCAGTAGTGGGCGCAACAGCAGCAGAACCAGAAGCAGTAGGAGTAGAAGATGGAGTAGGAGGAGTTGGACGAGTAGGAGGAGTTGGAGGAGTAGGAGGAGTAGGAGGACGAGGAGTCGGAGTAGTCGAGCAGAGGAGTTGCAGTAGTCAGGTCGTAGTAGTCGTCGCTTGTTGTGGTAGTCGTCGTCGCAGCAGTAGCCGCAGCAGCAGCAGCAGCAGTTTCAGCAGAAGTAGATATATGGTTATGTTGTGCACATGCGTTGCTATTGATGCTGTTGTTGTTGTTGTTGTTGTTGTTGTTGTTGTTGTTGTTGTTGTTGTTGTTGTTGTTGTTGTTGCTGTTGTTGTTTATGGTGTTGCTGCTGTTGCTGTAGTTGTTGTGGTGTTGGTGGTGGTGGCGATCTTGCATGCTTCCTTGCCTGCTTTCTGGCAAAGATTACGTCCTCTTCGCCATTGCCGTAGTTGTTGAGAAATCATCGATCACTATTTACATTTAGCGTCGTCATCATCATAATCATCATAAATATGATTCTGGTCATCATCGTCTTGCTCCGCCGCCGCCTCCTCCTCCTCCTCTTGATTTCGCTATCGTCACGGCCATCATGCTGCCAGCCATATCATCAGCAGCAGCAGAAGCATTAGCAGCAGTAGCGACAATTAACATCATAAGCTTTTCGTGGACACAGTTTCCTTGTTGTGATCACCAGGGCTGAGTCACCGTCAGCACCCTTAACCACCAGTAAACCACGAACTTAAAAACGCTGCAGCGCTCCTCTTGGGCTCTTTGCCTCACTGAACCGGTCAAGTGAAGGTGTTTGCAGCCAAAGGATGGCCAGCAGCAGTGCGACACGTCTGGCAAGAGGGGCGGTGCGGTTGTTGTCTGGCCATGCCATGTGTAGTAAGTCCGGAGGTCCGGCTGCACCTTTTGCAGCCCGAAGGGGCAAGATCCTGTCTAGTTTTGGTCGATGGTCTACCTCTCACTTTAAAGTTGACTTGAAGTGGGAGAAACTGAGTTGGTTCGCTTTTGTAGGTGTTGACTGCCCGGATATGTATATGCATGTATGTGTGTGTGTATACATATCTACACCTGTATGTCCTGAACCGTTTTTGTGCGTTCTACTTGTGACGTCCATTAGCATGCTGAACTTGATAGATTGTTCTCATACGGGCGCCTTGCAGGGAACCCATTAGGTAGCTGTTCCAGAATAATGGTGTCCTTCCCTAAAAGTCCGTATGACAACGCATTACTCAAAAAGGGACCTTGAGCCTACGGTAAGCCAAGCCGTGCTTTCTGCCGAGGCATGTCCAGGCCTGACGGTTTAGGCCAAAATCCCTAAGCCTGCAGTCTAGCTTTAGGGTCTATAGACCCCAAGGCCCCTAGCCCTGTACAGATTCCCAGTTGACGACTTCTTCTGGCAACTCCAACCTTTGCGACCTTCAGCTTCGGAAGCACTTCTATGGGTTCTATGGCCAGGTTCCCTCTAAGCTTGGATAGTTCCAAAGTCTCAATTTCTGTCTTTATGGGCATTGCATGCTTAAGCCCTGACGGATCCCTGAAGCCAAAGTCCAGGTTCATCGGTTGCAGATGTCTTGCATCCTGCTGATCTCAGCGCCGGATCTTTGAAGTATCGTGTTGTTTTTTTGTTCAGGGTTTAGTCTTGCTCTGCAGCAGGAAGTAGTCCTCAGCAATTAGTCCATCAGTTGCTATTTTGCTGAGCATCTCAGATCCTAGGCGCTCAGTCGCTGGTTGGAGTGGACTACACACCGTTAACACCCATGGAGACTTGTCCAGAATTTTCAGGCGGCGGCTGTGGAATGAATGCATGAATGACTGAAATGCGACGTGATGCAATAAAACGGAATGACATGGAATGGAATGGAACGAGTGAATGGATGAGTAGATAAATGCATGCTAGGGCCTTGCAATAATTATGGTGTTCGGGCGATTGGCTGTGGATACATACAAGAGCAAATAATAGGAAACACAAATAATCACAAAAGGCACTCGGGCTCCCGTATCGGAGTACAGTTCACGGCTTGAGGTTGTCAGCTCGGCCTTCCCAGAGGGCCCTGCTCTCGTCATGTTGTCATCCTCCGGCTGTTGGTCACCATCAACCTACTTTGCCAGCGTGGTGTCGTAGTGCATGCGGCCAGGCCCCAGACAGGCTCAGTGGCGTAGCTTGCGATAGTTGAGAAAGGCAAATTTAATCCGAATCAGACGCTACACTTCAGCGCCTAAGCAACTACCTAACCCTCGTGGTGAACGCCTGAACGTAAAAGCTTGGAAACCCAGCGGTTTGATCCCAGCACGATATGTGAACCAAACTGAAATGTTTCCAACTTGTATGAGCACGAGTACCAAGACAGTTGAACATCTGCGGACCCAAAGTGATACCGGATGCGTGGAGACAGCCTCAAGAAGCCAGAGTCCCGCACAGAAGCTCTTTCAAACCCGAAACGCACGAACAGGCCGAACAGGATCCCTGAATCCAAATGCTGACGCGGTGCAAGGAAACCGACTTCGAAGGGAGCGGCTCTATGGAAGTGTCTAGAGAGCCTTGACGTGAAGCTGAGGGTTGTTAGGGCATGAAGTCACCGGGTTCGGGTTTTTGAGGCTCTTGGGGTTTTGCGAGTTTGAGAGATCAGTTGCAGGATTTCACCAAGCCCCACAACCTCTCGCCAAAAAAATGCAGCCCGGAAGTTGGAACACTATTATCTTCATGCGCTAAACCGACTCTTTCTCTCACTCTCTTGCTTTCCTCTCTCCTCTATGTATGTGTGTAAAGATATAATAAAATATGATATAATGTACTATAATTAATATAAGGTACTATAATACAATATACTATATATAATATGATATAACATATATATATATATATACATACATACATATCTATCTATCTATATATATATATATATATATATATATATATACATATATATATATATATATATATGTAGATAGATATGTGTATATATATATATATATACATATATATATATATGTATATATATATATATATATATATATATATATATATATATTATATTATATTATATTATATTATATTATATTATATTGTGTTATATTATATTATATTACAGAGACATAGCTATACAGATATACAGATGTATGTATGTCAGCCAAAAATACAACAGTTGATCCTCAACCCACACTTCATTTTTTTCGGAGTTATCGTGGGGGTGTAGGGCAGAATTTCGTTCAGGCCGATTTGTTTCGACGGTTTCTCGGTATTTTGAATGTGAAGCTAGTGCCCAATCTTTCGCCCGAACCTGAGCCTGCCCAAGGTATATAACTTGAGCCGTGCAAGCAGCAGGGACCAAACATGTCCGAAGAGTGGGAATCGGCAAGCCTTTCAAAAGGTTGACCTATGTAGAGGGGCTTTAGAGTTTCAAGTCCACCTCTCAGCGAACCCACAGTTAGGAGCTAGGATGTATAGTTCTTAAGCAAAAGCCGCTTTACTGGGATGCACAATCGAGCATGACTGGAATATGTACTGCAGCAGGATTATTCCTCTGAGGCCTCAGGGTCTTGTTCTACGTGGCTGTGACATTCTAGCATTCTTGTCTCCTGCTTTGCTGGCTTTTCAGGAACGTTAGTTGTGTGATGGATTTGCAATGACCTCAAGTAGTCAGGCTAAGTCAATTAGTGAGGTGACTACGAGGGTAATTGTATAGGACTCAGCCAAACACTCGTGGTGGACAGGTCCAGTCATTCAAGACTGGCAAGGCTGTAGGCCTTACTTAGATGTTTGATTTGCGCGGACCAGGACCATCCGCTCGCAGGTAAGAGACTTATTTCGAGGGGGTGGCATGCATAAGATCTACAGATGAACATCAGCATATTTTATCGGCTTGCTTGCCTAGAGCAATGCAGAAATCAGCAGAGATAGAGACAGCGAGAGAGACCGAGAGAGAAGACAACAACACCAAACAGCAAGAGCCCCGGGCACATCTCTGTTGCCGCACCCAAAGGTCGAAGCCTGTGTAACGTATGCTCCCTGCAGCCATCCGACTTGAGAAGGGGGCTACACTCCCAGGCTCCCAGAGCGACCAAGCTGAAAAGCTACTTCAACGCCGGTTTCGTTGCAGCCAGGACATCATGGCACAGAGTTTGCTCGGGACCTCCAGCAGCGTTTCCCGTGTCGGCACCGGTGGTGGCCTAGGAAACAAGAAGCTTCTCGACTGCTCTGAGCTTCGTCGCTTCGTTGTCATCTCTTTTTCTGGTATTGCAGTGTTTGTTGTTGTTCTTGGGGGAGGGGGGTTCCGATACTTCAAAATAGAGCGCTCGGGGCTTTTTCTTGTTTCTGCTTCGCCGGTGTCCCGTGGACTTTGGAACCAGGTCCCAGGTCGCACCCCAGACTCGGGCTTGATGGCTTTTTCGAATTTGTTCAGCACCCGGTTCCCTGAAGCCTGGGTCCGAACCAAAATCCGAGCCTGAAGCCAATGCAGATGTTCCCTAAGATTCGGCTGGTCACTAGCCTCACTTATAGAAGCAAAGCTGCAAGCCGAATACGTGTATAAACAGCAGCAGCTTCCAGAACATAAGGAGGGTCCTTGCATGATCCTGGAATAGACCTTGTTGTCTCGCTTTGGTGTTGAGCAGTCCCTGAGCCCAATCCCCCCGAACCCTAAACCCCAACACCTAAAATCCAAACTCCCCTAAGCCAGATTGAAAGCCCTGATTTTTCTATCGATCGGTCTATCTATCTGTCTATCCCACTGTTTATCTATCTGTCTATCTATCTGCTATCTGTCTCTTTATCTATCTGCTATTTGCCTATCTATCTAACTGTCTAAGCTTCTGTTCATCTATATGTGTCTGTCTATCTGTCCATCTATTTACCAGATTTTCTGTCCATGTGCTTAACCAACTCTCCAGTTATCCGTCTATGTACATGTATGTTTGTACTCACTTGCGTGCGTGTGTGTGTGTGTGTGTGTGTGTGTGTGTGTACGTTTACATATTCAGATGCGCACGCACGCATGTATATGTATACATACATACATACATACATACATACCCACGCACATACATACATACATACATGCATACATACATACATACATACATACATAAATATGCGTGTGTGTATATATATATATATGTATATATATATATATATATAGTCATATATATATATATATACACATACATATATATATATATATACATACATAGATACATACATACATACACACAAGCATACACACATACATACGTAACCTCGGCCCTTGAACGGCATGTGAAAGGTTCAAGAGCTTGCCGAAGATCCCGAAGGCGAAGTTTGAAATGACGAAGCTTCTTGCCTTGTCTGGTTGGGGCTCGGGGCTTCAGGGTCATGGGTTTCAGGCTGTTAGGTTTAGGATTCAGGTTTGAGGGTCTCTGGCATAGGCCTTCGCAACACGCCTCAAGAATAGTCCAGATTGGAGTTTCATGATGCTTGGGGTGTGAGGTGTGCGTGTGTGTGTGTGTGTGAAACTGCGAGATTAGTGTTTTGGAATCAGGCGTCTCAGCAACACCAAGTTGCAAAACACGAGGTGACATAAAATGGGAATTGGAGCCCTTGTTTCAGGGTCTACAGGAATGTCTGCAACGTCAGGTAGGTGTCGTGCCTCGCGGTGGCTTCTTTAGCTCAGTGGAGCATCTGAGGTCTTAGTGAGAGTATATGGTTCAGCGGGCTTTACGGTTTAGCGGGTTTAGGTCTCTTGGTGTCGGTACTTGCGTACCCCTTCAGAACGTCGTGAACAAGCCGAAGCTGGCTCAGGTTCGAGAAGGCAGAGTTCAAGCCCTTCGAAGGTGAGCGGCAGGAGCACCGCGAAACTTTAAAGCCAAGACCCTAACTCCTAGACCCTTAGTCGAATCTATATAACACCTGAACCCTGAACCATATAGACCCCAAACCTTGAACTCGTATTAGGCTCTTGGGGCTTCCAGGGCTAAAGTCTTTCTTCGTTTCTCGAGTTTGTTCCTAACTTTCGGTGGTTGGGGTTTTAGAGTGCAGCTTTTGACATGGGTTTCCACGGCATGGATTGGGGGTTTTAATGGTTCAGCGTTTGGGGTCTGGTGTGTTTGTCGGGCTTCTTCACTACATCGTAAGCCTGAATACAATCAGGCTTGAAGGCTTTGCCCTGCAGGAACTTGAGCGCCGAAGCGTCACTGACACGGTGCTGAACTGGGCACCGGAGGCCATTTTCTGATGGGGCGGTTGCTTTCCGGAGCCGTAGGCTCGCATGGTTTAGCATCTCCATATCTAGCGGTTTGTGTGTTATTCCTGTAGGGTGGGCAATAGCTTCCTGTGAGTATATGAACAGTTCTATTGTGACCAGTACCACGCTAGCAAGACATGCTGCGGCGAGACATGCTTCTCAGCGAGCCTCGTCAGACTAAACCTTTAGTAACACCAACCCAACACCAACACGCCCAACAAACTGATGCTCTGACCATGTCCTTCTCTCCCGGCCCCTGGCTGAGGGGGTGAGCTATGCGCCGCACTGCTTGGCCCGTGAAAGCCGTGAGATGATCACAGGCGGGGCTTTCGTTTTGGCTTTGGGTCGAGACCTGGGGCTGACTGGCCTAAACTTGGAAGCCGTCAGCACAGCAAGGGAAAACCCTAACGACATTTTGACTACAAGCTCTATCCAGGACTTAGCAGTTGCTGGGTTGCGGGTTCAAAGCTCACGGACACTTCCCCGACCAATCCTGACAGCCGGTTTTCAGATTTCAGCAACCTCAAGGCTTCATGTACCTTTGTAGTGTATGCTTTGGCTTACCAGAGCTTCGGTGTAAGTACTGCCAGGACGACATCGGCAGCTGGACTCTCAGGATGAACAAAACCTCACCGCCAGGGCGTGAAAGGTGAATGAAAACGTGAATCTTAGATGCAGAGCCCTCAACTCCAATCCGAACTCAGGCCCACAATTTTGAGGTCTCTGAATATGAGCATATATATATATATATATATATACATACATATACATATACATATATACATATACATATACACATACATATACATATACATATACAGATACATATACATATACATGTACATATACATACATGCATACATGCCCAGCGACACCACGTCAGGTGCGGAGCCAGTGGAGCCCCGGCGAGTCGAATTCAAGATGGGCAACGACAGCGACAACAGCGAACACATGACAACGACAGTATAGCAGCAGCAACAACATCATCAACAACAACAGCCACAACACAGATCTGGGGACGTCCCACACCAAAGCCCTCAGCGATAGTGAGGCCGGCAAGCTGCCGAGAGTAGGTTTGTGGCTTGACACCCAGGGTCTCTTGATTGTTTTAACGTCTCTTGGGAGTGCTCTACGTGGGGGGGGGCGCTGTCTGTATGGATTTAGGCCTTGTGCGTGATGTCGGGGTCCTTGAAGCCAAGGCGCTCGAGCGGACATGTGATTATGCTTTGGGTTGAAGGTTTGGGTTCTATCAGTGCGTTACTGGTCAAACGGCGTATAGACCGAATAGTGTCCCTTAGGTTCAACCGACTCGTTTGAGCAATAAGCGCAAAGTCACGTTGCCCGCGGTCCTAACGTCTGGTTTCCACCGAATCTTCTGGTGGCACCGAGGAAGGTGACCACTACCTCAGTGTGGAAGAGCGGCAGAAGGACCTCAGGGGTGTGTTAGCCCTGGACCCTGAACAGCCTTAACATTGACAATATTCACCAAAATCCTTGAACAAAAACATGACAGTCCCAACTGCATCCCCTGCCGCCCTCGAAAGGAACCTAGAAGCCAAGCCACAAAACCCCAAGCTTCAACTAGGTCGCCCTGGGCCTGGAATCCCCAAACCACCGCACTGGGAGGATGTCGTCGGCGCTTGCTACCATGCTCTGGGTGTAGACAGCACCTCCGATCGCTTTGGGGATTCAGTGCTGAATCAGGAAGAGGTTTGACAAAGCCTGCTAATAGCCTTAGTTTCCCGGACCATCCTCGCAGTATAGTAACCATACTAACATATTCGACTAAGGCCTGCCACCTGGAACCATATTCTCAGCTAAGTCGGCCCCTAAATTGGACGTGGCAGTGTTTCGGGCTTATGGTGTTTACGGCTTTTGGGACGCAGAGTGGGGCTCTCGCGGGTTTTAGTTTGTTTTGGGGGTGTGGTGTTATCTGCTATGCAATGGTGCTCAGGGTTTTGAAAGCGAAGGATTTAAGCTTCAGCGCTTCTGGTTTAGGAGAAAGGCTTATACCTTAGTATGGGCTTATGGCTTCGGGTGTGCAACCGGAACCTCCAGCACAAGCCTGGCACGGAGACAAGCCGAAACGGTCGCCTCGTAGTGCAAGAGGACTCTAGTCTAGATCCCTCTCCAGATAGGCCTTATATAATGGGATACGTAGGACAACCCCCTTCCGAAACGGCTTGTTTATAAGAGCCCCCCATGTTTTGAGGATTTGGTGGTTGGGCAGACGTTTACCCCCCCTCCCCCCCCAGCGAGCCATATAAACTGGCCCACCGCCAGCACTATCAGCCAAAGCGTTGCTGGGGCTCCAAACCCGCGCAGACCTCACATGACATGGGTTTTTACGGTTCAGGTGGTTTGGGAAGCTGCCTTTACCACTGCCATTACCCCACTACCACGACGACGATAAAGCCACCGCAACCACTACCTGTGCCACGCACGATTACATACTGTCTACCACCGATGGAGACTGCGTGAGCCGGACCTGTCTCTTTTTTGAACAGGGACTGCATGAACCAGGCGGGGTCTGATGCCCGAAAACCAACGAAGCTACCCATCTGATAGATTTACAAAGAAAAAATGGCCCCACTAGTACACCGGCCCCTGGGAAATCCTTGTTACCAGGGCCACTTTATGGGCTAAGTTAGCACTGGGATGCAGAATCTATGGGCAAAGTGTGGGTTGCAAGCCAGTTCTGATCACACGGGACGATTCCTCCATATATTGGAGTATAGTGGGATGGGTGACGTCCACAACGCGGACCCGTGGTACACAAGGGACCACTTTATGAAATGGGCTGGGTGACGTCAAAACCCATGTAAAATGGGGATACCCCCCCGCCATTATACAAGAACTTCCGGGCGCTGTCAAAGGTTACCGCCCCATTTCATAAAACCCAATCTGGCCCAAACCCCACAGTATGCTATAAGGGGGGGGGGGGGGTAACACCACCTTGGAAATTTGAAGCGGGATAGTTTAGTTGGAACCGCATCTTCAGTTGTGTGTGTGTGTATGTCTGTACATGTATATATATATATATACACATACATATATACATACATGTTTATATGTACATAAGCATACATGTACACATGTATACGCACCCTGTCGCAGTAGGGCCAGGAACTGCATGGACCGCCGTCCTAAAGGCAGACTCAAAAGCATCGCCACAACCGTCGAAAAACTCGAGTTGCAAGGAATTTGAAAGTCTTGGCACTTCTTGAGGCTTCGTGTTTTTCAAACACTGCAGGCAGTGGGGCCTCCGCTGCTGAGACCTGGGGTGAGGAGGGAACGCCCGGGAAGAAGACACTTCGTCGCACGGTGAGCTTTGGGGGCTTTGGATGTTGGGCCGAGGGAAGCTCTGGGTTCGGAGGCGAGCCGTTGAGTCTGCTTTGATTCGGTCTTCTGCCGGGCACCGGTTCTTGTCATACGACTTCCTGTCGGGATTGTACAGTGCCGAAAGCAGCGTTAGAGGTGTCCGATGGGATCGACACAAGATCTGTCAAGAGCTGCAACTTAGAGCTGTAACGCAGGCCTAAGCCGTCGTGCAGTACAGGACCTACTTGTGCCTAAAGCCACTGCATGCGAACCTCCTGCAGGAATAAACCGAGGCATATTGAATATTCCGAAACTCTCGGCCAGGCAATGCTCAGCAATGGCATGCCAGTAATGTCGCCATATTGTTGACTACAAGTTTCTCACATACCCCACTGCCGTTCCAATCATTAAGGATTTTATATGGAATGCTTAGATAGGAAACCGAAGTTGCAGAAGGCATTGTTCCGTGCGTTTGTCACATGTGCTGCTTGTGCTAGTTTAAGCTTTCCCAAGCGGCCGGCATGGCACACATTGAATTACTGTTGCTTCTATTGACAGTGAGTCCTTGCCTTATGATGTCAGGAATGGTCGTTTCCGTGCCATCAGGGGCGAGTTCATGTCTTGGGCAATCCCGAAAAGCACCGTCACAATGTAGAGGTGTCATTTTCGGGGTTGTGCACTAGAAGGCATCAAGAACATGTCGGACAGTGTTTTCATGATCGTCCCCATATTTAATGACGTTATACCTCATAAAAATAAGCCAACTCTGCTTGCTCCGGCCGCTCTGCATTGTGATCTTGTTATTCATTTGTGGATACTCGCTTCAGATCGTTGTTGTACTAGGACTGGAGCTGTTCTTCTGCAGCGTTTTGTCAAGGCTTTCTTGATACATACCAAAACAGCCAAAAGTATGCATCAACATCAGGTCAGATGTGCCGAGGACATCGCATCATTAACTGGGACTGTTAGCGTCCGGAGCAGCATCCCTGCGATCTAAACATCCCCGAACCAAACTCCAAACCATGTTGCGCAACCTGGACGGCAACCCTGTGGTACCCGAAACCCGAACCCAACAACCCCCGAATCCCAAAGCTCGGAACCCCCACACTTCGAGCCGAAGCTCGTCCACCGTGGACTGGAAGTCGCATACACACCTCGTGGAACCCGCTCAGCAACAGCCCCGAAGTCCCTACACCTTTAGTAATTGACCTAAAAATCCTAAAGCCTGCGGACATGGAGACCCTTCTGAGTCCTACACAAGCCCTGAATGCCCGAAACTGCAGGGACACAGATTGGCAAGATCTCTACATCTTCGATGCGTGCCCTGGTGGTGAAACCAGAAGCTAACGTGGCGCGGTGTTCCTGGTTGAGGGGAGCAGAAGGCCCACCAGGTTTACAGGCTTCATGTTTACAGAACTTTGTTGCAGCTCGGTTCTGCAAGTCATATATCAGCCAGACCCTTGCTAGCCCCTTAACCCATGCGACTCAAGGGGTATGGGCGTTTAACTGAGACCCGAGGCCTTCAATCCCGCTCTCCCAAACCGTGTCCATGGCACATGACCCCCCTCGCCAAGTTCCCAAACCGACAAGCGCTGCAGCCAGCGCCCAGGAATCCCACTTTTCCGGGGCTGACCGCGGATGCTGTTTGGGACTGTAGCTCCCGCGACATCAATCGCAACTCGCCGAAACGTAAATCATCGTAAATCCTTGATTGATCTATTAGGATGTCAGGTTCGGGCTTGAGGCGAAACAAAAGCCGCTAAAGCTCCAAGATCCGAGCCCTGCAAACCGAACTCCCTGTCTCTTTCTCGGCGATTTCGCCAATTCCAATCTATCTGAACCTCCCCGAGATCCTCGCCTCCAAACGCCAGCCCAAAACCAGCCCAAAACCTTCAACCTCCCTGATCACAGTCTCGAACTGACGTGCGTGAAGCCTTCAACGAGTGAGTCGGACAGCCGGAAACCCCCGAACCCACTTCTCAGCATTGGAATGCCTGCCAGACCTTGCACCTATAAATCGTTCACCCATGCTTTCCGTTGCTTGCAGCTGCAGCTGCTGCTGCCACTGCTGCTGTTGTCGCTGATGTTGTGTCTTGCTTTCGCTGTGTGTGTGTGTGTGTGTGTTCGCTTACTCGGCCGCCGTGGTCGTGTTCTTACCATGTTCGTTGTCGTCGGCTCGGTGCGGTCGCCTTTGTCGCTGCCTTGGCTGCAGCTTCTGCTGCACATGTTGTTTGTTGCTGTTGGTGCTGCTGCAGTTTCTCCCGCTTCTTCCGGCTTACCGCTGTTGTTGTTCAAGGTGTTGATGCCCTTGCCACGTTCGTTGCTGATGGTGCGTAAGTGCTACTCAACTCCTGCTTAGATTTTTATTTTTTTATGTTTCAGATCCTCAACCTCTGTACCTTCTCCATGCTCTTCTGAACGGTTATTCATTCTTACCCTCATTCAGCATCAGACATTGCTATTGTCACTGCAACTATTAAACTCGCTGTCCTGCTCATGTTCAAGAACGGCCACCACTGTCGACATCATCGTCACCTGAACCGAACAGACGGCCCTTCAGGCAACTACAAAATGGCGATGTGGGAAAGGGTGGCGCAGATGAGGACGGAAATGCTCGAGCGACTTGCCGCATCTTGAGCTGATGCCACATTGGGAAGTGGCCACAGCCTGTGGCTATCCCCACCTCACGGCCGCGGTCGTGGTAGTGGTTTGTAGCGCTATTGCCAGTGCTAGTGGCCACGGCGAGAGAAGGCGTTGGAGTGGGAGTGGGAGTAGTAGCGGTTTTCAGCGGGACAGCGACAGCAGCAGCTTTCGTGGTATTGGTATTTACACGCACTCAGTACCTGCTTCTGCTTACTACCATGTTGTAGCTTCACCCAAGCAGCTGTGACTGCACAAGGTAAGTTTCTGCCACTCTTTTGGTCTGGTGTAACGATCTTTGTCACGATTGCCCTTAAGCCTGGCAATGAGTGCAAGCCTGCTGGTTCGGGCGTTGCTGTTGCGGGCAGCGACTCTGCGCTATTCTGGATCCATTGAATAAGCGTCCTCGTCCCGTTGCTTTTTGGGTCCTCGGTACATTTAGTGTTACCCGAAACAAGTTGCATTTTGTTGGTCTGGAAATTCGCTGCAGCCCTAGTTGTACGCTTGACACTGAAAGCTGAACCCGTAGATCCAGCGTCGCCTGTTTAAGGTCTGATGTAGGCTGTCCGTGCGTTGTGCTCAGCATGACGAGTGCTTATGACAACTGAGCTGCTTGCACAATGAAGTTTTAAACGTAGCTGTTCCAAATGGACATGCCCAGCGATAGAATCTACGAAGCTCCACCCAGCACACTCCGGAAGACTTGTCCCGACTGAGCTCGCCAAGCTGGACTAGTTGCAGCCGAGGAACTGGGGTGAGCCCGCCTCCGAAGGACCAACATTGCCCGGGAGGGGGCGGGGCTCCGGGTCGGTCTTGGGGGGGCAACAAGGATGTCTAGAAAGCTGAGAAGTCAACTTCAATCCGATCAAGCCAGAAATCGCAACTACTACTTTCATACTAGTACTATATGTATGTCTAGTACGAGTACGTCTAAGCTAATACCAGTACTCCTACTCCTACTCCTGAAGCGGAGCATAGAACACCACGAGCTGGCACTCCTCCGCGAGGAATTTGTTCCGCCATTCCTGGTGCTCTGACTTTGGCAGGAGTTGTGCTGGCATTTGCAGCATAGGGTGTGTCGGGTCAGCCTGCTCCAGTGTTCAGGGTGCGGCAGTCGGCAGTGAGGGTAAAGAGCTTCTGGGTTTTGTCATGCACGAGCTTTGCCTTTCGCATTCTTCATGTCACGGCCTTGAAATCTTCTCAAGAATCCTAAACCTCACTACCTAAACCTGAGCTCTCAGCTTTGCAGATCTAAACCTGTACTGCTGAATTCCACTCCCGAAACGTGGTGCCAGGAGCCATTGCCGCCTATGCTGGGGTGAAATACGACTCTCTGCATGAGAGAAGCTCAGGTCTTAGGCTTTGGGTGTCAGATGCTTGGAGGCTTTGAGGCCTTCAGCGTTTACGGTTTAGGGGAGGTGCCGTGACACAGCTCCAATCATGGACTCCCTTATGCACCATAGCCGAGTACAGTGTGCGAAACCCAAAAGCTGCACTAACTCGTACTGTAAATCAAGACGCATGAAGCCTTATTCCAAACACACTCTGCCCAGGATCCGCCGTTTACGTGTTAAGATTCTGCATGGTTCCTGTTCGGTACCTGTCCGATTGTCTTGCGTGACTCGCTTGGGGTCTCCATATATATATATATATATATATATATATATGTATAGACTTTGCTCCAGGCTCAGGGTCGATGCAGGGTGTGGGGACTCGGCACATGATCAAGTGATCTGAGCTCAGGGAGGGTGGAAGGCTTCAGCACCGCAGCACCCCGGTTTAAGGTTTGGGGGATGAGTTCCAGGATTCAAGTCAAGTTTAGGGTGCAGAGGGGTAGGGTCTCGGGGTCATAGAGTGTAGGGCTTTGCGCTCGGAATCTCTAAAGACTACTCTGTTGAGCATGGATGTTTAGGGTTTCGGCACGGGAACAATCTGGATTCGGGGTTCAGCTTTAAGGGCATCCCAGTCACCAAACAGATGGCAGGATGGCGAACGTCTAGTCTAGTTGGTCTCATTCACATCCCTGGGCCCTGAACCACTCCCGACCTCCGACGACCCGACCGTGCCCAGTCATGCCAACTTAGTTTTACTACTTTTGATTATTTTGGGGCATGAAGTGGCTGCCATCGCTGAAATGCCACTCCCAGGAGATGCAAGCCGTTTGCGAGGTAGCTTGGGCAAGATACGGCAAGGTTTTAGTGGCGTGTTCTGCCGTCTTTCGGATTTGAGGTTGCTGGGGTCCAAGTACCTCATGAAGTACAGGCTTGGATGCGCTTGCACCGTGGAAAGTGCTCAGCTTGAGCAGTTTGCTTGATGAGGGTACAATACAAGCCAGAGTTCTTCTCCTTGAGTTCTGGGCGACAAACCCCACAGCTCGAGGCTATTGCCGCCGGAGTGCGGGGTGGTGCCCTATATGCCATTGCCAAGCGGCAGGACTATCGCGAAAAGCGAATGATTATCAGTGCCTTGGGCAACAGTTTTGTGGTTCGAGGATTTCGGACCTAGTTGCTGCCTGTTGAAAGCATTTCAAAGGACTAACCGCGTACATAGTCCGGCAGAAGAAGTAGTTGGAGTTGGGATCCAACGGGTTGTAGCCAGAAGTTCCGATTCTGACACGGCTATAGATTTTGGTTCGTGGTATTGGATGTACTGTCCCGTGCTTGAGCGCAGGGATCAGGCAAGCCTCATTGTTTCCTAAACTGTAGACACTTCATTACGACTCCTAGTAAGTTGACAGGAGATGAAATTGAACCTGCACATCTTTCTTGAACTTAGTAGCTGAGTAGGGAGCCTTTAACTTTTGGGGTTTATAATCCTGCCCTACTCGAAAAGGTTTGATCTTTTGGGTTCGGGTACTCAGCCCCTGAGTTAAGTGTACTGTACGCTGATATTCTCCTTTGAACGCCTCGCGGATCTCGGTGGCGCGGGGGGGTGGGATGTGGGGACGAGCGGGGGGAGGGGGAGGGGAGGTTAGGTATGCGGGCTATGGTCCTGAACCCGAAAATCCGTCGAAAACCTCAAAGACCTTTATCCGGACCTAAACCCGGAGCCTAAACGGGTTCCAACCCTAAACCCTGCACCTTTAAGCTTGTAAGCGTGAAGTTCACAGATTATTTCGATTGTAGTTATCGGGTCATTTGCTGATGTACCCTCTGCGGGATCTCAAGCGGTGTTTTTCTCGGCTCTCCACCTTACGCCTGGACTCCATTGTCGGTTTTTGCATGTTCCTTATCATAACTTCCGTGTATAGTCACGATCTGCATAAATAGACTGGATATGTATATGCATATGTACATACTATATATATATATACATATACATGCATAGTTTGTTCTTTAGTGTACGCTTGAATGAAACGTAGAGGAAGCTGCAATTGGACGAAAATAGAAGTGTATGCAATAGTTTAAGACGAACAGCATTTGTAACAGTTGTGTCCATAGCACTGATGACAACGGACGAAGAAATCAGTCCCCCCTCCAATTGAACGCAAAAGGTGACTACGCAGACTGCAACCCACTTCAGAATACCATGGCCAAAGTCTATTGCGATCTTAGCTGTGTGGAGGCTCGGAGCTTGGATGTTTTACGGCAGTTCAGAGCCTTCAGGATTTAGGTCTCAGGGGAGGAGCCCCGGGGTTTGCGGCACTTGGGCTTTAGGGTTTGCGCTTTCGGGTTTGGGGTTTCGTTGGGTCGCGGCTTGTGTGGAGGCTAAGCTGTCGGGTGCAAGCTTTCTTCAAGCAGTCTCAACAGTTCCTGCCAGCAGCGACCGAAGACACCAGAACCCCTCCACACTAGTACCCAGAATTGAGACGACCGTGAAAAACACTCTGAGACTGCAAGCCCTCAAATATGATTGAAGTCCCAGAAGGAAGCTTAGCACTTTAGCGCCTTGGGCCTCGAGATTTTGAACTGCCAATGGGTGCCTGGTCTAAGGGTTGGTGTCCCGGTATCCCTGGCTCAGGGATTGCCTCGTGGGGTTGACATTCAAGTTTGATGAGTTTGTAAGAGGGTTCGATCGGTTTGGGACACCATGCTTCAGGACGCCGTCAAGAGAGGCGATGCACAGATTCTCTCATCCATCGGGACGCTGAATCGCAACATTCTCTCGGAGATGACGCTGGAAGCAACTTAAGCAGATTTCCGGTCGTAGAATACCCTGATCCGGCCATGGATTCGGGTACTGGCTTCAGGCTGAGGTCTGGTGGTTCAAGGCATTTGTACGAGGTTTGTGCGCCTGCTTCCCCAATGCATTCGTGCATGCATGCATACATGCACGCGTGCATACGTTTATACGCGTCTACGTTTGCATGTGCACCTACACTTGCATGCATGCATGCATACATACGCATGCATGCATACATACGCATGCACATGTCCATGTACAGTCACATATACATATACAAACACATATACATGTACGCTTACATATACATATACAAATGCATACACACCTACATGTACATGTTCATATGCGAATTCATTCACAACTGCATGTACACATGTGCACATGCACATACATATATTTAAACCGGAACATCTTCATTTGCATATACGTACGCATTACGTGTTTGGATATTATACGAATATACATATATATATAGATGTATATATATATATGTATGTATATATAAACATAAACACATATGTATATTTACATACAAAGCATGTTATGCATACAATACAGTACATTTGTATGTACAGTATATACAATGTGTCGACTTTGCCCAAGGTCTCGTGTATCAAATCCCATGTCCTGAGCCCTACATGCTGGATCCTTTAGGTTCGGGCTTTCGGGAATTTCGGGTTCTGGGTTTCGGGTTTGGGGTGCCGCTTAGGTCTTTGTACTCGTTATGTGTTTGGACTTCGGGTCTTCGCTTTGGGTTTTAGTTTTGTGATCCTTGATACCTCCGAAACCCACCCCGGGAAGACAACTAACAGGGCCGGCCCCTCGTCTGGGTTTGTGATATTCAGTCCGTATCAGTTAGGAGGGCAAATCAAGAAGCAACAAGAACCGAACAAGGAAGTACAGGGCCAGCGCAACAACATGAGCACACAATAAGACATCAAGCCAACAGAATTCACAAGCAAAAACTCGCAGGATCAATGCCGCCGGTGTGCCATAAGGAATTCGCACTTTATGTTGGAGATTCCCCGTCTGTTTATCGAAGGATCTTGCAGATAAGGGCAGGGACATGGTGTGCAAGTGTGTTTATCTGATTTTCTGCTCTGGGAGATGTACCGTGATAGTAGCAATATTGTTCACAGTTGCATACCCCCGTCCGTTTTGCTACCCAATGCCCTCGGCCCCAAACCCCCAAAAAACCCTGGACCGACAACTCGGACCTTAAGCAATCAAAATAGCAGCCCCAATGGGTAACCTTTACAGAAAATTAAGCCCCACTCAGGAAGGCGTTCTTCGACCACTACGTGTCTGAGATCTTCACCCGCCTCACCCACATAGAGGATAAGTCCTCTCACGAGTCGAGCCAGCTGAAACAGGCGAGTCCTGGTGGGGCTTTCGAAAAAGCCCCAAAAGAGTTTAGATGAGTCCAACAGACAGGTAAGACCCACATCCCTCAACCCTAGGCCCTGAGCTCTTACTTTACTGAGGCCAACTCAGGCTGAAAGGGCTCAAGATCCGGTGTCCGAGCTAAATAGTGCGTAGTGTTATCCTGCAGAGGATCCCTTGCTGCCGTCCTTAAAACAAGGATCCTAAGGGCATTTGGCGCCCTTTGATTTCTGAAGGTTTCCGTGTTGAGATCGTTCAAGGATTTACGGTGGCTTAGCACGGTTTAGGGCTGAGGGTTCAGGATCGTTCGGGGATTTGCGGTGCCTGGAGTCTGTAGCGGAGTTTCTGGGGCGCTGGGCTTGGGCTTAAACCGGATCTTTGGATAAGCTCAATGTCACTGTCAAACTTTCGGAGGACAGAACGTCGAGCATGATCATAACACCCGCTGCAATTTCGACTCTTGGACGGGCTTGCTGTCTGCAGGATTATAAATTCCTTGGATGGTGAAATTCCTTTGGAGGTCTGAAAACGAGCAACTAGGAGTTGACCCCGTTACGACCTTTGCTGTCCCTAGTGTTTAGTATAGTGTATTTCATACCACAAATATGCCTTTAGATTATTCTACAGGTCCTGACATTTCGTTGAAAAGGGGCCCCAGGCATGTTGTGAAGACTTCGTGGCTTTCGTGCCGGCAGTGAATTCCAGCACTCCATGGTTGTTGTTTTGGTTACAAGGGTTTTTTGCCACAAGGTACTGTAGGAGCCTGAAGAATGCCTGGACTTTTGTTGACAGGGTTATGCTACAACTACACTGGACAACACTTTGCACAATACTACTAGATATCGCCCCTGCAGCACAGAAGTAACCAGATGGTTGGAAAGGGTGCAATTCAGGTATTGAGCAGCTTTCCACGGTGGGTCGGATGCAGAAGTTGCGCATGTCCTTGTGCCCGTGATTGTAAACGCCGAGCAAAAGCCGGGGCTGACTTGCAGCAAACATGGGAGTTTTACCAATGGTTAGTACTACTTCTGCTTCAGCCTGAGGCCGTGGGATGGTTAATGCATGCGCATCCATCTCACAATGTTCCAACTATACGTGTCACTTCGCTAGGTAGGACAGTGCAACTTACATCTTACATGTTGATTGCTTAAAGCCGGAAAGGCAGGTGGACCCAAAAACAGACAGGCGCTGGATACCTATGCGAAGGCAGAGATCGGTGCAGTGAACTCCAATGGCCGCTTGGGGCACCATTTATGGATTGCAGCGTGTCAAATTCATAGGTTGCAAATAGTGTAACAGCCGAAACTTCAATCGCAACAAGCTCAAGGCAGCTTCGTTTTGGCTCGCAGAGTTTAGGATGTGGGTTTAAATTGGTCTACGAAAGCTATCCTCGATGTGCAGGACTGGTTCACCATGCCAGGCATTCAGATTCGGGCATGAGGGTTCAGATTAAGGTTTCAGGCATTTGGGTCTACGCTGTTTGCGAACCTTCAACCTGAAGCAGTTCATGTTCTTTCTAAAAGGGGCCCAGCTCTGGGATCTGGGAATGGGATTTGGGTGCTGGGAGCTTCAGGGCTTCAGCACCTGGAAAGGCGCTGGCAGCATGTGGGGAACAAAAAGGAGGAGGTGATAACACTAGCGAACCATCCAGTACATTGCAGGCCCGTTGGGAGCTTTTCAAACTCGATGTCACAGATTCCCAACTTCAACGTCTCTGTCCCTGCGAAACACTGCCTATCCACTCTGCAGCAAGACCCACGGAGCCCCAGCGATCAAAAGGAAAGCAGATCATCGGTGCAATGAATAAGCAGCACAGCGCGATGAACAAGAACCTTGGGACGGCTGCCAAGCAGACTCTTGCGCGGCAGTTTGGTTCGGAGGATTGGAGGCGTCAGGGTTAAGGACGTGCGGGCTCTTGGGATGCTATGCATGAGGGTTTCGGCTTTGGTCTGTGGATCCTGGAGATGAGTTCAAGAACTTTAGTGCTTAAGGTTTCAGACCCCGAATTCGCCCTTGAAGACCAAAGGTCGGAATGGGTCCCATTCCGCCCCGCAAAAAACAGCGCAAGTTCACGCTGTATTATACGAATTGCGGCAACCAGCGAGTGCTCTGCAGGTCAGGGGTAGACAAGTCTTGGGCGTTCAGGATCCCAAGCATTGGTCTTCTGAGGTCAGGATGCAGGATCATCATTCAAGTCTAGGCTCAGGGCATCCGTTTGCTGGAGACCTTTGTGCACATTCATTCACACAGGCTTCCGCGTGTTTTGTTGAGGTCGGGGGTTGAGGGTGTGAGGTTTCCTTGGCTGCAGGGTCTACGATCGAACGTCGCGGAGTGTAGTGTGGGAGTTGCGGGTTCAAGGGCCCAAGGCACGTATTGATTCCATCGAGAAAAAACTCACAAAAAATGTATGACTAGTATGCAAATATCATATGTGGCTGTGCAGGACTTTGTTCGGGGCTGGGCTCGGGCATTGTTATCACATCAGCCAAGACGTTCTATTGATGGGGTGTTGCGGCATACATTGCCTTTACACCTACTCAGTGCTCTTTCCAGCACTCACATGGAGGCGTCTAATTACTGAGTCTAATGAGAGATTGTGCTTTTGCTCAGATTGCCAAGTTAGTGGACTCCTAAAGCCACGCCAACGCAGCTCAAGGCGGACTTCAAGCCTCATGTCAATGCTGTCTGCAAGAAGCCCTCGAGGGGCACAAGTTTTGGAGATCGGATTGGATTCTCTCCTGTTGCCAAGAGGGATACAGAGCACCTCGTGCGATGTCGACGAGGCATTGTTCGAGCAATCCCCAATGCTTCACGCAGCAGTCCTGAACCACAGAACCTCAATGATCCGAAGACTTCTGAAAGCGCTAAGGATCTTTGACTTGACTCACGAAGAGCACAAGGCTGGGACTTGTGTTTAAAGATCTGCAAGGCTCTTCCCGGGCCATGCACCTTCAGTCTGGAGGAACAACATGTTGCTGCTACTACTTCGTATTGCTGTTTGCTTTCGGTGCCAACATGTTCACGATGCTTCTTGTGTACGGGGTTGCGACCGGTTGCTCTTGTCATTGCTCTCACTGCGCCAGTTTTTTCACAAATGCAGCGACACTTGAAATGTCGTTCTGCTGTTGCATCGGCATGATGAACAGGAAGACTTGTTTTTGAGGAGGAGGACGAGGACGAGGAGGAGGAGGAGGAGGATGACGGTCATGATGAAGAGGAATACGAACATGAATATGAAGATGAAGAGGAAACAAAAGATGATGATGATGATGATGATGATGACGGCCCCAACTCTTTGCGTTTTAGATTCCCTGAGCCCCATAAACTCTTCTTCACAGTTCATATTATAGAATATAGACCCTAAGCCCCATCTTGAAGCCCCTAAAGCTCGCCGAGACGTTTCAAGCCCGCACAGTCTGCGCCAGGTTCTTGCAGAAAAGATTGATGGTGTAAACACGAACTTGGCCGCCACGTCGGATGCCATCGACAAGCTGGAGCACCCTTGCCCAAACTCTGGTGCTTATACCTTCCAGAAGCTTACACTCGCGGAACCTGCAGCCTCAGCATGTAGAATTTAATTTAAGCAGCAGTAGCTCATTAACCCCCCGATCCTCATATCACACACCACTAAACCAGTGAAGCCTTGAGTCCCAAACTTCGACCCTGAACCCCGGGATCCTAACCCCGTCAACCCCGTATTCCTACACAGTCAACTCCAAGACTCTGAGCCCAAAGCCCTCAACTCCTGATCCACATACGGTTTAGGGTAGCAGGTTGCAGCCTTTGTAAACCCTGCAAACCTAAAGCCAGGGCGTCGGTGTGCGGGGCCACCTCCCACTCGTCAGACACATAGCTTTCCCCCTAGGCTGTCGGAGCTGATATCCACACTTCGGTGCCGTGAACTCTTGCCCCCAACAACCTTGAACAAATAAACACTCGAATTAGGTTGCTGAGTTTATAAGTCTTTGGGTGTTGCCGCTTGGGATAATGAGACCAAGACACCCCACGTCGCGTCTTTTGGATTTAGGGTCATTCCCTGGACCTTTTGAGGTTGAATCTTTGTACTCCAGCAGGTTTAGGACTAATTCCTGAGCCATCAGCCCTCCATAAAACCCTGTAGCCCCAAAACTGTCTAGCCAAAGGGAGTCCACACAGCGTCGATTCAGCGATGCCTTCGACGAGTTTGCCGACGCGCTCACGGAAAGTAATCTTCTGGACCCTGGGAGGGCCTTGAGCTTCAGGGGCTTCCCGCTCCGGTACTCGGGGCTCAGCCTCAGGGGGTGTAGGCCCTAGAGTGATTGAGCTTCGGGCTTCCGTGCTTGAGTTGAGCAGTTCTACGGAAATCCCTGCACAAGCCCTGAACCTCCAGGACGTGGATCTGCATCGATCTGCACGTTCGGCTCTTGACGATTTCGAGAAGTGGCACCAGGACCGGTGGACTGTCGTTCGCCTCCTGGGGTTCAGGGCCTTGGAGAACGATCATGATAATGGCAATCATGGAAATATTCATGGTGATTATGATGGCAGCAAGACTGTAACAGTATTAAATATTGAGACTTACACCCGACGCTCCTGGCTTGAGCTTGGTTTATGTGGAAGTATGTGGAAGTCACGAGGCGCTTCAGGGCTGCGGTCGGATCCGCGCAACTGGACACTCTAAGCTCGAAATCCAAACGCGGAAACCCAGAAGGTGTGTCTGTGTGTCTCTGCGTGTGTGCGCTTGTGTCTGTTAGAGTACGTGTTTGATTGTTGTTCGGTTGAAGTTGTGTGGCTTTTTATTCGGTCAGCTTTTGGGTGCTGTTACGTGGATGATATGCAGGGGGTGAGTTCTTGTTTATTGCTTTCAAGGTTTTTGAGTTTTATGCGACACCCAAAGGCATCAGTAGGAATCAGCCTCAACTGGAAGTCGGTTGTAAGTTACAAAAAAACCTGGAGATGTAACGCAACAACTGGGCTTCACTTGCTAACCAGGCACACACACACACACACACCAACACAAACACCACTACACCCACGCACCCACACACACACACACAGAGCCGGACTCCAAACAACCTGCAGCGAATTTTTAACCCCACATTCAACAGAACGCAGTATGACCTTCCCACACCTGAAAGAAAGAAGCCAGCAACTTCCTACGCTGAAGCAAACTAGCAGCAGCGAAACAAGGTAAGTCAAATAGTGACTTTAGCAATATTGGCGATGGGACCTTTTCATACCATGGGTCTGTATGTCAAGAAATAATAATGATACTTCCTGGTAATGACATCAATCACGAGACCTTGAGCCCGCCAATATAACAGAGGGAGCGGAACTGTCAGTAAGATCATCCCCGTAAAGTGCAGCTAGTTATCGTGTTCTATACCCGAAACACCTTCCCTTCTTCAAGTGCCTGCAGTACCCTGAACCCCGGGCCCTAAAACCTAACAGCCTGAAGTACACACCATCGCACAGACAGGACTCTATGCACCGAATAGGCCGCGGAAACCTGCAGAAGATTGAGCAGGTGGATCTAGCAGGGTTCTGGATTCAGGGTTTGGTAGGGTCGGTGCCGGGGTTCAAGATCTCATCATCATCTCGGGTATCTTGGGCTTGGGTTGGCTGTTCTATACCACGACTCTTTTGCTGGGTGCTTTCATTTGTAGGAGTTTTTTCCCAAACCCATGCGCAGCCCACGGAGAGCAAGTGCTGGCCCATGTCGTTCAACAGGGACCAGCTTTTACATTCAAGCTATCAAGGCAAAACTGCTGTTATGTCAGCAGACGTCGGACGACTAGATACAGTTCAAGAGTATAATAGTACGAGTACCAGCTACTTCGTAGTGGCAGCAGCAAGAACAGTCACAATCGCACGAAGATTTCGGTGCGAGTGGAGGTCACCCGGTCACTACAAGGGGTTAGGATTTCAGGTCTGTGCTCCTAAACCCCGAGCCAGGTTCCGGACATACCATAAAACCCGATGAGCATGAGCGCTAAAGTTTGCGCCCGTGGTGTTTGGGGTTGTTTAGGTTCCGGGGTCACTTCATGAGGCGAGAGATTTGAGAACACAATGATTATTTTTTGGTTTGGTCTGGAATCTAGAACTACAAAACCCAAACGCCGTCAGCCGCCCCAAGCCCTATACATGCGCGCATCCCAAAAATCTAACCCTCCCCTGAAGCCCTACTCGCTATACCACCCACACCCCACGAAAAGCTCGAATCACGGAGGCAATGCGCGCGCTTCATGGGCGCATGGAAACTACACGCAAGCAGGTGGAGCTTTGATACCCGCGTGTTGGAGTCAAGGGTTTCTGTTATAAAGTAAATCTTGTCGTCAATGCCCTTATCATCACGAGTAGCAACCAATGTGTGTGCAGCTACGTGAGTTTCTTGTGCATGTGGAGTATGTTTATGTACATTCATATATGTATATATACATATATATACACACAGACGGAGATGTCGACTTAGTTAGACACACATGTAGCTGTCACATGCAAGTTACTTCTTTGAGTACGGCTTGTTTTTACTTGGCTGCAGATCTGGAGGATTTATAGAATTGCGAGCTTCAGAGCTGGTTAGCGGGGCTATAGTGGGGTTAGGCATGCACATGTATCAGCACTCCCTACAGCCGGTCCACCGCCCGGAACTTTGCACACTTCGTTGTTTGCTGGAATTCTGCCCGGCGGCCTTCCTTCGAACGTAAGCCGCAACTCCCGCGATTCCTAATACCCAATCTCAACCCAGAACCGCGGAACCCCGAAGCCCTACCCCTGAAGCTTGTTCGAATTTTCGTGCCGGTTCGAAGGGCCTTGCGGGCAACCAGACTTTGGTGCAGAAGCGTGAGGCAGGCGGTTGGGGTTGAGTTTCTTGTTTGTAGCCATGACCTAGGGTCCTGGAAAATCGGAAGTGATCCTGCCAGACCGTAAAAGCCCTAATCTCAAAGCCTTGAACCCCCAAGATACATGTTCGTATTTACGGTACTTACCTTGCTTCGAGTCGTCAGCATACCGGACTCCAACTGTTCGGTCAGGGTTGTTTGCATCCTACAAAGTCTTCCCTGTCTGAGCAACTAGTGGATATTAAGACCAGGCTTGTGCCGGCATGGCCTCCGGGCCGGCCCTGTATACATACGATACATACATACAATACATACATATACATATAGATAGATAGATAGATAGATAGAGAGAGAGATAGATAGATAGATAGATAGATAGATAGATAGAGAGAGAGAGAGGAGAGATACGTACATACAGATACGTTAGATAGATGCTGATATATGTATCTGTGTATGTGTATGTATGTGTGGGGGAGACAGACAGACGGACAGACAGACAGACCCCACCATGACCCAAACGGGAGCATGTTGCGCGGTACCTTTGACTTCCGCTTGTTATTATTGATGATTTGTAAGATTTGCAATTCACTTCATGTCCGTTAACATATGTACCATCATGTACCGATCTTGCCTCGGCAGATGACCTCGCCGCCCCTGCTAATCTGGTAAAGTTGACAAGTGGCAGCCGCCGGGCCCTCCTGGGCGTTTAACCTTCCGTTCAGTACAACCAGTTTTTCGCAGTTCGATTTCAACATATGCCATTTCCGCAGGGGGAGCCAATTAATCCGGTGCAAAACTTATTCTGAAATTTGCTGCCCCCTCTAGATTTCGAGAAAAGGTGCGATGGACGACGTTACTTATCCCTTCACAGCCTTAGCTCTTGCCCTGACTTGCCCTTGCAACTTTTCGTTTCTCACTCCCCTCTGACTGCTCTATTTGACAACTTGATCTTTAAGTATCTCTACTGATGACTGCGCTGTGCTGTGCTGTCGATCCTCGGCTAGTGCCAGAGCAAGAAATCCTCCAGGGGTGAAAGAGAAACCAGCAACTGGACGTCTTCAGCTGACTCTAAAGTATTCCAAAGCCATCTCCCCTACTCATCTCTGAAATCCGTCGTCATGTCGCCAGCCGTGCGCATCGTCTTGTGTGCCCTGGTCCCGGTGCTCCCCAATGCCTTGCGCCAGACTCAAGAAGGTGGACAGGCAAGCGCAGTGTTTTGAAGCACTGCAACGCCATGCATGTTCCTTCTTCATCAGCATACGAGTCTTTGTACGACAGACACGAACAACAGCCGGAACTGGCGAGCAACGAGATTGAGGCCTTCCTCTCCGAATACGGTTTCCAGAAAAAGCTTTGTCTTGTCGGTCCAGCATGTCCTGATGGCATGGGGATACACTGCGATAAGTACGACTGCACAGAGGATGTGAAGCAATTCCTCAACTTCTTGGCTCTATAGGAGGATGCTCTTCGCGCGGTGACGAAAGTGCACGAGAAGGGCATGTGGGGTTATCTCGAGGACAAATCGTTGAGTAAACATGAAGGTAACAACGAGCAGCTCGAGCACAGCTCGAGAAGTTCTAGCTTACTCCAGACCGTTCCATTCGAGCCCATGCGGTGCATGGGCAAAAAGTGATGCCAGGACATGTACACCTGCCGTGTCCTGTGGGGTACCACTTGCTCCCCTACACCCGAGAGCGAGAGGGAGATCCGTCTCCCTGGCAACACTGCCAACACGTCACATATCCACAGGTCGATTCGACGGTAGTTGCTATCTGTCCGACAGCAATAAACATCCTGGGATTCGACAACTGCTGTGCTAGCTTGCGCCGATGCCCCATCACTCCTAAGCAAAAGACCAAGACTTTGTAGTAACGTTCCCTGATGATACCCCAAGACTTATTCTGTAAACAATTGTAACTTCCCTTTCTGAACTGTCCAAATCTGTGTAGAAGTCGAAGATTCTAAAGGCACACGGAAGCATGGAGTGTAGAGCAGATGTTGACTCATAGTATGTGTTGAGTTCCGATCTCATCGATGTTCAGTGTTTAGGGTCGAGAGTTCTTGCTTTAAGGTTAGGGTTTAGCGCTTTCTCGGCTTGTGATTATAGGGTTCGTTCAGGCGCAATGCTGTAGGTGCTGGGAAAACACAGCTGAACACCCTGATAATATGACAGTGGCGTCCACCCACAGGTCTTGAGCGGAAAGTCCGACATGTAGCGCGATTAACCGTCTTGGACCTTCAAGAGTTGCAAGACCCCTCATCCAAAGCCATGGGAAGCCCTTCATTCCTGGTGCAGGGGTCTAAGGGTTTCGGGGGATGCTGGCGACAGGTCTTCGCTTCCTTGCAGAAAGATGCGAACTCCACGCTGCACCAGTTGCCTGAGCTCGAAGCATTATTTGACTGTTGAGGTTTGAGACTTCAACTTTTGTGCTTTTCCGGCTGCAGGCCTAAGGCTCACCACTTGTGGCTGGTATGGATGTTCGGGTTTTTGCAAGAAAGCCAGGAATTAGACTCCATAAGAGTTGAGGCCAGGCACCTCTTATGACGTTTACGCCTTAGTAGGGTCTCTGCGATAAAGGACTTAGATCTTTATATAGGGTCGATACTACATCATTCGGTCACCCATAATAGTGTGCTACACTTTTCACTCTAATTCAGCTTTCATAGGACGCCCTGAAGTCTAACGGCAAAGGGTACTGCTGGGGAAGCTACGAGCAGGAACTTGTACAGGGGCCGCGAAGTTGCTATTGCGCTTCTAGAAGAAGTTGGGTTCCTTCATGACACGACCGTCAGTCCTTCATCTTCGAGCAGGAACTCTGGAGCTGACCGCTAACCCCTCTCCAATTGTTCGTTTTCTTATTGTTGAAAGCTTCCAGCTCAGGTCATGACCGAAGCAACAGTACACAACCAGCCAAAACCAGTACCCTGAGGCCCCGAAGCCACAATCCTACCCAGACCCTCCCAGCCGTGAAGACCTTCAGTCCTAAACCCTGATTCCGTAAGTGCCAACACCGTCAACACCTCAACATCCAGCCCAATGACAGACCTCGGGCACCTCAAGTCCTCTATTCTGAACTCAAAGGTTTAGAGTCCCTGGTCCCAACTCCTACAACCGCTTTCCGCCGAAAATCCAGTGGCCGAAGCCTACTGAAGGCTCTTCCAGATGCAGGGGGCTTCCGACGAGAGCGCCCCAGCAGTGGTGGACCAGGCATCGGGTCAACGGGATTTGGAGCCTCCCGCACTTAGGCTTTCGGGTTGGAGGTTTGTTGTGCGACACGCAAAGAGCCCTTACCCGAAGGCCCCTTTTCCGTAAAACCTCCAAGGCTTTCATCCTAACCCCCCCCAAAAGCCCGAAGGCCTTCAATCCAATCCCCTTGAGTTCAGGGGCTCAGCCGAAGGTCTTGGACCTGAGGGCTTCGGATGGCAGCAGCAGGGTTTAGAAGTTAGGATTGCAGGGTTCAAGATTGATTTTTTAGCGTGAGGGATTTCAGGCTTGCGTGGTGGTCTGGAGGGATCATTGTTTTGGCCCTTGATGCTGCAGAAGGAACGTGTTGTGCTGGTTAAAGCGATGATTGGGCCAGTCAGTTCTGACCGGCCGGTGCCGCAAGCACGGTGAAGTCGTGGTCACCGTTACTCGTGTCAGTTGAATGTTGTTTGGGGAGCACTGACATCGAAGCTGCATGTTTGCAATTCGAACCAGACCACAACACCTAAACCCTCTAGTAATTTAATACACTCTAGACCCCACGCCGATACATTAAATCCTAGACTAGACTACCGTTTCCTTCTGCTGCCGGAGGCGTCAAGCCTCATACAAGATTGGGCAGTAAGCCCGATGCCCTGGGCTGGTGAAACCATCACCTAGTGACCTAGCTTCGAACCCCCCCTTAGACTGGGATGATTCATTCAGGAGATCAAAAAGCTCCTGAAGGCAGCTCACACCTCGATTCAAAGTCACCACTTGGCTGCTGAGCGCATGGGAGCCTCAGAGCAATTACTCGAGGTTGTTCCGGGTTTTGGCGTTCGACTGTCTAGAGTTCCGGCCTTCTTTTATCCTCATCCCAGCAGTCCCGAAGCAGTAAAGCCATCGCCCCCCCCCAAGGCCGGCGGATGCAAACGATGCAGCGATCAGACTACAACCGGTCATTGTCTTCGGCGAGGTTCTCGTGTTCGTTCAGGGTGTGGGAGTGTGTGTGTGTGTGTGTGTCTATGTTTGTGTGCATATGTATATAGTCACATGTACATACATACGTACATACATGCATACATACATAGTGCGCATCGATCCATCCCTCCGTTCATCCATCCATACATCCATCCATCCGTCCATCCATCCACGCATGCATGCGTGCATGCGTACATACGTACATACCTACAAGTGCGCATACGTGCTACATAAGTACAGACACACATACATACATATATACATACATACATACATCTATACATACATACATCTATATCTATATATCTATATATATATATATATATATGCATATGCATATGCATGCATCTGTAAATACAGGTCTTCATTGGTACACAAGTGTGTCCATGTCTGACAATGTGTATGTGTCTGTGTATGTGTATATATATATGCCAGTAACTATGCATATATGCATGCATGCGTGTGGGTACGTACGTATGTATGTACGTATGTATGCTTGTAGGTAGGTATTTTTGGTATTTATATAGTTATGTAGGTTGTAAGTATGCATGTGTATTAATATATAGATATAGACATAGATATGTGCATTTACCTTCTGTACATGTTGTTATGTATATACATACATATATCTCCGTGTGTATATGCTTGTTTAATTAGGGCCTTGGGCTTCAAGGGATCATGGTTTAGTGTTTCCGATTTCGAGATCTGGGTCCGCAGGGTTTGGGGGCTTGGCATTTTAGGGTGTCGGCGCGTCTGCAGTACGTGTGCATCCAAGCACATAGAGGCGCAAAGACGTAGGCATGGAAACGTGCATACACACACAGATATGTATGTATATGTGTATACATACCTGTGTATAATAATATGTTTATGCACATATATATATATATATATATCTATACATACAGGTTTATTTGTTTATGTATATATACACACACATGCATGGCATAAACACGGCGCCCAGACAACGGGGAGAGATATTTGAGAACAGCAGGGGTCCAACTGCGATAGTTCACCGAAATCCTTCTCTGAATCATGAATGCAAACATGCAAGGTTAGATAACTGAGACATAACAGACAAGAGAAGGATCATGTGTGTGTGTGTCTCTGTGTGTTCATGTATGTGAGTGTGTGTGTGTGTGTGTGTGTGTTTCCTGTTTGTTTGTTTGCCTGTCTGGCTGCCTCCACGCCTGCCTACCTGCTTGCCTGCTTGACTGGCCTTCTGGCTGTCTGTCCACATTGAGTCTGCGCTACATTTCGTCAGACAAGAACTTTCATGGGGGAGTGCCGGTCGAGAGTGCCAGGCTGGCGACGGACCTCCACGTGGAAGCGCAGTTGGTGGAGTTCGATAAGATCATGCCCCTTGCTGCACAGTTGACGATGTTGAAGTGACAGGCAGGCCCTTCCAAGTGCATGATGGTTTGGACTACAGCAGCATTCGATGATTCGGTCAATCCAGCATCCGACACTATACACCGTGGATCAACGAACAGGTATGCTGCTTGACACGAAGTGGCAAACCGCAAGTACTAGCACGTGAAGTATTGTAAACCTCGGTTCTAAATCGTAGACCCAAATTTTAAGCCTAGAATCCTGGAGCTGTTTCCCCCCTCCCCGGCCCTAAACGGGTCCAAACTAGAAAGCTCGGGTTGCACAGCTCGGGGTGGACAACCACCTGGAAACATGCGAGAAGCTGCAGCCAAGTAAGGCTGAACATCCGCCGAGCAGCCGAAGAGCCCTTCGGACATCAAAGACGGCAGGACTTTTTAGCAGCGGTTTAGGCTTATCTGGTTCGTTCCGGTGAAATGCCGCGCGGTTCTTTCGGTCGTTGTGCCCTCTCTCCTTTTTCAATCTCGGAGATCCGTGTAACAGGTTCGATCAAGGGGAGGTTGCCACGTTGACAACTCGGACAAGGATCCGAAATACACAGTGAACATCTACAGCATCAACGAGGAGTGCAGTTCCATTCTCACAGTAGATCCCTGACGGAGCAGTGCAGTGCCCAAAAATCTCCGTCTCGAAATCATACTACCTAAATGAGAGTCCCGTCTGCCTAGTATCCATATTGGCAAGTGGGGGGATGCGACTCGAAGAAGGCCGAAATTGCAAGCGGGTCAAGCGTTCGTCCCGTGGAACCCCAGACTCCCAATCTCCTGAAAGGGCTTCATGTCTGTAATATTACTGTTGAGGCCAACAATTGACCGGGGACCCGGACAATACACTGAAATCCAGTTCACGGTTGTGCAGAAATCGTTCTGCTGTTGGGGTTTACGGCCTTATTGGGCCGGAGCGGTGTAGTGTTGCTCCGGGAGCAGCGTCCAGTGGATTCAGGATTTTAGGCCAAGGTCTCCGTGAAATGATGGGATGACGCCTAATGACACCTAGCTTACCTTGGGTGGGTTTTCGTGTTTGATACACCGGGCTTTGTAGACCTCCCTTGGCATGCCCCATTTCAACACCACAAAACCCGTGAGAGTATCACCCTGTAGTCCATATATACACATACGTTAATCTGCAAAAAGTATACGTAAGCAACCCTGCTTCGCATGAAGGTACCTGGAGTCGGCACACTCGCAAGTCGGTCTCGTGAGCCGCCACTGGCTCAAAATGGAGGGGGCAGTGCAAGGCTTTCTACGTTTTCGACTGCGTTTGAGTTCAGCGTCCGTCTTTAGGGCCTGGGTCTAAGGTCGGGGGTGTAGGTGGAGCTCCTCAGTCAGACGAGAGTTGAGCTCCCGCGGTCCTTGGTTTTACTTGCTTTAAGCTTCGTGTGTTCTGCCTGAGATATGTTGGGGCGCACCTGCACTGCCCCGCGAGCAGTCAACAACCCTACGAAGTCCAATCGAAGGATGCGAGAACAACTGTCGGACTGTCGGTGTCAGATTTCCTTGAATCTGATTTCGAAGCTTACCCCAAACCTCAAGACGGACTTCAACATCCCCACAGCCCTCGAACTCCGTTCCAGTTCCCCAATAGCTGTTGCTGGACAGCTAAGGCTATCATTGAAGGATTAGAACCCCCGACGTGGTTTTTGCTTATATAATATATAGTAGCGTTTAGAGTTGGTTCAGGGTTGAGAGGTTTGCTACATCAGTGCAGGTCACTGGGTCCTGTAGCGTGTATTTAATCTCCCTTATCCGGAACCCTGAATCCTTTGCGCCCTCTTCTTATCGCCAAGACACCGGAACCTCCGAAGGTTGAAATCCGAAGAAGTCCTCCCAAACTTCGGAGCATTGAAAACCCGATAGCTTTTTGTTCGTGCAGCTCTTTCCCTGGACCTTGGAATCCTAAAGCTCTGTAAAGCCTGGTGTTCATACCCATCCACCCTCAAGAACCCCGTACCTGGAGATGCTCCTCGCATCCCGGGTATCGGGTTTAAGTTTAAGCAATGACAATGATAAACGGTAAGTATGACGCCAGACCAAAGACTTTTCAGCAAGAGCCCCAGGAGCAACTGAACTGACAGACCAGTACTTGTTGCTCGGCTTCATAGCCCTTTACGCTGTCGGTTTAGGAGTTGACGTCTAAGTTTAGAAGAGTTTAGGATTCAATTCTTCGGATCTGGCATTCAGAAAGGTACGCTGTTCCTGGCATTGGGGGTAAGCTCTCTGGTGGGAGTGTTGAACACAGCGGTCGAAACAATGGACAGTCCGTCATTTTGGCGCAATGCGGTGGAAGATTCTAGCCAGCCTATAAGATGATTCTATTTGCCAATATGGGCGTCCTTGCCTGCAGTGAATTTATCGACTACCGCTATGTCAATGTGAGTTCTCGGTACAGCTTTGCCGCGTCCTTCAGCAAGCCCCCTAAACCCTGAGCCTTCAATCGAGCCGTTTTGTTTCTTCTTGTAGTTTCTGGGTTGTTCATGTATGGGGCGTGTAGGGCAGGGGTATGGGCAGGTCTAGACAGATCTGTAGATGCGCAAGGTAACGAGTCTAAAGCTTAATACGGATTGACGGTCAAGGCTGAGGTTTATGTCCAGGTCCGAGGGTTATCGAGGGTTCAGCTTGCATGAGGCATTGGCAGATACATGGGTTCCCTAAGCCAAACCCCAGAGTGCAAATCACAGGCCGCCATATCCATGATTTTGCCACTCGCCCGGTCCGCCATGCTGTTTGCTCTTCTCTCACCTTCGCTCCCACACAGTAACTTCCAACTCCTAAGCCGGGAGATCCTCAACCGTAAACCCGCTGTGGAGAGCCAATCTCCTGAACCTTGAAGCCCCAAAAACCATCTACATCCCGAAGATTCCCGAAGCCCGAAAGCCCTAAAGCTGAGGTCTCAATGCAGCTCCGACTTTTGGGAGCTGTCCCTCGCTGCTCGAAAGGCAATGGCGGCAGGCCGCCGGGTAAGCATCGGAGTTGGGGGCTGGAGTTTAGGAGTTTAAGGTTTATAGGGGTTTAGGATTTAGGGTTTAGGGTTTTTAGGGTTGTTGAGGCTTTTGCGGGCCATGAGAGGTGTGCTAGGGCTCCTGCAGGCTGTTTACTTGGGTTGAGGCTGTTGGTGGTGGTCGAACGGGTAAGTTTAGGGTAACAGGCTTTCAGCGTGGCTTAAGGTTGGAAGCATGGGTTGTTTCTCGGATTTGTCGGGTGATGGGTTCAATTGGTTTCAGGATTTACGGCTTGTGGGCAGCCGGGTTTGGAAATTGTGGAGTTTCGTTTTGAATCATGAATCAGGATCTGGAGCTCATCATTCACAAGTTGTCGAGGGTTTGGGGTTTGTGCTTTGGTGGCCTTTGGGGCTTCGGGGCCTAAGATGGTTATGGCGCTGCCCTGCCACCGCGTCTTCGGCAAGTCAAAGGAGAACACAAACCCTTGCGGACCCGTTAGAACTGACGCATGCTCCCGGTTTTGGGTCCTCAGAATGAGAAGCATACTTAAGTTTCGCGGATTTCTGTCAGTTTGTGCTCCGTTGCTTGAACCGCAAAAAAAGCAATGTTAATATTGCTGCTTGAATACTCGCCACGGGTTCGAGAATCTCAGGGGCAAAACCCATGTGGAACTCTGATAAGCCTGGCTTGTTCGAGCTAGGCAAGAAGGCTGCCCGCTCTGCTAGAACGGCGATGAATCGC